AAATCGCCCGAAATCTGTGATGGTACCCCTTTGGAATCTGCCAAAAATTGACCCGGAATAAATCCGCCCAAATTGGTGCTTAATGCACTCAACCATCGTTGGAGAATAGCCTCAGGCGGAATCCGGGATCTGTAGCCTTCAATATCCAAAGAAAATGGCCTTTCGTAGGCCAAATAATTACGAAAATGCCATCCGAAAATAAATTGGCTCAAATCGGTGCTTAATGTACTTATCATCCGTGGAGAATAGAATCAAAAAATTTCATTATTTGTGGATAATAGCTTCGGTCTGATTCCGTGATCTGTAGCCTCCATAATCGAAAGGAAATGACATTTCGGATAAATTGCCTGAAATCTGTGATGGTACCCCTTTGGAATTTGTCAAAAATTGACCCGGAATAAATCCGCTCATATCGCTGCTTAATGGACTCAATCATCATTGGAGAATATCCTCAGACCAAATCCGTGATCTGTAGCCTTCAATACAAAAAGAAAATGGCCTTTCGTGCCCTAAAAATTACGAAAATGCCAACCGAAAATAAATTGGCCCAAATCGGTGCTTAATAAACTTATCATCCGTGGAGAATAGAATCAATAGATTTCATTATCGGTGGAGAATGTACTCGACCTGATTCCGTGATCTGTTGCCTCCAGAATCGAGAGAAAATGACATTTCGGATAAATCATCTGATATCTGTGATGGTACCCCATTGGAATTTGCCAAAAATTGACCCAGAATAAATCCGCTCAAATCGCTGCTTAATGGTCTCAATCATCTTTGGAGAATAGCCTCAGGGCGAATCCGGGATCTGTAGCCTTCAATACCCAAAGAAAATGGCCTTTCGTGCCCAAAAAATTACGAAAATGCCATCCGAAAATAAATTGGCCCAAATCGGTGCTTAATGGCCTTATCATCCGTGGAGAATAGAATCAATAAACTTTATTATCTGTGGATAATAGTCTCGGTCAGATTCTGTGATCTGTAGCTTCCAGAATCGAAAGGAAATGACATTTCGGAAAAATTGCCCGAAATCTTTGATGGTACCCCTTTAGGATCTGCCAAAAATTGACCCGGAATAAATCTGCACAAATTGGTGCTTACTGCACTCAATCATCGTGGGAGAATAGCCTCAGGCGGAATCCGTGATCTGTAGCCTTTAATATCCAAAGAAAATGGCCTTTCGTCGCCCAAAAAATTACGAAAATACCATCTGAATATAAATTGGCCCTAATATGTGCTTAATGGACTCATCATCGGTGGAGAATAGGATCAATAGATTTCATTATCTGTAGAGAATTGCCTCGGCCTGTTTCCGTGATCTATAGCCTCCATAATCGAAAGGAAATTGCATTTCGGATAAATCGCCCGAAATCTATGATGGTACCCCTTTGGAATATGCAAAAAATTGACATGAAATAAATCCGCCCAAATTGGTGCTTAATGCACTCAATTATCGTTGGAGAATATCCTCAGGCGGAATGCGTGATCTGTAGACTTCAATATCCAAAGAAAATGGTCTTTCGTCGCCCAAAAAATTACGAAAATGCCATCCGAAATTAAATTGGCCCAAATTAGTGCTTAGTTGACTTATCATCCGTGGAGAATAGGATCAATAGACTTCATTATTGGTGGAGAATACCATCGGCCTGATTCCTTGATCTGTATCCTACAGAATCGAAAGAAAATGGCATTTCAGATAAATCACCTGAAATCTGTGATGGTACCCTTTTGGAATTTCCCAAAAAATGACCGGAAATAAATCCGCTCAAATCGCTGCTTAATGGACTCAATCATGGTTGGAGAAAGCCTCAGTCGGAATCCGTGATCTATAGCCTTCAATATCCAAAGAAAATGGCTTTTCGTAGCCCAAATAATTACGAAAATGCCATCGGAAAATAAATTGGCCCAAATCGCTGCTTAATGGACTTATCATCCGTGCATAATAGGATCAATAGATTTCATTATCTGTGGAGAATAGCCTCGGCCTGATTCCGTTATCTGTAGCCTCCAGAATCGAAAGGAAATTGCATTTCGGATAAATCGCCCGAAATCTGTGATGGTACCCATTTGGAATATGTCAAAAATTGACCCGAAATAAAGCCGCCCAAATTGGTGCTTAATGCACTCAATCATCGTTGGAGAATAGCCTCATGCGGAATGCGTGATCTGTAGCCTTCAATATCCAAAGAAAATGGCCTTTCGTCGCCCAAATAATTACGAAAATGCCATCCGAAAATAAATTGGCACAAATCGTGCTTAATAGACTTATCATCCGTTGAGCATACGATCAATATACTTCATTATCGGTGGAGAATAGCATCGTACTTATTCCATGATTTGTAGCCTCCAGAATCGAAAGAAAATTGCATTTCGGATAAATAGCCCGAAATCTGTGATGGTACCCGTTTGGAATTTGCCAAAATTGACCCGGAATAAATCCGCCCAAATTGGTGCTTAATGCACTCAATCATCGTTGGAGAATAGCTTCAGGCGAAATCCGTGATCTGTAGCCTTCCAAATCCAAGGAAAATGGCCTTTCGTCGCACAAAATTTTACGAAAATGCCATCCGAAAATAAATTGGCCCAAATTGGTGGTTAATTGACTTATCATTTGTGGAGAATAGGATCAATAGACTTCATAATTGGTGGAGAATAGCATCGGCTTGATTCCTTGATCTGTATCCTACTGAATAGAAAGAAAATGACAGTTCGGATAAATCACCCGAAATCTGTGATGGTACCCCTTTGGAATTTGCCAAAAATTTACCCGGAATAAATCCGCTCAAATCGCTGCTTAATGTACTCAATCATCATTGGAGAATAGCCTCAGGCGGAATGTGTGATCTGTAGCTTTCAATATCCAAAGAAAATGGCCTTACGTCGCCCAAAAAATTGAGAAAATGTCATCTGAATATAAATTGGCCCAAATTGGTGCTTAATTACTTATCCTCCGGGGAGAATAGGATCAATAGACTTCATTATCGGTGGATAATAGGCTCGGCCTGATTCCGTGATCTGTGGCCTCCAGAATCGAAAGAAAATGGCATTTCGGAAAAATCGCTCGAAATCTGTGATGGTACCGCTTTGGAATCTGCATAAAATTGACCCGGAATAAATCCGCCCAAATCTGCGCTTAATGGACTTAGTCATCGTTGAAGAATAGCCTCAGCCCAAATCTGTGATCTGTAGCATTCAAAATCCAAAGAAAATGGCCTTTCGTCGCCCAAAAAATTATGAAAATGCCATCCAAAAATAAATTGGCCCAAACCGGTGCTTAATGGACTTATCATCCGTGGTTAATAGGATCAATAGACTTCATTATCGATGGAGAATTGCCTCGGCCTGATTCCGTGATCTGTAGCCTCCAGAATCGAAATAAAATGACATTTCGGATAAATTGCCCGAAATCAGTGATGGTACCCCTTTGGAATCTGCCAAAAATGAACCCGGAATAATTTCGCCAAAATTGGTGCTTAATGCACTCAATCATCGTTGGAGAATAGCCTCAGGCGGAATCTGTGATCTGTAGCCTTCAATATCCAAAGAAAATGGCCTTTCGTCGCCCAAAACATTACGAAAATGTCATCCTAAAATAAATTGGACCAAATCGGTGCTTAATTGACTTATCATCGGTGGCGAATAGGATCAATAGATTTCATTATCTGTGGAGAATAGCCTCGGCCTGATTCCGTGATCTGTAGCCTTAAGAATCGAAAAGAAATGACATTTCGGATAAATTGCCCGAAATTTGTGATTGGTACCCCTTTGGAATCTGCCAAAAATTGACCCGGAATAATTCCGCCAAAATTGGTGCTTAATGCACTCAATCATCGTTGGAGAATAACCTCAGGCGGAATCTGTGATCTGTAGCCTTCAATATCCAAAGAAAATGGCCTTTCGTCGCCCAAAAAATTACGAAAATGTCATCCAAAAATAAATTGGACCAAATCGATACTTAATTGACTTATCATCGGTGGCGAATAGGATAAATAGATTTCATTATCTGTGGAGAATAGCCTCGGCCTGATTCCGTGATCTGTACCCTCCAGAATCGAAAGGAAATTGCATTTCGGATAAATCGCCCAAAATCTGTGATGGTACCCCTTTGGAATCTGCCATAAATTGACCCGGAATAAATCCGCCCAAATTGGTGCTTAATGCACTCAATCATCGTTGGAGAATAGTCTTAGGCGGAATGCGTGATCTGTAGCCTTCAATATCCAAAGAAAATGGCCTTTCGTCACCCAAAAACTTACGAACATGCCATCTGAAAATAAATTGGCCCAAATTGGTGCTTAATTGACTTATCATCCGTGGAGAATAGGATCAATAGACTTCATTATTGGTGGAGAATAGCATCGGCCTGATTCCTTGATCTGTATCTTACAGAATCGAAAGAAAATGGCATTTCAGATAAATCACCCGAAATCTGTGATGGTGCACCTTTGGAATATGCCAAAAATTGACCCGGAATAAATCCGCTCAAATTGGTGCTTAATGCACTCAATCATCGTTGGAGAATAGCCTCAGGCGGAATGCGTGATATGTAGCCTTCAATATCCAAAGAAAATGGCCTTTTGCGCCCAAAAAATTACGAAAATGTCATCCGAAAATAAATTGTCCCAAATTGGTGCTTAATTGACTTGTCATTCGTGGAGAATAGGATCAATAGACTTCATTATTGGTGGAGAATGGCATCGGCCTGATTCCTTGATCTGTATCCTACAGAATCGAAAGAAAATGGCATTTCAGATAAATCACCCGAAATCTGTGATGGTACCCCTTTGGAATTTGCCAAAAATTGACCCGAAATAAATGTGCTCAAATCGCTACTTAATGGACTCAATCATCGTTGGAGAATAGCCTCAGGCCGAATCCGTGATCTGTAGCCTTCAATATCCAAAGTAAATGGCCTTTCGTAGCCCAAATAATTACGAAATGCCATCCGAAAATAAATTGGCACAAAATCGGTGCTTAATGGACTTATCATCCGTGGAGAATATGATCAATATACTTCATTATCGGTGGAGAATATCCTCTGCCTAATTCCAAGATTTGTAGCCTCCAGAATCTAAAGGAAATGACATTTCGGATAAATTGCCCGAAATCTGTGATGGTACCCCTTTGGAATCTGCCAAAAATTGACACGGAATAAATCCGCCCAAATTGGTGCTTAATGCACTCAATCATCGTTGGAGAATAGCCTAAGGCCGAATCTGTGATTTGTAGCCTTCAATATCCAAAGAAAATGGCCTTTCGTAGCCCAAATAATTACGAAAATGCCATCCAAAAATAAATTGGCACAAATCGAAGCTTAATGGACTTATTATCTATGGAGAATATGATCAATATACTTCATTATCGGTGGAGAATAGCCGCGGCCTTATTTTCATGATTTGTAGCCTGCAGAATCGAAAGAAAATGGCATTTCGGATAAATAGCCCGAAATCTGTGATGGTACCCCTTTGGAATTTGCCAAAAATTGACCCGGAATAAATCCGCTCAAATCGCTGCTTAATGGACTCAATCATCGTTGGAGAATAGCCTCAGGCCGAATCCGTAATCTGTAGCCTTCAATACCCAAAGAAAATGGCCTTTCGTGCCTAAAAAATAACGAAAATGCCAACCGAAAATAAATTGGCCCAAATCGGTGCTTAATAAACTTATCATCCGTAGAGAATAGGATCAATAGACTTCATTATCGGTGGAGAATAGCCTCGACCTGATTCCGTGATCTGTAGCCTCCAGAATCGAGAGAAAATGACATTTCGGATAAATCGCCCGATATCTGTGATGGTACCCCTTTTGAATCTGCCAAAAATTGACCCTGAATAAATCCGCCCAAATCAGTGATTAATGAACTCAATCATCATTGGAGAATAACCTCAGGCCGAATACAGATCTGTAGCCTTCAATATCCAAAGAAAATGGCCTTTCGTCGTCCAAAAAATTACGAAAATGCCATCCAAAAATAAATTGGCCCAAATCGGTGTGTAATGGACTTATCATCCATGGAGAATAGGATCAATAAACTTCATTATCTGTGGAGAATAGCCTCGGTCTGATTCCATGATCTGTAGCCTCCAGAATCGAAAGGAAATGGCATTTCGGATAAATTGCCCGAAATCTGTGATGGTACCCCTTTGGAATCTGCCAAAAACTGACCTAGAATAAATCCGCCCAAATTGGTGCTTAATGCACTCAATCATCGTTGGAGAATAGCCTCAGGCGGAATCCGTGATCTGTAGTCTTCAATATCCAAAGAAAATTACCTTTTATCGCACAAAAAATTATGAAAATGTCATCCGAAAATAAATTGGTGCTTAATGGACTTTTCATCCGTGGAGAATAGGATCAATAGACTTCATTATTGGTGGAGAATAGCCTCGGACTGATTCCGTGATCTGTAGCCTACAGAATCGAAAGAAAATGGCATTTCAGATAAATCTCCCGAAATCTGTGATGTTACCCCTTTGGAATCTGCCAAAAATTGACTCAGAATAAATTCGCCTAAATCGGTATAATGTACTCAATCATTGTTGGAGACTAGCCTTAGGCCGAATTCGTGATCTGTAGCCTTCAATATCTAAAGAAAATGGCCTTTCGTCGCCCAAAAAATTACGAAAAGGTCATCCGAAAATAATTTGGCACAAATCGGTGTTTAATGGACTTATCATCCGTGGAGAATCAGAACAATAGATTTAATTATCGGTGGAGAATAGCCTCAACGTGATTCCGTAATTTGTAGCCTCCAGAATCGAAAGAAAATGGCATTTCGGATAAATAGCCCGAAATCAGTGATGGTACCCCGTTGGAATTTGCCAAAATTGACCTGGAATAAATCCGCCCAAATCGTTGCTTAATGGACTCAATCATCGTTGGAGAATAGCCTCAGGCCAAATCCGTGATCTGTAGCCTTCAATATCCAAAGAAAATGGTCTCTTGTCGCCCAAAAAATTACGAAAATGTCATCCAAAAATAAATTGGCACAAATCGGTGCTTAATGGACTTATCATCCGTGGAGTATAAGATCAATAGACTTCATTATCTGTGGGAAATAGTCTCGGCCTGATTCAGTGATCTGTATCCCCCAGAATCAAAAGAAATGGCATTTAGAATAAATCGCCTGAAATCTGTGATGGTACCCCTTTGGAATCCGCCAAGAATTGACCCGGAATAAATCCGCCCATATTGGTGCTTAATGCACTCAATCATCGTTGGAGAATAGCCTCAGGCGGAATCCGTGATCTGTAGCCTTCAATATCCAAAGAAAATGGCCTTTCGTCGCCCAAAAAATTAGGAAAATGCCATACGAAAATAAATTGGCCCAAATTGGTGCTTGATGGACTTATCATCCGTGGAGAATAGGACCAATAGACTTCATTATTGGTGGAGAATAGCCTCGGCCTGATTTCGTGATCAGTAGCCTACAAAATCGAAAGAAAATTGCATTTCGGATAAATCTCCCGAAATCTCTGATGGTACCCCCTTTGGAATCTGCCAAAAATTGACCTGGAATAAATCCGCCCAAATCGGTGCTTAATGGACTCAATCATTGTTGGAGAATAGCCTCAGGCCGAATCCATGATCTGTAGCCTTCAATATCCAAAGAAAATGGCCTTTCAACAACCAAAATATTACGAAAATGCCATCCGAAAATAAATTCGCCCAAATCGTTGCTTAATGGACTTATCATCCGTAGAAAATAGGATTAATAGACTTCATTATCGGTGTAGATAGCCTTAGCCTGATTCCTTGATTTGTAGCCTCCAGAATAGAAAGAAAATGGCATTTCAGATAAATCGCCCCAAATCTGTGATGGTACCCCTCTGGAATCTGCCAAAAATTGACCCGGAATAAATCCACCCAAATCGGTGCTTAATGGACTCAATCATCGTTGGAGAATAGCCTCAGGGCGAATCCGTGATCTGTAGCCTTCAATATCCAAAGAAAATGGTCTTTCGACTCCCAAAAAATTACAAAAATGTCATCCGAAAATAAATTGGCCCAAATCGGTGCTTAATGGACTTATCATCCATTGAGAATAGGATCTGTACCCTTCAAAATCCAAAGAAAATTGTCTTTCAAAAAATCGTCCAAAATCTGTGATGGTACACTTTTGGAGTCTGCCAAAAATGGCCCCGAAAAAATTCCGCCCAAATTGGCGATTAATAAACTTCACTTCATCTTGGATAGAGAGTAACTTAATGCTGAATCTGCGATTTGTAGTCTTCAAAATCAAAGAAAAATGGTATTTCGAAAAAACCGTCCAAAAATAAAGAAAATGCCATCTGGAAAATTTTCGCCCAAATCGACGATAAATATACTTCATAATGGGTGGAGACTGAATAGTCTTCTAAGGACGAATTCGTAATCTGTAACTTTCAAATTCATAGATGGGTTTTGAGCCCATACTTAAAAATGCAGCAGAAGGTCTGACGGGCTTACTGTAATTCCGAACCCAATAGCAAAAATTAACGTATGCATCTTTTTTTTTTACTGTATCCTACAGTTCCGTACAAAGATCAAGGAGTAAGATTGTAAGAAGGTATAAAAATAAAAAATTCCTCCCCCCGGGAAATACAACAGCACACGATCAACGCTTCCCCTCCATCGCGCCTCGCACCAAAGATCAAATCCCAACCGTCCATCTCGCCGCCGAAAACCTCTCCCTGAAAAACCCCCGAACAAACGCTCCGGCCGCCTCGTACTCCTCAATCCCCCGGACGTCGACGCCGCACCGGATCAGCTGCGGGAAGAACAACCAGAACCCGGTCGCCAGCACGAACGCCACCGTCGCCACGTTCGCCGCCACCCTCGGCGGCCTCCACGTTACCCCGCCGTGCTCCGCGGCCTTCTTCACCCCGACCTCCGCCATCAGGCAGGCGCCGTGGAGGATGAAGAACCACGTGATCTCCCACGTGGGCCTCTGCCGGCCCAAGTAAAAGAACATGAGCTCGTGCATCAAGGCCGAGACAACAAACGTGGCCCAGATCCCCGCGAGGCGGGCCCACCTCAGGCCCAGAACCCCCTCCAGCAGGGCCAGGGCCGGGTCGTACACCGCGGGCCGGAGGATGCTGCTGACCGTGAGGTTCCACCGCCGGCCCCAAAAGTCCTGGAGCGAGGTCGAGAGGTACGGCTCGTTGAACGGCGGCTCGAGACCCGACCCGATCGCGACCCGCGCCACCGCGCCGAAAACCGTCAACGAGACATCCAGAAAGCAGTAGATGTGGAGGAAGTAGACGAATAGAATGAACTTCGGGTGGAGGTGGGCCCCCCAATCGTACACCCACGACAAGGAAACGTAGATCGCAGCTTTGGCGACGTAATTGAGCGGCGATTTCTTCTCCGGCGGCGGACGGACTCTGTTCTCGTCCACCTTTGGCGACGGGGACACTTTTAGGGGGAGGCAAGCGATGGCGATGAAGTGGGGGAGGGAGATTGGGTAAGAAGAAGGAGGAGGAGAAAGAGGGCCGCGGCCGAAGGCGAAGAGGAGGAGCTTGAAATTGGCGAGCCAGGCGATGAAGAAGGAGGTCATGCCGCCGAGATGGACGGTGTGGAGGCGGAGAGGGAGGCAGAGGAAGAGGCCGATTGTTGGGGCGATGAAGATGAGCCTGGTGGGACCCTTGGGGGTGATTTTGGCCATGTAGTGGCAGAAGGAGAGGGAGAGGAAGATGGTTGCCCAAACCTTGATGAAGTTGTGGATTTCCTCTTCCATGGCTGAATCCATGGATTGAGAAGAGAGATCTATGTGGGTTTTCTACTTTTCTTATGTTCTTTCTGTGTTTGGGTTTGTTTGGAGGAGCTAATAACAAAGAGGGAATGTGGGGAGTTTGGAGAGGAAAGGGAAGTGTGGAGAAGGAAGCAGTGAGGGAGTGGCAAGTGTTATGGCTCTCTTTGTGTGATAGTGAAATAGTGGTTTTGAGGGAACCAAAGAGAAAGGTTTGTGGGTTGGTGATAGATACAAGATAGTGGTACCGGGTACGCATATCACATGTAGGAATGGAATTATTATTATTATTATTATTATTATTATTATTATTATTATTATTATTATTATATTATGATATATATCAAATGGTAATTGGAAACTAAAATGTGATTTCGATGATTAATAGCTGGGTTGCAATGCTAATTTGGTTTATGATTAGAATCGGTAATTTGAACTAACATTTATATGACTGATATTGTTTTTTTGAAAGAAACGGATCAAAACAACCACCACTCTAAACTATCGTTATATGTTCCATGGTGTTGAATGTCATCTGTTAAGTTTGAAGTTTGCTAGTGCATACATTTTTTACATGGAGAGTATTGCATCTTATGGTAGCATATAACATACTATAGTAATTTGATTGGTTTGGATGGAGTTCAATTTAAAAATCTCGGTCATTATTATTTTTAGTTAGTGCATCACTTGTTAACCACTCCGACTTTAGTCAACGGAAATCAAAGATCCAAGCTGAATTAACTAATGCTTAACCACATGATTAAAATTTAAAAATAGGAAAAAGAAAATTATTGAAAAAGAAGTCTAGGGAACCTTAATTTTTTTTTTATGAATAAGCATAGAAGGAATCTCTCCTAAACAAGGCCACTAAACTACCTTAGTACTTACTGCCATTCAGTTTGAACAATTTTGTTATATTCTTACTGTTCAAATAAAACTTGGAGATTTGAAAATGAAAGTGTTGGGGGTGTTACTAAATACTTCGTGCACAGACTAAGTAATGGAGCGCACAATCAGCAATGGCAACACTCGGTATCCGCTACAGGTATATAAGGGCTTGAAGCCCTCCAAAGAATGGGACTTCTCTCTCTCTCCCCTCACTTTCCACTTTCTATCTATCTCTCTACATTTGATCTCTCTATCTATTCTCTCAACTCTCTCCACAAACATACACTGACTTGATCGTCGGAGCTTAATCCGGGGGGCAACCCCGGCTCTTTCACAGGTTCTCTCCCTCCCGACGAGATCGGACGAACAGATGACGAGTCAACCCACACCAACAATCATTATTGTTCCAGCCACGAGCTAGTTGGCACAAACAATTGGCGCCCACCGTGGGGCATGATTTCAACATTTGTTCGTTCGATTTCCAAGGGAGAAGGAAAATGGATCGTCCACTCTCAAGTCTCAACACCATTCGATAGTAGTTGCAGTGTAAAAATAACAAAGGGAAAAGCGGGGAAGAAAAAAAAAGAAAAGGAAGGAGCAAAGAGAACAGCACAGCAGCAGCATCAACAAGAGTGAGAATCCAAGCTTTCTCCCTTCCTTCCTTCCTTCCTCAACACAAGTCCCTTTCTTCCTCCAGAAAGGTGATTGTCGATCAGCAAGGGAAAAGTTAAAAAAAAAAGAGAGAGAGAGAGATCTGGGAAAGTTCCAGGAGCTTTTGGAAAGAGCTTTTGGAAGGATACGACCTCTTTCACCATATCATCATACCAAGCTTCCCTTGGCTGTGGTGGCTTGTGTATTCTTCCACACAACCACATGTTCGCTGGTTCACAGCTTCGGAAGAAGAAAAAGAAAAATGGCAGAGGCCAAGTCGGAAACCCAAAAACAAACAACAACAACAACCCAAATCTCCATCCAAGTCTTTGACTTTTGGTCGGGAAACGACTCTTCCTCAAGCCAACTGCAAGCATCGTCAACATCCAGTTAAAGTCGATCCCGAAAACCAAATCCACTCGTCTCCGGTTGGATAGCACGCAAATCGAGGAAAAGAAAAACCCAGATCTCGGTGACTTTTACTTGTCGCCGACTAAAGGGGCGCCGGGGCTTGAACGGAGCAGTTAAGAAGGGGAAGATCGGAATTCCGGCTCCATCGACGATTCCATCCACCACTGCAAGCAGAAACCATTCCGACGATCGAGAAACAAAGGGGTTAAAATGAAATAAAAACCCAGATCCGGAGCGCCACGGAGAGAACGGCCGCGCGACAACAACAACGGTGGCGCGACAACAACAACTCCCCGGTAGGGATGGCAATGGGTCGGGTTGGGTCGGGTTTTGCCAAACCCAAACCCAAACCCATGGGTTTATCCGTGAAAAAAACCCGGGGTAAAACCCACTGGGTTTGAAAAACTCAAACCCAACCCAACCCGCTGGGTATCCGCGGGTTCATGGGTACCCACGGGTTTTTGTCGTAAAAAATTTACAATAACATGTTCCTATCAAAATTAAAGTCAAATATCAATCTCTCAATACAAATTATCCATATTTAAAACACTATTCTAGAAAATTCAAGCAAATCACAAATTAACTATACAAATTGTTCAACGCAATCTAGAAAACTCAAGAAAATTGAAGTAAATCATAAATTATCCATAAATAACATATTAATTGAAGGCTTCTTCCTTTCAATTAAGTTTCTTCACTCTCCACTCGATAACACAAACTTCATTCTACACAATTAGAAAGAAAAAAATTAGACATGTCTCCACAAACATAAATAAGATTAGTTGTTTAAAATATTAAATATACCGAGAAAATTAATTATATGTGTGGGCGGGTACCCACGGGTCGGGTTTACCTAAACCCAAACCCAACCCAACCCGGTGAATAGTGAACGGGTTTAAACCCAAACCCAACCCAAAACCCGTCAACACGGATTTTCCCCGCGTTGACCGGGTTGGGTCGGGTGGGTACCCGTGGGTTCGGGTTTGGTTGCCATCCCTACTCCCCGGACTGCTTCCAACTTCTCGGCGCGCTCCGCTCTCTCTTTTGGGTTGCCGCCCTAGCCCGCGCCATAGCAGCACTGCGTCCATGGGCCCTAGCCCACGCCCGGAGGTCCCAACTCGCGGATCGGCCCCAAAGTCGCATCCCCGGCCCGCTCCGTTTAAGTGATGCAGTCCCGCCCCAGCCCAGCAGATGAGAAGCTCATAAAAAATTATGCTGCCGCCAGGACTCGAACCCGCACCACTCTTCCACAAGTCAAGCAACTTCCCCAGCAGGCTATAAGCAAACCTTTGTTACAATGGCGCGGCATCTGATATTTAACTACTCACGCCCAGTCAGTTCCACGGAACAAATAAAAAGTCGCAATAGTCATGAACTATTCGCGCACACTCAGTTCCACGGAACAAAAAATAGCAATAGTCCCGCACTATTCGCGCCCACTCAGTTCCACGGAACAAACAAAAAGTCGCAATAGTAATGAACTATTCGCGCACACTCAGTTCCACGGAACAAAAAATAGCAATAGTCCCGCACTATTCACGCCCACTCAGTTCCACGGAACAAACAAAAAGTCGCAATAGTCATGAACTATTCGCGCACACTCAGTTCCACGGAACAAAAAATAGCAATAGTCCCGCACTATTCGCGCCCACTCAGTTCGAAAGAACAAAAAATAGCAATAGTCATGCACTATTCGCGCCCACTCAGTTCCACGGAACAAAAGTCGCAATAGTCACGAACTATTCGCGCCCACTCAGTTCCACGGAACAAAAAGTCGTCAAAAATATTATTCCTGCCGCCAGGAATTGAACTCGCGTCCCTCCTCCGCCAGACAAGTAAGATCACCAGTAGGCTGTACACGCGTCTTGTGATCCTCAGACGCACCACTATTATTTTAACAACTTTTCGAGCCGCTTCGCCAACATAAAGCTAAGTACTCTGTCCCTCTATCATTATTAAATATTGAAATATTTTACTTGCCTGAGCGTTAATGGTGCTAATGGGGGGCTACACGCCTTAATGGAATACACCAACTCGGGGGCAAGACGCAAGAAGCTGGCACCGCGTCAGTCAAACGCGCCACCAGCTGGGGGGCAACTGGGGTACATAGGGCTCCACCCAGAATTACCGACGAAGATTTAAAAATATATATATATATATATATATATATATATATATATATATATATATATATATATATATAAGCTAGCGATGAGTTAAAACTCACCACCAGCTTGGGGGGCAATTGTTGGGGGTGTTACTAAATACTTCGTGCACAGACTAAGTAATGGAGCGCACAATCAGCAATGGCAACACTCGGTATCCGCTACAGGTATATAAGGGCTTGAAGCCCTCCAAAGAATGAGACTTCTCTCTCTCTCCCCTCACTTTCCACTTTCTATCTATCTCTCTACATTTTATCTCTCTATCTATTCTCTCAACTCTCTCCACAAACATACACTGACTTGATCGTCGGAGCTTAATCCGGGGGGCAACCCCGGCTCTTTCACAGGTTCTCTCCCTCCCGACGAGATCGGACGAACAGATGACGAGTCAACCCACACCAACAATCATTATTGTTCCAGCCACGAGCTAGTTGGCACAAACAGAAAGGTATCTTTCATTTTTATGATATTATCTGTTTTTTTTTAAAGATAATACTATATTATGAATTGAATTTAGATCAAATCAAATTAAAAAAAAAATGGTTGTGAACAATGCCACTTGCATGAGCCATGAATAAGGGCTTTCTTTTATTCTTGTTATATTGTGGTTTAAGTTTAACACGCTAATCTATGCAATTTGAAGAAAATTTGAACAAAATGGGAGCAGTAATTGTAACATTAGTTATTTCAAATTTCAGTGATTTTTTGTGTATTAAAAATCAACATTGAATGCATAAACTGGTAGCTGCCCAAAGTTTGGTGGCCAATCCTGTAATATTCCATTTCTAACTCATTCTTCATCAAGGCTCACAAGTCAAAACTGCTGAGGCACCAGCAGAGATTCTGTTATATAACTTATATTAGTTATATTTCAAAATTCAGTAATAAATCGGTTAAGATCAAATATTTGGTGATTAAGATGTTAACTACCCCATAGTTTAGTGATCCATTATGTAATTCTCCCTTCTTCATTCTTCAAACAGCTCACAGTCAGAGCTGAGCTCGAGAACGAGATCTTCCTCAAATTTTGTCGATTTGACTTTTTTCCGATGCGCCGGTGATAGCAAGCAATCTTCGATCCGGATCCGCCAGCTTCCGTTAGTCTTTTAGCCGTAACGTCTGACGCCTGAACCCTCTCACCGCCCGCCGACGGTAAGTTTCCCCCCTTCTTTCTTACCTCCGATACGGTAATTGAAAATCTTTTAAAACCGTCTCTTGATTTTGGTTTTTCAATTGGGCTTTCGATGTTTCTCAGAACTAGCTTTGCCACTCGGGAAAGCTTGCATCTTTATGGTCGTTAGGCGGTAATGGCGATTTCTTCTTTTTTATTATAGGCGGAGTTCACAGAGCCCATAAAAACAGAGCATTTTCCCATTTCTAGATTCCGAGTAATCACTAGCTCAATCTAATTCGACCCTAGAGAAGAGCGCATTTGAAAGGTTAGGGTTTTCTCATTTTGCGAATTTGGTTCCCAAATCATGGAGGAACTAGATGATGGTTACTCGATGAACAGTCCAAGAACAGTCCTGAGCTTCTCAAAGAGAGAGAACCAGAAGAGGAGAACAACAAGGGGAGGATCATCTGATTTTCTCCATCATCACACTACCACGAGCAGCCGCCGTCACCCTTCATCAGCCTCCGGTCCAAAACCTTCAGAAGTTTACGGCTTTGTAGGCTCCATCACCACCATTGTTGCTACAGGTTACCGTCCCTCTCTCTGTCTGTTTTCCGTCGTTTTTGGGTTTTGTTGAAATCGAGCTGATCATATATTCATCCATGGCGGACATTGTAATGATGCAGTCATCTTCCTGGCGTGGGCTTATGTTCCTGAACCCTGGCTGCACTCCATTGGCATCTCTTACTACCCCAACAGGTGAACTTTGCCTTTCAAAATTTAGTCGATGAATTGAATTTGGTTGTTGTTGGGAGGGTTATTAAGAATCCTGTGGAATCTTCAATTTCGGTTCAGGTACTGGGCACTAGCTGTGCCAACTTATGGTATGGTGGCAATTGTGTTGGCATTGGCTTTCTACATCGGTCTCAACTTCATCTCGACGCCTTCCACAACTTCGATGTCCATGGTGTTTGATGAGTTCACCCGGGAAGCCGCCGATGATGTCAAGTTGGCACCAGGGGATCAGCAGCAGCAGGAGGCAATCAAGCCGATTTCAGATATTCCTGTCTGCAAAGTTAACAATCTCATGTTTGGAGGAGACTCTAAAAGAGTAATGGATAGATTGTGATTTGTGAATACACTTAGATATGGTGATTTTGAGCTGAATCATAGATAGAATTATACAGAGAACTTTTGAGACAAATCTCCATCTTAATGCCAATTTACAGCACAAAATCCCAACATAAACCAGCAAAGGAAGACCTTGGTTCGAAGTAATGAGAATGAAGAAGGCTACTGGACTCTGGTGAATGAAGCTGCTGCAACTTATGCTGTTCATGTATCTGCAGACAGATATGCCTCAGATAGCGCAATCATCCGAGGAAGAGCGTCTCGGAGATGTGCAGATCCTGCATCTCATGCCTGCAAAGAAAGAAATTTCCATACGACTTTCTTCGATAGCTTCGCAGCACAGTATTCAACACAGACCCTGTAGGATCAAGATAATGTTATTACCACAGCTCCTCAGCTCCAAGTTCTTCACAGGAAAACCAACCTAATCCATGGTTCAAAATCGAACTTAATACATAAACTAATTACCTATTGTAGGGATTTGACGCCGGAGTTTCAGATTTTCAGCTGTAGGGAAAAGGATTTGTCAACGATCCCTGGATCAAGCTCTCAGCAGCAACATATACGCACCCACGTTCTCAGTCCTGAAAACCGGAATTCAACCTCTGTTATTTTAATGCCACCTTCATCCACGTCTTCCTGCTACAATAAAGATCGAACCTTTTTCTCTGCGATTGGCCTTCACAAGCAATTCAAGCTTCTTTCTTCTTTTGTTTTCAAATCTCAGGCGCGGGAAAAGTCAACTGCCGACCGAAGAACCGGAAAAAATGGCGAAACCAGCAGTTTACGAAGCCGTCAGTCAGATCTACTCCTCTCCTAGACCGCCGGTCCATTTCCCGACCGACCCGAACCTCTCGCTAACCTCCTTCCTCTTCAGCTCCGCCGCCGTCACTTCCTCTCCCGATTCCGCCGCACTCATCGACTCTGTTTCCGGCGAGACTCTGTCCTTCGGACAGCTCAGAATCCACGTCAGCAAGCTGGCACACTCCCTCCGGAACAAGCTCGGCGTGAAAGCAAACGACGTCGTCCTGATTATCTCTCCGAATTCAATTCATTTCCCCATCTGCTTCCTCGCAATCGTCTCCCTCGGCGCGATTGCTACAACTTGCAATCCGGCTTACACTGTCGGCGAAATCTCCAGCCAGATCAGCGATTCCAAGCCGAAATTAATCATCACCGCCCCTCAACTCGTCGACAAGCTCGCCGGCTTCAATCTGCCGTTGATTCTGCTGAATAATGATTCCTCTGTTCTCCCCGAATTCGACGCCGGGACGGTCTGGCGGTACTCGGAACTGATCAAATCGGCCGAAGCGGAAACAGAGCTGCCGGAAGCAGAGGTGAAGCAGAGCAGCGCGGCGGCGCTGTTCTACTCGTCGGGGACGGGAGGGAAGAGCAAAGGGGTGCTGCTGAGCCACGGCAACTTCATCGCGACCGCGGCGATGGTGACGGCGGATCAGGAGGCTTATTCTGAGGCGAAGGAGGTCTTACTCTGCTTCCTGCCCATGTACCACATATTCGGGTTCTCTGCGGCGACCTACTCGCAGCTCCGGCGAGGGAATGCGGTGGTGTCGATGGAGCGGTTCGAGCTGGAGGAGATGGTGAGGTGCGTGGAGAGGTATGAAGTGACGCAGCTGGCGGTGGTGCCGCCGGTGATGATTGCTCTGGCGAAGCGGTGGGATGAGATGGGGGAGAGGTACGATCTGTCGTCGTTGAGGTTGATCACCTCCGGCGGGGCGCCGCTGGGGAAGGATCTGATGCAGGAATGTGCCACAAAACTGCCGCACGTCCATGTTGTTCAGGTAAATTGATGTTTACTCCTCCATTTTCGGCTGCAATTGCATACAAATTGTATATAACTGAACATTGTTCAAGGTAATTTTTACATATCAATGTGCAGGGATATGGCATGACTGAGACTTGTGGAATCATATCAATGGAGAATGAGAGGGAAGAAGCTCGACATTCTGGTTGTTCTGGGAAACTAGTCCCAGGGGTTGAGTCCAAAATAATTGGTATAGAGACTTCGAATCCACTGCCACCCAATCAAACTGGTGAGATTTGTGTTCGTGGACCAAATATGATGCAAGGTACGTACCGTAACGCCAATCAAGCTAAACAACTGTACTTGAACCCTTTACTTACCTCGCATAACTATAGCTCGAAACAAGCTATGGTGCTCACAACACGCCATCTGTGAGAACATGGCGAATAGGGCGAACAGAACAGTCATCGGATTGTGCATGATAGGCGTTCTGCATTGCTACCGCATTCATCCAACGACGCCTATGTGCACGTTCTCATAGATGATGGTGTTGAGAACAACATAGCCGGGTTGAGCTAGCTCCTTTCCTCGTGTTGCACTGAATTAATCGGCTCCTATGAATGTATCATCATGTTCAGGATATTATAACAATCCTGAAGCTACGAGAGAAACAATAGACAAGGAAGGATGGCTGCACACAGGAGATGTCGGGTATTTCGATGAACAAGGGCAACTCTTCGTGGTGGATCGTATCAAAGAGTTGATCAAGTGTTATGGGTTTCAGGTACGTAATTTAGCTAAAGACTGAATGGATTAATTACTACTAAGTATATAGATTAACGTACTATCGAATAACACACTAATTAATATACGTACGTACGTTATAGGTGGCGCCGGCAGAACTTGAAGGGCTGCTGCTCTCCCACTCCGAGATAGTAGACGCTGTTGTCATCCCGTAAGTAGCTACCTAACTAAGCAAAACCTGCAAGCATATGGCTTATATATGTTTTAACTAATATAATTAACATCGTGTTAATTTCATTGCATCTACATCACGTAGGTACCCGGATGTAAAGGCCGGCGAGGTTCCTATTGCATATGTCGTCCGTGCGCCCAACAGCTCGCTCAGTGAAGCGAGTGTGCAGACCTTCATTGCAGCACAGGTCGCGCCGTACAAGAAGCTGAGGAGGGTGACGTTCGTGGACAAGGTTCCCAGGTCTGGTGCTGGGAAGATTCTCAGAAGACAACTGATTGAACAAGTGCGATCACAGACATGATCATCATCAAATTGTACACGAGACCTGTAATAAATGCATGAGTTGGGTGGACGATCGATAAGCACTATAGTGAATATTAACCTTAAACATTCATCTTGTTGGTTTTTGCTCCAAGTCGGGTTCAGATTTCACGTCATTGTACATCGAAAATTAAGAGAGCTACAAATGATGCTGCTCGTAGATCTGGAGATACGCCTCTGAGAGTGCAACCATCTGAGGGAGCGTCTCTGAGACGTGCATATTCTGCATCTCGTACCTGCAACGAAAGAAATTCCGATATCAGAGATTTGGTCATTGGCCTTAGTGGCAGAATAGCAAAAGAAGTCTGTAGGATGAAGATTATGTTATATTACCATAGCTCTTCAGACTTTCGGTGGACAAAGACTCTGTAGGAACCCTCTTTTGGTCTGCCATCATGGACTATATTAGCTATCAGATCGTACTTTGAGTGTGACTTTTCTATCTTCCTAGGCAGAGGAATATAGTCCTTCAGTTCCAAGTTCTTCAAGGGGAAGTTGACTGCAACACCAATTCATTACACATATAAGCATAAGGAGATCTCTTTCAGAGCTTATGATAATCCATGGTTCATATTCCAACTAAATACACGAAACTAACCTATAGTAGGGTTCTTCTCAATGAAGAAGTTGTTCTCCTTAAACCGCTGCATGTGAAGGATTAGATACTTTGGCAACTTGGTTACCCGATATTTCATCCAGGCCCTCTGAGGCCTGACTACTTCAGTGGCAGTCTCCCCATCGAATTTCTTCAGTATGTCGAACAAAGGAATCTAAGCCAAGAAGCTATCTCAAGTAAAGGAAACTAGTTGAGCAATAATTATGAGCACTAGAAGAGTGGCATCCAAGAGAGAGAGAGAAAGAAACCTAAAGCTTAGGACGTAAGGCAATAAGGAATAGATAACATACCTGTGGAATAATACTTTTGTCCATCACATCCTTAAACAAAGGTTGTGGTGGCAAATCCAGTCCGAGCACCAAGAATGGCATTCTTGATTTTTCCATTAGAACATCATCATCTCCTGTCTTGCCATCTGTCTCTTTCATAACCTCAAGTTCTCCCTGCCAAGCCGAAGAAGCTATAAGTACACAAGTAACAGCAGTAAAGACAGTTGGGAAACAGGGAAAAAGACATTCAGTAGCATTACAATGTCGATGCACTTACCTGAAAGCAGTCATAAATTACGCTATTGTTTTTTGAATTTTTAAGTTCTGCATGGAGTGCTTTGAGAAGCCATTGCAAGAACTCCAGAGGGTCAGACTGTTGGCCTATGCAAAACCTTTTCTTGCTGACTTCCGTAACTGATTGAAGAAACTCATGAGGGCTCACCTGCACAGAATTCCAAAACATGAATTATGAAAGCTGACATTCAAGACTAGCATGGCCTATTTAACGTTATTACTGAGGTCGTTATTACCTGTCCCTTGAAGTTTCGTGCATGCCATATCTTCCGTGTTAGCTCCCCAAAGCATTGAACAAGAGAGGACTGACAGTGCTGATAATTTTCAGGAATAAGGAAGAAATTTCTTAAAGGTGTTACCCTCATTAGAGACTGAATGGTAACATTCGTGAAATCAGTTCCTTGAAGCTTATTGAGGCCCACCTGATAGTATAAGAACCAATGCCATAGTTAAAACATAGCATAAACCTAAAAGGTAAAATCATATAAAAAGATGACACCATTCCAAGCCTGCCGACAGAATTACTAGCTAGGGAAGATAAACACATTAACATTATTGAGGAAATATAAGCAGACCATTCCTGGAAGGTAATCGGATCCATCGAGCGCCCTAGACCATTGTCTGTTTTTGTCCAGCTGTGCAACTTGTTCCACTGTAAACCTGCATCGCATCAAAAGATGAAGTTGAGTGTCTCACTGCCTGCAATCGATAAAGGATCGATGGAATAAATGCAAAATTAGAACAGAAACAAACCTCGGGTTCAGAACATGGCATATGTCATCTAAAGACGGATCAATGATTTCATATCCATCAGGAAGACAGTATATTTTCTCATTCTGTAGATTGATATAGACATGGTGATCTGCTTCAAGACTATGAGTATAAGCATGGGTATTCTTCCTTCTTCCTTGGTAATACTTCCCACACACCAGACATGCATAAACATCCAATTTTTCCAAAGAGACCGAGCATTTCTTCTCAAAATCGAAATCCAGCACCTGCAAGAAACAATGGTTCCAATCGGGTTTGTTATGGAGCCAATTTGCATAACTTCTACCGCAAACATCAGAGCTATATTACCTGGCGATTCACAGTATCGAGATACGGGCAGTCTCCACGAGGCTGCAGTTGCCTCCGCCGCCTATGAAGGCTAGACCCTTGTTGATCATCATCAACAACATGAACAGCTCCCTCCACTTTCTGTCTCTTAATGGAACCTTGTTCATCCACCATTATCCTATCAAGTTCTTCACTCTTCAATGTCTTCATCAACACCATCTCTCCAAACTCACTCGCTCTCTTCTCCAATTTCAATGCCTGCAACACCAGCAGACAGTACGCTATCAAGACAAGTTCAACCTCTTTCAATTTCATTTACTCCTCCCATCCAATTCCTAATTGTTCGTTCCAATCTCAGCTTTTCACTATCGAGAAGCAAGTAAAGAGAGAAAGAGATTAGAAACGGTACCTAGGGTTGAGTGATACTGATACCGCTCTCGAGTCCTTGTTGTCTTTCTTCTTCTTCTCCTCTGCTTTCACTTGTGCTTCGCCGAGCGAGTCACCGGCCAGCGGACGGCGGAGAGGCTCAGCTAGCCGATTCGCGAAGGATCTAACTACCCAGGAGCTGCGAGCTGCGAGCTCGAGAAGAATCCGGCGTGTGTTCGACTTCCGTTTTCGGTTTTCCCGTCCGGGCAGAGAATTTGACGCGGGAGTTTAATTTTACCCATTTTGATTTTTAGGATTTTTTTTTTAAGGATTATTATAAGTCTTTTCCATTTTGTTTAAGAATTCCTTTTCCGTTTTCGTTTCAACTAGTTTTTAGTTCTTGGGCCCAAACGAATTCATTGGACTGATCAAGCAAAGCCCAACCGAGTCCGGCCCATTCGAGTGTTAGTCAATGGGCTAATACCCTGCTTGTACCTTCACGAAGAGATAAATTATTTCCGTTCATTTTCGTACAACGAACCTGATAGCCATATGTAATACAGCAAAGGAAGAACTTCCCTACCCTCCAAAATTTTGATCACTATCAAATACCTCATCACATCAATCACTACAACAATTAACCTTAACATTCATCTTGTTGGATTTTGCTCTGTATCGGGTTCAGATTTCACGTCGTGCATCCAAAGTAAAGAGAGGGAAGTAGCACGAACGAGTTTCACAGCCTTGGACGTCATGGCTCCTACTACTGATGCTGCTCGTATATCTGGAGATACGTCTCCGAGAGTGCAACCATCTGAGGGAGTGTTTCTGAGACGTGCAGATCCTGCATCTCGTACCTGTACGAGAGATTACTTCGTTAGCCATAATAGAGTTATGGAAGAAGATCAATATTGGGAATGAGGATTGTGTGGTTTACCATAGCTCTTCAGACTTCCGTTGCACAAACACTCTGTACACACCCTCTTTCGGTTTGCCATCATGGACAATGTTGGCTATCAAGTCGTACTTCGACCGCAATTTCTCGTTCTCCTTGGGCGTTGGCAGAGGAATGTAATCTTTAAGTTCCAAGTTCTTCACGGGAAAGTTGACTGCAACACCAATTTATATGTAAATGTAAGCACAAGAAGCTCTTTGGGAGTTGATGATAATTCAATGCTAGAATTCCTGGCTTGTGATGGAGACTAACCTATTGTTGGGTTCTTCTCAATGAAGAAGTTGTTCTTCTTAAACCGTTGCATGTGAAGGATTATGTATCGAGGCAATCTGGTCACTCGATATTTCATCCGGGCAATATGAGGTCGGACTACTTCGGTGATAGTCTCTCCATCGAATTTCTTCAGTATGTTGAACAAAGGAACCTAAAACAACAGTATTGAGAAGAGTACAGAATTAATCACGGAGGAACACTAAATCAAAGAAACCCAGGTTCTACATTACCAGGCAGTATTGTTCATACTAAGTATCAACAATTCCATATAGCATAAAAACGAACTATAACATCTTTGCATGATGTGTACAATTGGCATAATAGATTACCAAAACCAACAGTATATTGTTCACAGAAATGCAATGTCAATGTCTCGGGATATGAGTTCAGCCGCTCTATTGGTAAAGGAGAGTACAGTAACTGACTCAGTAATCCACTTCCGATTTTAACAAATATGAGACTAGATGAATGCTTCTTCCTTCAGGTGATAAATCTATCATAGATTCAATTAACATGGCTGCAAGACAGCTAATATTCAAGTCACAGTAGATTGAGGAGTAATTAGGCAACAATTAACATTCAGTAAGTTATTGACTTATTGCCAACAATCCACATGGCCGATTGAGTATCCTAATTATTCCTTATCTAGCCATAATAATTACCAAGGACAAGGATAGCCACAAAGACCAACATTTTCACATGACATTAAGGCATTAGGTTGTGGGCAAACACCATTTAAAACAACAACAGAATTGACCTTGGATAAACTAAGGCATATTAGGGATCTATTAGGCAATAGTATGGGAAATCCTAGAGAGAGAGCCATAAGACAACATTGCAAACCTAAAATTAGGACATAGAGAATAGTCAAATACCTGTGGAATAATGTTTTTCTCCATCACATCCTTAAACAAAGGAGGGGGTGGCAAATCCAGTCCGAGCATCAAGAATGGCATTCTGGACTTCTCCATCAGAGCATCACCACGTTCTGTCTCACCATCAGTAGTTTTCTCACTCTTGTCACCGCCATTTTCTTTCTTTTCAGTGATAGCTTTCTTAGGTATCTCTTTGATAACCTCCAACTCTCCCTGCCAAGCCAAGGCAGCTAAAATATAAGATCACAAGTAACAGCAGCAAACAGTTGGGAACATGGAAAGGCTAATTAGCCCAATAACATTACAACGGCAGACTATTACCTGAAAGCAGTCATAAATTATGCTATTATTCTTCTTGGAGGTCTTAAGTTCTGCGTGAAGCGTATTGAGAAGCCAAGCCATGAACTCAAGAGGGTCAGACTGTTGGCCTATGCGAAACCTTTTCTTGCTGGCTTTCATAACTGCTTGAAGAAACTCATGAGGGCTGACCTGCACACAATTACAGTATGAATGATAAAGCTGAAATACAAAGACCATCTCCAATATATCATCATTTCTAATGCCATACCTGTCCCTTAAAGTTTCTAGCGTGCCATATCTTCCTTGTTAGCTCCCCAAAACGCTGAACAAGAGAGGACCGATTGTGCTGATAATTCTCAGGAATGAGGAAGAAATTTCTCAAAGGTGTTACCCTCATCAGAGACTGGATTGTAACATTCACGAAATCAGTTCCCTGGATGTTATTGAGGCCCACCTGATAATACAAGGATCAAAGCTACAGTTAAACACAGCTTAAACCAAAGGGATAAACATATCATTTTGTAAGGAAAATACCCACATCAACATTCAGGAAATGGAGCAAGAATAGAGAAGTAAATGCACACCATTCCAGGAAGGTAATCAGACCCATCAAGCGCCCTAGACCACAGTCTGTTTTTGTCCAGCTGTGCAACTTGCTCCCTGGTAAACCTGCATGCATCACAATCCAAACAAGAAGCTGTGTGTATCACCCCTCACCCATAATAAATTTCAGGAAAAGGCTTCATGCAAAGCTGTACATCTTCACAAGGTAGAATAAGGGGTAAAGCAAAAGAAACAAACCTCGGATTCAGCACATGCCGAATGTCATCTAAAGACGGGTCAATGATTTCGTATCCATCAGGAAGACAGTACACTTTCTCGGTCTCTAGATTGATATACACATGGTGCCCTGCTTCAAGACTATGAGTATACGCATGGGATTTCTTCCCTCTTCCTTGGTAATACTTCCCACAAACCAAGCACGCATAAACGTTCAGATTCGACAAAGAGACGGAACAAAACTTCTCGAAATCGAAATCCAGCACCTACAAAATAAAGGTAGATCGACACCCACCATTCAAACTTCCTTGACATACAAGAAGAAAAAAATTAAGGCCACATTTTTAAGCACCCAAAAACATCAGAGCTCCCTCTACCTGGCGATTCACTGTGTCAAGATAAGGGCAGTCCTCACGAGGCTCCAGTAGCTTCCTCCGCCTCTGAATGCTCGCCTCTTGTTCATTATAATCATCATCGTCGTCATCATCATCAACAACAGCTCCCTCTTCTCCACCCCTACCGCCATTGTTCCGCTCCCTCGCTTCATTCTCCTCCTCCTCGTCCACGTCATTGTACGGGACTAGAGGGTTGTCAGTATCTACAGGAGAAGACGGACCTTCTTCCACTCTCTGTCTTTTAACGGAGCCTTCTTCCACTTCATGATCTCTCTTCCTCACCATCCTCTCTCCTAAACTCTCTCTTCCCCAAATTCAACAACCTGCAACACAAAAGGGCGAATCGAAATTCCTCCAACCTCAAGTTAAGCTTCTTCTCGAAATCGAAATTCCTAATCACACACCAAAACCCTAACTGCTGAGGCTGTCGACAAAGCAAATAAGGAGACGAAGGGATTACAAACTGTACCTCTAGGGTTCAGTGATGCCGCTCGACTCCCTCGTTGTTGTTGTCTTCTGGTGCTTCCCCGAGCGAGTCTACGACCAGGGGTCCGGCGGAGAAGTTCTCAGCTTGAAGAACGATAAGCAATGTTGGTCGACGAAGAATGAAGCTGGAAATGAGAGTTGCGAGCCAGGAAAAAAATTGGAGTGAAGGAGAGGGAGGCGGCTTCTAAATGGAGGCAGAAGAATAACCAGAATCGGGCGGGTTTTCGTTTCCCGGCGGAGAAGCGACCGGAAAAGAGAATAGGAGAATACGGCGTCGTGTAACTCATGGGCCGTAGCTCCTTTGGGCTTAGCCCACTTGTGATTTGCCTCTAATATTTATTTTCCGTGTTTTATTTTACCAAAAAAGTATATAACGGCATGTTTGGTCAGACAAAAAATTGAGGAATTGCAATTCAATTTCCAATTTCATTTTTTATGTGACAATTTCATTTCATACTCTTATGTTTGAAATGATAATAGCTTGGGAAATTAATTTCATTTTCCCTAAATTTTGAAATTAAAATGTCTATTAGAAGTTATAGAAATTGAGGTTATTGAGATGGAATTAGTGGGTCTTCAATATTTATTATTGCTTCACTACAATCTCTTCCTCTTTTTCTCTCATCCATATTTAATTTCTCGAGATTAAACCCTCCATCATACGAGCATACCCATCATGAATACCCCAAACTTCGACATAGATAAAATTGGACATAACTTATGAGGACCGATATCACATCTAAATACAAGTATAACATGAGGTTGTTTCTGCGCAACTCATTTACTAAACAGGGTGTGGCCCAACCTCCGGTCGGTGAAGTAGTTACTAATCATGAAAATATGTAGAAACCGGATATCAAACTAGTTATGGTTTTACGAGAGCTCTAACTAAAACTAGTAATTTTATAAGTCATGCTCCACATATCTCAAAGACCATAATGCTCTCTTCTTCAATCCCCGTCAGACAAGGACTGGAGATTTTCCATTCATAAAATGGAGAGGATGTATCGTACGATTTTGCTCAATGAATTCTTTGATCCGTATTTATTGATCACATAATGATTTCGATTTGGAAGAACATATACCTCACAATTGTTTAATAAATAGTCTCATACAAACTTTCAACCGATACGATAAAAAAAGAACTCTTGGCTTTTTCGATCAAAATGACAAAATAAAGGCAGACAAAGTCTCGTACAATGCTAATTGTAAATATAACATAAACATAACACAAAAATAAATTTTAACAATATGAAGTCCTCAAAAATTATCTTGTCATCCAAGCATGCGATTAGACCAATCTCTCTGTTGCGTTTATGTTGGCAGCCATTCTTTACGAATATCAAAGGTGTAGTTGATCTCCAAGTAACATTTGTTATCATCATCCACAAACTGAGAACAAACATGAACAAAATGTAAGTAGCAAAGAACAAACACGCAATATGTTAATCACCAATGAGTAGCGTGAGAGAGAAAAATGTCATAGTCTAACAAATTTCGTGATATTTTCTTATCCCTTAATCAAAATGAGTTCAATTCATCAATTATCAAAGGCAGAAAAAAGCATAAACTATTGCCATTTTTTTAGTAGTGTGAGACACTTTTACGATTTTGAATTGTTTTCACTTTCAGAATTTTGTGCGCTCGCCATAGCTTATGTGTATTTTGTGTTTCATACTCTCTAATGAATTTTATTATAATAAAACTAGTGAAAATCACTAGTGCGAGTGTCTTTTTTACGGTTTCTCGGAGAATATCTCTGTTATTGAATATAGATCCATCACTTAACATAAAATAATAATTAATTGATCAAAACACATCGTTGCTAGGTATGAATTGAAAACTCACTCACCTTACTTCTAGCTGAGTATGATCCTCTAGCAAACATGCCGGAAGGAGTAGTCTCCTCGGGCATCTCGTGTGTATAAGTTTCTGCTTGTGGACTAAAAGTTCCAAGCATCTCCTTCGTACTATCAACTGCCAAGAACAAAGATAACACATAATCTTGAATTGTTATAAACTGAAAACAAAAATGTCTATTCGTCGTATAAATGAAATTTTAACAATTTCTTGAGGTTAACAAACATCTTTAAAAAATAAGGAAACAAATTAAATATGTCAGGGAGAGAGGAAGCAACCTTTGACACCGGTTTTCCAAACTGTGTTGGTATATCTTAGCCCGCACACTATGTTATTCTTGACTTCGAAGGTGAAGAGTAAACTATATCGACAACCTTCTTTTAAGGTGAACCAACAACCTTTGGGATCTCCATCTTCTGGGATCGAAAGCACAATATCCTCCCTATCAGGGGATTTGATTGCTAGACTTAAAATCTTCACTTCGGGATCCAAAGTTTCTGTAAAATACAATGCATGATTTCAAGGAATAAATATGTGACTTTAGAAAACTAACACAAAAGCACACGAGTCATTATTACTCATAAATATTTTACCTCCGACAGCCTCAATATCCACAGCACCAAGAAGTTGCTCCTTCCATCTCCTCAAGCTCTCGTCATCCTATAATGTTCTCAATTACCATAAACACAATGGGTTATAACTACTATATCCTTTTGTACGCTTATGTGTTTCAACCATCATTCAACTGTGCTATGTAGTTGGAGATAGTTGCAAATTTGAATATCATAAATTTCGAATTTATTGTTTAATGTTATAGAATCACCTCCAAAGAAATAACAATCAATAACATAATCTCACAAAAATCATTGAAATGAATAAGTATTTCCATACCTTATCCTTTTCAAGTTGTTCTTTGAGTGTGTATTGAGGTCCCACTTCAATCTTTCTTTCTTCATCATGATCATCATCTTCATCTTCCTCATGGTCCTTACCTTTAGTCTCCTTTGCCTCATTTTTTTCAGGCAATTTCTCTCCTGAAACTTCCTCCTCATTTTTGTCCATTTTTTGCTTTCTTTTCCTTTCTTAATTAGTTTTTCTCTCTCTTAATCACATAAACCCAAGTAGCCTTGGAATGGCAAAAATACCCGCAAAAAGAAAACCAAACTTACAAAATCATTGGGGAAAAAAATGAAATCCCAAATTAAAGCAAAACAACCTAATGCCTCTCTATAATTCAAGAATGGACTAATGATGTAACAACCATTTGATAGTTAAACATTGCTCAAAGAAGAAGTAAGAAGTGTTGATACAAAAGATAGGGAAAAAATGGAGGAGATGAAATGAAAGTACAAATGGAGAACACCCAGAAAAGAAAATAAAAGTCAACCTCTCACCAATCAATAATGATCAGGATTTGATCAGGGAGATAAGTGCAAAGGATTAAGAGAGATAGTGTCAATGGTTAGATGTGGAAAGTGCAAACATGAAAGATACACAGAGGAAATAGTCTTGTGGTGATCCGAAGTTTTATGAGTCATATTAGACGATCTATTTTGAGTTAAAATTGGGTTTGACTCCTTCACATGTCATATTTATACAGAAGAATAAATGAAATGAGATTAGAAAATATTAATAATCCAATATATAAACATAACTCACTTTATCGATGATTTTAGAAAGTATGTAATTTTTTTTTCTTATCCAAGATCATATATGTCCGACAACATAAGGATACAAGTTAAACTAAGAATAAATCTTATTTACTCGTATGAACGTTCTACGACTGTATTATATTGCAATAGTATACATGCGGTAACTTGCCACTTACATACCTAGTATAAACAAACATGAATTTTGCATTGGAATGTCAACCTTATCTTCAATCTAAGTGTTGTAGTTGATACATACCATTTAGTAAATCTCTGAACTTAAAAACAATAAGATAATCGCCATCAAAAGCAAATACACCATGGCTCGTTTCATGTTGTATCGATAAAGGTTTAAACCTTTCATCATGTTGAGTATACCCATCACGAATGCCACAAATCTCTGCAAATAGTAAATTTGGCTAAGAAAACTAAATTTGACTCATCGAATTTCTGCAAACAAGTCTTTGCACTCAGTTGGTTTTCAAATATCCATAAGTAATCCCTTGAAGTTGAGGTTTTGCTAGGGGGATTTGGAGGAGGTAAATGACTTTCAAGCTTATGCTTATTAGTGAGTTTATGAAATCAGACGCAACAAATATGAGATTGGAAGATAATTAAATCAAGATTACCGGGGAAAAAAAGATAATTAAATCAACCCAAATTAATATTGATGATCAAATTATGGCATGTCAAATCCCTTACCAATCTTATTGGCTCGATGTTAAGGGGTAGTACTTCCACAAGCATCTCAAGGTTCCTATATATATAATTTATCACAGTAAGGATTATGAAGGAAAAGCATAATAATACAATATGAACTAACTGATTAAATTGATATTGATCCAAACCTTATAAAAAACTTCCCCTGGTAGGTTTGGAGAATGTAGAGGTTTAAACCTTCTCCAAGAGGAAAATGTGTCTTGCTCCATTCTTCAAATTATTATAAACCCAATTACATAATTAGCACCATAAAATTAATGAAAATTATTAGAAGTTAAATATGAATGAAAGTAGGGTGGATTAAATAATAACTAATTTTATGTATTATATTACGTACGAAATTTCCAGGTGAAGCCAACATTGATTCCATGTCGCAAAGTGGGTTTCACCACAAACTCAACATTGTCTCCCAAACTCGTCATCAAGTGCTTGAAGAAGCCATGGATGGCTTGCTGATCAAACAACGCATCCATCAATAGATATTGCCATCGAAGCAAGGAATCTGATCGTGGATCTTCATTAAAGAACATATAAAGGAATTGACGGTTTAACTGGGGTTATTTCTAGATGAAAAATCGCTAGATGTACATACTTGTTTTTCGAAGAGATCGAACTCATCGCCACTGGAAACATCGGAATTCATATGGCCATCAACATCGTCGTTAACGCTTTTGTTGTTGTTGCTGCCGGTGCCACTGTTATTGTTATCGTCTTTGGATGATGATGACAAGGAGAAGATTTTGACACGAATCCGTGATCTTTCGAAGGAGGAAGAAAGGTTTCGGGTGGGGCTAGAAGAGTTGGTTTTGTGGAAGGGGATATGGGTCTTTTGGCACCCGAGAGGAACATTGGGAGCTACGTGGGAGAGTTTGGAGGTACAAGGTGGAGGAAAAGGAGATGCAAATGCAACAATGGTAGCCATCTTGAAGATGATTTAAAACATGGTCCATGGATTGGAATTTGGAGGGGCTTATAAATTAAATTTTGTTTAATTGTTTTGGGGTATTAATTATGTGGGAAGCAAATAGGTTTGGAGTATTGGGAGAACATGCAATCTTTCATATAGTGTTGTTTTCATGCTTTATGCATTATTGGACAAGGAATTATATTCCTTTCCCTAGTGTACAAGTAAAGTATGTTTGTTGTATGAAACAAAAGAATATACTAATATCTTCTAATCAATACTAACAAGAAATTAAAAAAAAAACTGTAACTTATTAAGAGAAGAAACCTAAATTTTGTTTAAATAATATGAGTTGACATCGTTTCAGGAAATTAGGTCGATTTGAATCAATTATAAGAAAGCGTAGACTTTCTCTTATATATCAAATAGAGTATATATATCTAGCTCTTTTGTTTTAAATTTGAGTAAATTGATACTTGATTTAGACTACTAGCTACAAAAATATCTGACGGACTGAAATAGAATGACTACGACGTTAGCTCTATCGAACTTTAATGTCCCATATGTTTAACATCAAAGTTTAGTGACTAGTTTGTTAGATCTCAAAGTTATGGGGACCATTATGATAATTTAACTTTCGTGCTACAAATGCAAGTGCAACTCCCCATTGGGCATTGGCCATTGGATACGGGAAAACGGTGCGTATTGGTCGCTGACGTCATGTCCGTCTTTGCGCGAAACGCCAAAAAAATCATAGCGCGACAAGAACAGAAAGACCCAAATCAAAGTAGAGAAGCAGCTGCAAGCCCAAAAACCCAATCCCATTCCCTCTGAAATCTCCTCTCCATCTCTATCTTCTTCCATTATCGCCGGATTCAGAGACTTCCGTTGACGCCATAGGAAGAGAGATTTAAGAGGGGAAGGGAACTTAGCATCTGGTGATTAGTAATCCGCCCAGAGGGATTAGCAAAAGGGGAGGAGTAGTTTTAGCAATGGCGGAGGATCTGGTTCTGGACACGGCGATCAGAGATTGGGTTCTGATCCCGCTCTCCATCGTCATGGTTCTCATCGGCGTGCTTCGTTACTTCGTCTCCAAGCTCATGCGTTCCACTCAGGTCCCCGACGGCAAGATCGTCAAAGAAGGGCAAGTCTGCCCTAATCTCTACTCCCTCTCTCTCGTTTGCGATTATGGCTACTGGGTTGGCATAAAATTGACTTCTTGCTGCTGGGTTGTTGTAATTTCAGGCAGGTGATCGTTAGGGCTCGGAATTTGAGGGCGGCGGCGAATTTCATTCCTGCCAAGTCATTTCGTGCTCGTCGAGCTTATTTCAGTAACGAGGTTTGTCTTCTTCCTAACCCCAAACATTGGAGCTGCTTGGGGCTTCTTGTTCAGTTCTTTCATGTTCGGTTTTATCAGAGGAATCAATTTAGCGAATTTGAATGTGCAATCTGGATTGTTGGTTTGGGGAAGTAGCTACAATGAAACAGCTAGTGCTTTAGGTTTCGAAGTAGGAAACACAAATTTGCATATGTTCCTTCTTATGGTGAGAGAGTCAAGAGTGAGCTTCCATAGAATAAATTTGGGTTCTGAAGTTAAGAATCTGTAGAGTGTATCTGCATGCTAGCAGAAGAGCATTGGATTTTGTGGCAGCATGTAAGGAAGTTTTTGTCTTTCTGGAGGCTGGCATTTGATTGTTTATGGCATTAAGTATTGAAAGTTCTTGTCTTTCCGGGCTGGCAGGAGAATGGACTGCTGCATGTTCCTAAAGGGCAAGCTCAGAACCCACAAGCGCAAATGTTCTCTGATCCGAACATGGCCATGGATATGATGAAGAAGAATTTGTCTATGATTATACCTCAGGTACTCTCACGTTTGATGGAGCCAATTTTAGCTATCTCTGATGGGGTTATTCAGATAATAAAAGTTATTGACTCTCTTGTCTTGCCGCTGCTACTTGTCAGACTCTTACTTTCGCCTGGGTCAACTTTTTCTTCTCTGGATTTGTTGCAGGTTTGTTTTCTGTTTATTTTTGTCTTGTTGAATGTTACTGCTTTGAATTTTTTTCTTCTTTTTATCTAACATGTTACATAATACAATATTTTGTCTCACTTAATTGTTTGGTTTTCTCTTCCTCCCAGCCAAGATACCCTTTCCACTGACTCAGAGGTTCAGATCAATGCTCCAAAACGGGATTGACTTGAGTACTGTTGATGTTAGCTATGTCAGTAGCCGATCATGGTAATTACCTACTTGCACGAAGCAGAAATGATGTACTTTGATCTAATTTTTCCCCCTATAGCTACTTAGTTGACCACGTCTGTTAATATCCTTTGTCCAGGTATTTTCTTAATTTATTTGGGCTGAGGGGCTTATTCAGTCTTATCCTTGGAGAAGATAATGGTTAGTGGTATCTTGTTTAGATTCCATATGTTACCATTACTGGCTGTTCTTAGCTTTCGACGTCTTTTGTCTGTTATTTTCTGACAAATTATGGTCCTAATGCAGCCACTGATGATGCTCAGCGCATGATGCAAATGAGTGGGTTTGGCTTTGATCCAACGAAGGTATGAACTGAACTTGGTATTCACAGGAGCATTCTATTTTTTTGAAAGATTCTGCTCTAAGCTTATAATAAGAACTATTGCCAGTATGTTCTGGATTTTTAACTTTTGAAGGTTTCATTTAGCCTTGGGATTAAACAGTCATACTGGCTGCATACATGATCTCTCAGAACAAGAATAATATATTATGATTGGAATAAAAGAAATGATTTAGGGAGACTTCAGTTTGTCATAATGTAATCGATCTTGTGCAGTAGGAGATAACAAGATAATCTTAACGTTCAACTTTTTTGGAAGAATTGCCATGTACTGGAGTGTTTGCTTTTCATATCTAATGTCCGAGGAAGTGTAATAGATATAAGGCAACCAAGTTGATATCGAATACGCATAACTCTTTAATAATACATGCATTTTTGACTGGTGATCCTCCTAGATTATTGTGGGGCATTGCATGCTTACTTTAGTTCTTGGTAACCAAGCTTCTGACAATGGAACTTTGTCTAAGTTCTCTGTAGTATACTAGTTGCATCTGATTGTGACCTACCCGAAGACAAAATTTGCCCCCATATTTTATCCCCGTTAAGGTCAATTTGCTAGTTACCGTGTTTTAAGCTTCCCAATTAACTTTGCTCCCAAACTGCTTACTCCTTAGCTAGTAGTTATAGTTATGCCTTTCCTGTGATGGTTTGTGAGCAGTCGATAGATAGATGTAATATAAGTAGCAAATTCATATGGGTCTGCACTAAGAAGTTAAAGATCTTAAGCAGTACATGGTCACAATTGCCTTAATCCAAGCATGCACTCTTGTACTTCATTCAGTTGAACCATCCATAGAAGTCTTATCCATTCTTTTTAGCTACTGAAATATCTGCATTCCAGAGCATGCATCTACAGCTCCCTACCTGTCTTCTTGAATGGCTGCCAGATCGGTTCACATGCAATTGCTGCATCTTTTTTTACTAGAGAGTCCCACAATGAATCATAAATAGCCAAAACAACTTAAGGCACCAAAAAGTTATCCAAGACCATGGTGAAGAAAACAAATGACTACTAAGTACAAAAGAGATACATGTGCCTGGCTTGAGTCTTGTCCTTTTTGTTTGTCCAAGTTGGTAAAATTGTCCTTTCTTTAGATGTTTCATCCAGTAAGCCAACCCTTATTACTGGATTTTTAGATACGAGATTCGCAAGTATCTGTTTTGGACCCTATACTTTATATCAGCCTTGTGTTTAGTTTGAGATATCTGAATCCAGATTGTTAATAACTCTGAAAGAAATTTCTATCTGGGTAATTTCTAATCTGCCTATGTCCATCCTTGACAGAATTTGGGTGCCGAGAAAGATGGGCTCGATATAGTTCAGCACGAATGGGCCCTACCAAAGTTTGAGCAGCGTGCAGAAGCAGTCCTTAAAAAGCTTGTAAGTTAAGGTTTTCTGTTGATTTATGCAAAAAAACAGTCTCTAGTCTTGCATAGATCTTCTGTGAGCTAGAAAATTGACTGGACTAGAACAATTACCCGCGAGCCCAGTGAATCGATCCTTGTATTTGGGATTTTTGTTTCTCAAGATTATATGTTCAGTGAGAAAATTCCACCCTGCTTACTGTAGTTTGTTTCTCTTACCTCTTGAAAACAAAGGGCAGACAGTTCATGATAGTTCATCAGATTTGTATGAAATCGTATGGCGAACATATGAACACATATTGAATCGTTGCTCCATCGCTGTAGGAAACTGCACCTTGTATGCACACTGTCTTCAATAGTTTCTCACTGAAGCATGAGTTGCAGGCTTGTATTATATGTATGGTTTCTGATTGTCGGATAATGACCATGATCATCTCTTCAGAAGAAAAATAAAACCAGTTGGTATCTTGGTAGAATTCATCTGTTGATTCATCATTGGGACATTCAAAAGTGGACCAGGTTTGTTTGCCAAAATAAAGGTATAGGATGAGAAAGTGAAAATATGGTCATGATGGATGTAATAGAAGGCAGTGTCAGGGAAAGAGGGAGAGAAAACAGGAACAGGGTAGAAAAAAAGGAGTTTGTCGATTTGCCATGGTTTTCTGAATCTCATGTTTGTGTTTAAAGGCATTTATGGGGGGGCCGGCTAAGAAAGGTGATATGAAATGAGTGCCCCACTATTAGTCAAGATGTCTCACTAACTGTTTTTCCATTGATTTCAAGTACATGGCTCTATCTTATGAATCAACTCTGTAGAGGGGATCAAATCATCTGATTTTGTCCCCAAATCTTGAGTTGCGAAACGACTGGTATTGGTACTTGCTTAATCAGGGACTTGGAGGGATATTATTTTCCGATTGTTGGATGAATGTGAGTGGTTTCTGTAAATCATAATTGATGAGGACGTTTTGAAGATCGACCTGCATCAACTTGCTCTCATCTCAATTCTCATGCTGAGATAGCTGACTACTGCAATAAAAAAACCAGTAGCTCCACTAGGCTATAGAGATTGTCTGGAAGAGGGAAGAACCTAGCTTATTGCGGTTCACTTAGAAGGCCCCCCCATAGCATGAATGGGTTGATTGGATTGTTCAAAGCTGAATGAATGATTTTGGTGTAACTTTTAGACATTCAGATGCTTTGAACCATAACCATCATCTCAGGTGTTGGCTAAAAAGTTGTGGCTATAACATTTGCTTTAAGCTTGATGTGGGTTGTTTCCTGTACTGTCTCCATCTTCATCCCCTTCCTTTTTCTACTTTCCTAACCTTCTGGCTGGTCCAGATTGGACTGCTCAATGTGCCAAACCGCGAGCCGATTCAGTTGGCTCGTCACCAAAGGTTTTGAGCAGCGAGAATGTAGTCTAGTGACCATTTTTGCAGTCGATCTTGTGAAGGGACATAATGGATCCCATAGATAGGTACATGGCAATGTGGCATGGGAAGGTTCATGACACAGAAATTGGAGGACACTTGGCCATGAAACTCGCATTATGATTGAACTTTTTGTGAAGACAGGATGAGACTGGAGGACCGTGATCGAGCGTGGCCAATATCAGACTCCCCTCAGATGGTAGGGTCGTCCCTAAATTAGCAACATGATGGTTTCCTAACCCTTGTTTGCAAATTGGCTTTGGCTGCCTTCTTCCAGAGTCCCCACCAGAGCAATAATTATTCACTACCGGACATGGAAACTCTGAGCATTGAGCAGTAACTTGTCTAGCTAGCCAGCGAATTGCAGTAAGGTTTCCTACTGTACATCTCTCTCTCTGATCATTGAACAGCCCAAATGGATGGGCGGACGATTTGGCCCAAAACAGAAGGTGGTGGTTCCAGCTCGTCAAGAAATGGGCAAAGGCATGGCGGGCGGGCGGCCACATAGCTCCAGCTCACCCACCTTGTCCGCCTACTACTGCATCTTATCACAGACCAAAGAGTTAAATCACAGTCAGTTCTATCTTCTTCTTCTTCCTGAAAGCTTCTTCATTGAATGCCTCTGTCTTCATCAGCTTCATCATTTTCCTACTCTGCATTTTCCCTGTTCTCTTTCTGGTAAACCCCAGAAACAGAAATTCTTCCCAACCCAATCTCCCACCCGTGTGCAAAATCCTTTCTTTCCCACGGCGCCAGCATCCCTTATCAGCTTGTAAATGCCGGCCGGCGGCGGGGCGGTCTCTGCCAACGGTGGATAATTTGGAGATAAGAAACCGACAAATGTACAGAGATAATTCTAATGGCAGGCACCACATGTGATGGAGGGGAAGTTTGTCCTCTTTCTTTTTGCCGCTTAACCCCCAATCATCTCGAATTCCCTTCTCTGAGCTCTCACATCGCCGCCTGCTTTTCTGCTCTGCTCTGTTCAGTCACTGTCCAAAGTTCCCACCAGCTCCTCTAGGCTCCACTCTCCCTCCTTCTCCCCCATAAACCCTGTTTGTTTGGTTTTTTCACCTTGGCTTACCAGCAAAAAGCATTATGTGGGACTCCGAGAGTGAAACCGGCGGCGGCGGCGGCCGGGATTATGGCAATGGAGCTATTTCCTCCACCAAACACGCCCTCCAGACTGATGGGTTCGAGCTCAGAGACCGTTCCTGGTAAGAAAATTATGATTTTTCACTCTTTCGTTTACATCCTTTAGCCTTCTTCAACTTCAGAATCACTGGCTCATTTGATGGGAATTTTTATCAAGGTATGTTGCTACTGATATCCCGAGTGATTTCCTGGTCCAAATTGAAGGCGTTCAGTTCCACCTCCACAAGGTAAAACTCGTTGCTCTGCTTCAACAATTGAACTTCTGAAACGAGGCTGCTCTGTTTTCCTTTTCTCATACTATAGGTTGCTCTGTTTTTTTCATTTTTCCTTTCAGTACCCTTTACTATCCAGGAGCGGGAAAATGAACAGACTGATCTACGAATCGAGGGAGGCAGCAGAGGTGAACAAGGTTGTTCTCGACGATCTCCCCGGCGGCCCCGACGCATTCGAGCTCGCGGCCAAGTTCTGCTACGGAATCGCTGTCGATCTAACCGCATCCAACATTTCGGGGCTAAGGTGCGCGGCAGAGTACATGGAAATGACAGAGGATTTGGAGGAAGGCAACCTCATCTTCAAAACCGAAGCATTCCTCAGCTACGTGGTTCTGTCCTCATGGAGAGACTCCATCGTCGTGCTCAAGAACTGCGAGAAGCTGTCACCGTGGGCAGAGAATCTCCAGATCGTGAGGCGATGCAGCGAATCGATCGCGTGGAAGGCTTGTGCTAATCCGAAAGGGATCAGGTGGGCTTACACTGGGAAAGTTCCCCCTAAGGTCTCCAGCCCCAAATGGACTGATAGCTCGTCGAGTCCTAGTCGAAACCAGCAGCCGGTTCCTCCCGATTGGTGGTTCGAAGACGTGTCGATCCTCAGGACGGACCATTTTGTCAGGGTGATCACCGCGATTAAAGTGAAAGGGATGAGATTTGAACTAATTGGTGCTGCAATCATGCACTATGCTACGAAATGGCTCCCTGGGATGATCAAAGATGGAGGTGGCATTCATGAAGGAAGCAACAACAGTGATTTTAGTGGCAGTGGAGGTAGCTACAACAACAACAGCAGCAGCGGCAGCAGCAATTGGAAAGGCGGGCTGCACATGATCATCGCAGGAGGAACTACTACGACGAACAAGGACGATCCCCTCGCTCCCTCGGTGCAGAGCAAGGACCAGAGGATGATTGTTGAGAGCTTGATCAGCATCATCCCGCCGCAGAAGGACAGTGTCTCTTGCAGCTTCCTTCTCAAGCTTCTGAGGATGGCGAACATGCTGCGAGTTGCGCCTGCTCTGGTGACCGAATTGGAGAAGCGAGTCGGTATGCAGTTCGAGCAGGCTACATTGGCAGACCTGTTGATCCCTAGCTACAACAACAACAATGTCCGCGGCGGCGGTGGGGATTCGACTGGTCCTACGACTACGATGACGACAATGTACGATGTCGATCTCGTGCAGAGGCTGTTGGAGCATTTCCTTGTGCAGGAGCAGACTGCAGAGAGCTCTAGTCCTAGCAGGCAATCGTTCTCTGAGAAGCATGGCAATATGTATGATGGAATGGCGGCTCAAAGAGGTGGTGGTAATAATCATCCTAGTGCGAAGATGAGAGTGGCGAGGCTTGTGGATAGCTATCTTACAGAGGTTGCTCGAGACAGAAACCTGTCACTGACTAAGTTTCAGGTTCTGGCTGAAGCTCTGCCTGAATCCGCGAGGACTTGTGACGATGGACTTTACCGGGCCATTGATTCTTACCTCAAGGTACTTGCATAAAACCTCTTTACTTCCCCAAAAGATCGTTTTAATTTGGTATCTATCAAAGGGTTGAACTCAAACATCTTGTTGTTGTTACACCACAGGCGCACCCGACGCTGTCAGAGCACGAGAGGAAGCGCCTGTGCAGGGTAATGGACTGCCAGAAGCTCTCCATCGACGCCTGCATGCACGCCGCGCAGAACGAGCGCCTCCCGCTCCGAATCGTGGTTCAAGTCCTCTTCTCCGAGCAAGTCAAAATCAGCAATGCCATAGCCCACAACAACCACAGCAGCCTCAAGGAAACAGGGGACTCTGTAGCGGCGGCCGGTTTCTACCAACCCATGGTGCCCAACAGGAAGACTCTGCTGGAGGGGACGCCGCAGTCTTTTCAAGAAGGTTGGTCGGCGGCGAAGAAGGACATCAACACGTTGAAGTTCGAGCTGGAGACGGTGAAGGCCAAGTACATGGAGCTGCAGGGGGAGCTGGAGAGCCTGCAGAGGCAGTTCGAGAAGGCGACCGCGGCGGCCGGTGGCGGCGGCGGCGGTGGTGGGAAGAAGCATGGGTCGTCGGCGTGGGCGGTTGGTTGGAGGAAGTTGAGTATGTTTGGTAAGGGTGGGGGATTGGATGGAAGTGATCACGGCGGCGATCATCATCATCATCATCGGGGGGCAGGGGAGGGGCAGGGGAGCAGCCGGAAGACGCCGGCGAGGCGGTGGAGGAACTCCATTTCTTGATGATTTTGCAAGAGAGTGTTTGCTTGATATGTTGTTGTGGTTAATGTTTTTCTTTCTTGCACATCTTATTTATCTATTATTTGTCTATTATTTTTTTTAACTTCTATCGCTTATATTTTATTTCGAAAATTTCGTTGATGGATTTTAATTTCGAGAGACGATAAATGTTTGATTTATAACTAGCCATAGTCGTAAGTGTGATCTGTTCAGATTTTAGAAGCAATGTGGCATCATCGAAAATTAATAAGATGAATTCTTTCATAAAATACTTGTTCAGGTGTATGTATGAAACAACTTTGAAACTCGTTTAGAAGGAGTCGAAAGTAGTGGTTGTCAAGGAAGAAAAGAGGAATTGACCTAGCTAGCTTACTGAGGATGACTTAGAAGGCCCCTTGAAAGCATGAATGGGTAATTGATTGGATTGTTCAAAGCTAAATGAATGATATGGTACAATTTTTAGGATTTGGATGCTTTGAACCATAACCATCATCTCAGGTGTTGGGCAAAAGTTGGCTACATCATTTGCTTTAAGCTTTTGATGTTCTTGTTTCATTTAGTTTGTTCATCTTCATTCATAGGAATGAGAATTGAGTGAGTCATTCGTCAGACCCATTCAAAACCACTCAATTAAAATTGATTAATCAATGATCGGATGGGTGTAGATCGCTTCCAAATAGATCCACCATAATTTAGGTGTATGCAGGTTTACCCGTCAAAACTGGCAACCCATCCGCGTCATATATCTCCATTCGATGAAATCTTTGATTTTAACGAAGATCTCTCTTGTTTCTTTTTATGTTCACCTCCAATTCGATTTAGAAATATTATAGTTGATTCTTCTAAATCAACTCAAGAGAAAAATAAAGCATATGTAACCCAAGATGTTCCCTACTAATTCAATCTATGCCTCCATTTTAGGTGACACTAATTTAACCTTTAATGATCTAACACTTCCACCCACCTTTTCCAAAGAGAAAACAAAAGTACTTGAAGCAATTCAAAAGATGTTTTGATTACCATGATCGATCATCAAAGCCTTCATTATCAACCCCCAAGATTTCTTGTTGCCTTAGATCAAACAAAATATCCTTAGGGGCCTTGATTCACATCTATCTTTGCTCAAAATTTGGAAGTTCAACTCTTTAGAAACTGTTTGGTCCAAATAATTTGAACAAGAAGCCTATTTCGAATATACGATCACTCAATAACAGAAGGCTCTGATACCATGTTATAAATCAGTTGGTTCCAATAACTCGAGTTTTTTGGAAAAAATTATTATGAATCTTATACCACTCTCTTACACGCCTTCTCGGATGAAAGCCAATTCACAACTTGAAGTTTGCACTGGCCCACCATACCTTGTGCTTTAATCAACTGTTAATATTGGAGGTCGTGGAGATTCGAACACACGACCAGTTAAAAGCCAGCTACTCACAATTCACAATAACTCGAGTTGTTGGGAGAAGATTATTATTAATCTTATACCACTCTCTTACATATGGAGGTGATTGAGATTCATCCCTGAATCACTTCCAGCCACTCGAGTTATTGGAACAAAGCGATTTATAACAGATAGTTACATGGGTGATAAGATGGAGAGATTGGGGGACACTTGGCCACCGGCCTTTCCTTTTGGTTCCTTATATAACTCTTTTTCTGAAGACTTTACAGCGTGTACGTATGGTGCATACATATGTTTAAAGAACACACGTCCTTCCTTTGCCATCCCACATGCTCCACCTCCATTAATATTGCACTTCATTATTGATACTAACTAGCTAGAGAGTAATCCCCAACTAGTATGTATCAAAAAATTCCCAACTAGTAAGGGCATGTTCTTAAAGTGGTATTATCTTAGGTGTCATTGTGACCATGATATATATGGATGTGATATACCAATATGGGAATAGGATGTTTGATTTTAAGTCGGTTTAACAAGTGTACACTATTCTGTGCGCTCTTCGTTTGGTGTAATAATATGAGTACTTAAAGGCAAAATACGAATCTTTATGAGCTAAGATGGTCTATAAGAACAACATGTACAGCCTAGTCAGGCTTGTAATAGCGAGTTGAAATGAAAAATATAAGTTGGAACACTGATGATGGCCTAGTACTTCTTGTATCAGAAGCAAAATGATGCGACAACAAGGCGAACTTGACTATCATCTTCAAGATATCGATCCTTTTAACTAGGTCAAAGTTGTTGTGGTAGTTCAAGCCTCTTGTAATTTTTTTTAATCTATTTATTGTATTCATGCACAATGAGAGTTTTAATAAAATTTGACTGATATAACTATCTACAAACTCATTTGAAAGTTCAATCATATTATAATATGAAACCATATCGATCGAACTTTGTTCAATTGTGCAATGATACTAAACGATACAAAACTTGATACATCAAATCAAACTCTAGTACATCATTTAATAGACGATAAGATCATGAAATCATATCGTATGGTTTCACAAACATCGAGAAAATGCAAAAATTCCATGATGACCATAGAAATTACTACTAATGAATTTTGGTGGGGGATATTAATTAGGTCCCTACAAGCACCGGCCTAGGCAACCTTGTTGCAATTTACTTGGCTCCCCCTCCTCCTAAAGTCCCACATCATAATTATTTCACATTTGTGTTGTTCCTTTGTGTGCTCAAAATTTCTCTTATGAATAGAAAGTGGGGGGAAAAGTGAGGTAAATATATACATATATGCCCCAAGGATGGCAAAAGCAACCAACAATTTGACCAATATAGTACCAAAATTGGCCCCTTGTTTTAGTTTTATGTTAATCATAATAAGAAGTACATACTATTCCATTCTTAATTTGAACTTTAGAATCATCATCATGTTCACCTGTTAAAGATTACTATTTTAACTTCTGAAATTATCTTCATATATCAATGTTTAATGAACCCAATAACCCATTGGACATAGCTAGCAAGGTGTACTATTTAGATCCATTATGCATTCTCATTAATTCTGAACATAGTTGGTACCAACAAGTCTTTTTTTTTACCCCTTATGTTTCATCACCCTTTACTCTTAAGCTCTCCCACCAAAACCTCTAGGAGTGATTCAAGTGGGAAACTATTAGAGTTAATGTGATTTCGAGTTTAAGTCTTGACGGTCTAGCAACTGAGGATTTTTTTTCTTGCTAAGAGTATGTTGTGAAATTAACTACCAAGTGATTCAAGTAGCAAGACATGAAAGCTGATATAGTGTGATTTCATATTCAATTCTTACTGCCTACCAATCGAATCGCCCACCCTCATAAATTTAGTAAGTATTGAAAGTATAATTGAATGTATGTGCCGATGCCAATATCTCTTTGGACATAAAAAATTGCATGTTATTAAGTTAGCATTAATCAAAGCAAATCAGAAAGCAAAGAACATGGAATAATGATAGAGATTAGAGGGGAAAAAGGGGTGAAACCTAATTGTGATGGTGTGGTCATCTGATCGATCATTCACATGAAGGAGAGTAGTGGCCTCCAGTCCACCACTACCATGCCAGTTCATCTGTATCTTCTTTTTCGTATAACCAAATGACCTTACAAAAAAATTAATCATGTAGAATATTCCTTATCTTCGAAAATAATTAATATTTATTAAAGTTAGGCGAGTTAACCCCAAACATTTGTCCAGTTGCAGTTTGATGAGGAGCATGCAAATCGATATCGACCTGATTACTTCTATCGTGCGAATGATAGCTAGCTGCATGCTCATATCAGACTATTGGCTTCTGATAACGCTAGATTTTTACATATTATATTTTAATTTTTCATAATGATTTTGATTTATCTCGACTTCGTCAAATATATATCAATTTGTAGAAGGAAAAGAAAGAAGAAAGAGATCATCAATTTGACAGCAAGAATGCATTTTACAACTGGACACAACATCTGCATCAATATGTGTCAGTAACATGGTAACTGTCTTAGCTAATTGCAAAAAAAAAAGATTCCTCCCATGTATCTTTCTGATCATTCCCCTACCTTCCTTTCCAATTTTAAATATTATCATTCACAGAAATACCAACTCCTCTCCCATTTTTCTAATAAAAATCAATTACAATACTTCGATCCTCTGCTTCTCACAGCCTCTATAAATACCTCTCCCACACTCTGCTCATCTCATCACACTCTCAAGTCTCAACTTCAGCCACCTTATATTCCTCTGCCTTCTCTCTTTCTCCATCTCCAAACCTTCTCCCGATTCCTTAAGATGGCCAGCGTTGAGGTACTTAGTTTACAAACATGATACATGCGTTTTCCTATCTGGGTTTTCATTCATCTTTCTGTATAGATCATCGATCGATGATGATCACAATACGAAAATCCCCATGTCACTGAATCCAGAGCTTTTCCGTCGCGAAAGATTTTTTTGTGTCCATTCTTTGGTCGCTAAAAAGAAGCTCTGTCTCATTTCTGTTTTGGATATTCCTTTCTGCAGGTTGATTCAGCTGCAGCATTGCCAGTCGAGACCGAGACAAAGGAGGTCCCCGCCCCCGCCCCTGTATTGGAAGAGCCAGCTGCTGTTGTGGAAGAAGCCAAAGCAGAGCCAGCTGCAGAAACAGAGGAGCCTGCAGCTGCTGTTGTGGAAGAAGCCAAAGCGGAAGAACCAGCCGCAGTGGAAGCTGAAGAGATCGTCACAAAGGAAGTTGTGGAGGAAGAAGCCACTCCCGCCGCAGCAGTTGAGGAGCCAGTTGAAGAAGAAGAAGCAGCAGCAGCAGAGGTCGAGGAGCCTGCCGTTGTTGCTGCTGAGGTCGCGGTAGAGGAAGCAGAAACAGAGGCCTCGGCACCGGTGGCAGCTGTGATTGAGAAGCCATCAGAAGCAGAAGGAGAAGTCGCTGTGGAGGGAACTGAGGAATGAATGGTCGCTTGATTTCAGTTGGATCATGAAGCATGGGATCTGTCTATCTATCTATCTATGTTTCTTTTGTTGCTTTCTCGATGTTCATTACCACGATTCTATTTGGAGGGTTTTGAGAAATATTTTGAGTGTTGGGATCTTTGTGGAGTATAGAATGGAGCGTGGGAGATGTTATTATTGTAAGGTGCGTGTCCACGTCAGCATTCGTGGCGCGCCACGTGGAATCATAGGATTCGGGGAGGTCGGAATGGTTTAATTTTATGCTGGTTTGTGCATTTAGCTATGAAGCTTATTCTACATCAATATTGGTGATAATAGTGTACTTAGTGTGTAATATTATAGTTAGCTCTTAAAGCCATCCCTAAAAACCAAACACAGGTGATGACCCGACAGTCAATCGCCAACGACCTGGATTCGAGTTCTTGCGACTCTCTGTTAGACTGGGCGTTAACGGTACTTGATTTCGTACGTGTTGTAATGACATCCAAACCGAGAAAACACAGAACTTTCGATATGAGGGTTTGAGATGTCACTGCAAGCATGATTCTGCGTACTCACGACGAAAATAGTGACAAAAAAGAAGAAAAACTAGATCATTAGACTCATTGTCAATAGTTTAAAACTAAGGGGGAAGGGGAGAGAAGTCTTACGGAAGAAAGCACTGAAATTCCCTTCTGTGCTTCCTTTCTGACTCCAGACCGTTATTCATATGCTTAAGAACCCTATATTAACAGACCTACCCGTCGAAACAAAAAACGAACCAGACCAGAGCAATGACATGGAACCTCCATGATCCATAACCCGACGAGACGACGACAGCGGCAATGTAAAGATCAAACCCTAACAATGGACCTTCCTTAAATTATAGGAAACCGACTTTTGGCATCAAACCCCCTATCTGTACAAAACCTGATTTCTTCTTCTTCTTCCTTTTTTTATAGCTTTTTTTTCGTTCTTTCTATGTGCAGATTAAAGAACGCGCCTCCTCTAAACCCAGGCATTTCACCAGGTGCCGAAGCTGCGACCAATGTGCTCTTGGGTTATGACGCGGAGGCGATCTTGCATGATGTCCTTGGATGGGTAAGGCGGGAAACAGATGCGGTAGAAGCATGTGTGGGATGAAGGCAGGTGATCATGTGGTTCCCTGGACTTGTATATGTAGAGCCGAGAACTCAAGCCTCGGAAACCCTCTACAGGAAGATACATCACCGATGTCCAGAAGAAGAGCAGTATTCTCCTTTGCTCAGCTGACATTTCCCCAACGATCTGCAATGTGACACAATGAAAATAAGGTCACACATACACGACACAGGACGCAAGATTTTCCCAGCTAACAGATGGGGTAGTGACTCAACAATAGAGCGGCAGATCAGCCATTCAATTTCAATCACAGTATGGTTGAAACCTCGAAGCTGAATGAATTTGTAAGTTGGAACTATGAAGTTAGTTCTGACATAGGCTGTAAAAGAAAAGACCTTCAATTTCAATTGACAACCAACTCAGACTTAACATCTACTTGTTCGTAGCTTTCACACAGTTACTTGGATGGCACATTACCACCAGTTTTTTCTTTTCTGCTGCGTTTCAAAATTGCCACCAAGCAGCCATTCACCAATACACATTGAATGACAGATTACGTGTTGAGCCTATATTTCAGGAATGAGTTCCCATGTCGATTGCTAAACCAGTAGCCAAAAAAGAAAGAAAAAAGCCTTCGATACATCACTTATGAACTCTAATATTCAGCACTCTCACCCAAAATAAAATAAAAAAACGAACAGAAACTAGCACGGAAATAGAGTGAGAAAGAGCTTAAGGTTCTCTTCACTATGATGTAAGGTGAGATCACCAAAGACAGCAAAACTCGACAGGCTAACAGTCATGTTACAAGAAAAGAAAAATGTACCTGAAGACAAAGCACATCAACCATTTGATTCTGAAGCAAATGAGGGTCAACTAAACTTCACAAACATTCATGAAACAGACTGCCAATCCAGGATATTAACAAACTATAGCTAATAAAGACAGACAAGCTTATTAAAAACCACCTTCAAATGGTTGTCCAGACTTTAAGAGAAAAGAAGCCCCACAGAGCTTCTTGATAGAATACAAGATTTCTTCTGAACAAATCCACACAATTCCATAGACAAATTCAACATGCTATGCGACACTGTAAAAAGGCATAGGCCATAGTAAATAAACCAACTGGCCAAAAGGGGAAAAAACATACCTCCCAGAACCAGGATATCTGAGGATCTGTTTCTTCAAAGCCATTGTAGTTGGTATGTCTCTTCCAATCTTCAACACAGATGGCACCTTCACTCCCATACAGCATCCCATCAAGATCTCCAAGCTCCAAACTTTGGAAAAAGAACCTAGGGAGGCTTCCATTCAAAAGAATATCAGAGAAGCCTTGTGCAAAATGCGAGACTTGTTCAGAGATTGATGTGACGAATCGATGGTGAATCAGGAGGTTGATATATTCTTCTCGGTTCTTGCTATTTACTATGACATTTTTCCCACCGGGGCAGAGTTCCACAAAATTCCTGGACCCCAACTCCTCGAATTCTCTAACGAATGTCAGTCCTAGAGCATCGGAGTCAATAAACTCAGCATCCATATCCAGAATTTGCTTGCAACTACTGTACAAGATTGGGTCTGCATCCCTTATGTCTTCCAAATATATGTGTCCTCCAGCTAATTGCGAGAAAAGGACGCGATCAAGAACTATTCCAACTTGCACTTTGTGCATCAAAGCTAGCGCGATTAATCGGCCCGAGAAGGTGAAATACTCGAGATGCCTCGGCTCCACCTTAGATGCTGCAAATCCCAACATGGATGATGTGATACAATTAAACAACAAATTAGAACCTCAAACTCTTGGCCACTAGTCTAGCAAAGAGGGAATATCGTTAATATACGCAATGCCTTTTTAAAGGGAAGGTTGGGGGAGGTAAGGTGAGAAAACAAAGGTCGACCAGTACCAAACTGGTTATACCATATTACTGAATTAAGGACACCTGGATGAGGTTAAAATCATAAAGAATATTATCATTTGACTTTAATGGACTATGGATGTGGATAGTATATCATATTAAAATGAATGGCCCCGACACTTATCCAGCATAACTACTCCAACCGACCGCTCTAATGATATTTTCTCTGAGAGACGAAGGTACGAGCATCCTAAGTCAAACAGCTGAGGGGATTAGACTACTCCTAAATTGATCTGGCGGTGCACCACAAACTGAGATTAAAGTATTGTACCACTCAGTATCACTAAGTAAAGTTCGAGAATTAAGGCGTGACTTCAAGAGATTTTACTATATGACACACCACCATGATTGCATACAGATTAGATACAGCATGATAAGAATCAGTAGATTCCAACACAAGTAGAGTCATACCAGGATTAGGGTGGAACCTTCTTTGATCATTTGGGCATGCCAGGAAAAGAGAATATTGTGGGTTGAATAAAGCCTGAACTACCAAGGGAAACCACTCTCGCAGTACACCAGGACCAGTAGCTTCCTCATTCTTGAATTCCATAAATAAACCTCCATGCAATGACTCATGTTCAGCACGGCCTATATATGCAAATGACTCCTCCAACAAATGTGCCCTGTCAATAAGCATCTCGTATAGATCCTCATAGTCTTCTTTCACCTCAGGTAACATCATCATAGCCAAATGCCTCCGCGACTCAAAATCTGTTACATCCTTGTGCAGAAGAAGCCATTGATGATCATCAGTTCTCTTAGCGTATTTAACGATCAAACCACGAATCGAAGTCTTTCTAAGTTTCAACATATTCCAGAATTCGTCGGAACCCTCGTAAAGCTTACTTATTTCATTCAGTTCCTTCAAAATGGCAAGATACTGAGACCCTGATGTAAGATTCAACTCACCTTCTCCACTTGACTTCGAAGTCGAGGAGTCCAACTTAAGAAGGCACTGATCCATCTTCATTAACAAGTCCCAAAATATAACACGAAGCTGCTCAATCTCTTCAGCATATAGCAGTCGGCCAGTTCTTAACTGCTCTGCTATAGCAGTCCGTAATGGTGACAAGAATCCAGAGAAGTCACGAACATCACTAGCTGATGGCCGTAAACTTCCTGGAGTTTCCAGATTCGAATCCAGACCATCGCACAACCTAGTAGCTAACTCCTGAACAAAAGGGAAAATCTCTGATATCGTAATAGATGCCTTTACATCGTCCACACCTACCCCACACTTCAATGACCAACGCCACCCCAGATCATTTTCCAAGAACGAACCAAGAATGCTTCGACAGCAGACATACAGAAGATCATCATTAGCAACCTTCCTAAGCAACTTGCAAAATTCTAAGATCACAAGTGCACACTTCGCATGCAATGACTTTGGCAAAGCCCTACAGGAGTTAACGAAGTGCTTAATCGAACTATCAGCACATTCTTTGTTACCTGTGGTGGTCGAGATATACAGCATCACCAATGCTTCTGGAGCAGAGTATGACATGAAAATCTCAAAATGGCCGCCTGCGTCCTCAATTTCACTGTTTCCAGTCAATTTGAAGAACTCGGTCATCAAATCTGTAATCTGCTTAGGCGCATAAGCAGGATGCATCCCGCCTTTACATAGTTTGCAAATAAGCATTACCAATTCCTCGACTACCCGGCAAGTCTGTGGATGCTTTGTACTCCGCATTCGGCCAACTAAATGAAGTGCGGCATCCTTCTGAATCGCACACTCCGCCAGTGATTGCTCCGGCTGCAGCTGCTTCCCGTTGTAAATTAACCTCTGCTCGGAAGCAGGAATCCCAGTGATGACCTGAATTCTCAACAGAATCTTTTCCACGGTGTCCTCCGAACTGGCATTGATAACGATGTGATTCCCGTTGGAGATCATCCGGACGAAGAACTGGAGCCTCGTAACCGACGTAGTGAGCCCCACGGCAGGAGGCGAAGCCGCGCGCGAACAAGAAGGGAGAGATGAGACGTCTCCGGCGCCATCCCCCGAGCTAGAGACGGGCCCATCCTCACCGCCAACCCCGCCGCCGCCGCTCGATGAAAACCGACCCTGGTTCTGACCGTCGGAAGAGGAGTTAACGGCGGAGAGGGAATCGTCCTTCCGCATTCTCACGCTTACCAGGTCCCAGACGGCCGGGTCCTCATCGTCCTCTTCGACTGAAGACACGTAATCGTCCAACTTGCGCTTAGCCGAGACTCGGTAATCGGCGGCGGCTGCAGCAGCAGCGGCGCCGCCACCGGCAGTGCGTTGGGAGGGACAATCGACGGACGACGATCGCCTTTGAGACATCCGACCGCGCAATCCCCGCCGGCTAGCACGCTGGGGGAAACAGCATGCGAAAAAACGCCTCCACGCAGTTATTAGAATTCCCGTTCCACACGAATCAACAAAACCCTACCCAAATCATTCACCTCATCACTCATCGAAATCCGAAACAGAAACAACGCCGGTGGAAAACAGAATCAATTCAGAACAGACAGCCGCCGATCGGAAGCTTTAAGAGCGGGGGAGTGATCGGGGGAAATAAGCGTTGCCGCGGCGGCGGTGGTCTCTCCCTCTCTCTTTCTCCTTTTTCTTTTCTTTCCCTCTCTCTCTCTCTCTCTCTGTCTTTCTGAGCCTTAATCTCCAGCCAGGGACTGTAAATCCTACGCTATTAAATATTTTCTCTCTTTTTAATTTTTACAAAATGATATTTTCATTTTTTTTACTGTTGCAGTTATTAGGTGCGGTTGAGCTTACGCTATTTTAGCCAGGACGGTCACGTGATCGGGGCGATGTTGAGTATACTGACCGTTAAGATCTTGTTGTGGACGAGATCGACGGTAGGATGAGACCCATCTGTGGACTGTGGTACTGGAACGTTTTTGTGGACTTTATCCCAAGTACACATCACATATATTATATAGTGTGATCTCTATCTTCTTCCCCATTCTAATATAAACAATGTAATTAAGTCAATATTATACAAAGATATCATATTACAAAGATATTATATTACAGTCCAAATGCTACTCTACCCTTGGGTGGTGATTCGATGGGTTTAACCAAAACCGAATCGATTTTCAGCTTTATAAATTTTCCATAATGAGTAGAAATCGATAATTCCCTTAAATCAAAAAACCCATAATCTTTATTTCTTAATGATTTCAAGGGTTCATTTTTTGTTTACAGTTTATTCTGATCGAAATCAATAAACCATTATCGACTTTGATTTTGGATTGAATCATTCGATTTTCGGTTCAATTAACCGAACCGCTATCCCTAACTTTGGCCCACAGTTTTAAGGAACAGTAATAGAAAAACGCGATCATATTTCAGGCAATGTGTAAGAATGCAGATTCACGCGGCAAAACGAGACCATTCGCCACAACTCTCCATCGTAAGACAACAGACCTACGAAGCTGACATGTTTTGGTTCGACTTCAAAGCAAAATACGGTATGAATATTGAGATACTCTCCCCGGTATTGTCATTACCAAATGATCTACTTTCTACAGCAGTGGCTGATATAAAGACTGGCCATGTAAACCACTCAGTAGTAAATTTATACATCTCTGAGCACTTGATCCGATCCAGATTACAGCAGCATAACCAAGCAAGAAGATACAAACAGACTATTTATGTGTCAAACTCACAGCAGTACATTGTCATGTCAAGGGAAGTTGCAGCAGAAGATATACAATACACAACAGAGACTTCAGCAATAACACATATACAAAGCCATCACTTACATCAGAGAAAGTAAGCAGAAGAAGCACATGCAGTAACCAAGCAGCAACCTGCATACAACTCTTCTCTACTTTCCCTCTTATCAAGCTTCAGTCAGGTACAAATGGAGTAAAAGGTAATACAGCTGCACCTTTCTCGTCGTCGTCGGGTATGAACCTGCAATGCATGTACAGTAAGCAACCGCTCTTGTTTTCTGTTGCTTTCCTTTATTTGTTTTCTGGGTCGCTTTCACTTTCTGCTTTCTTATTCTTTAGCTTTTGTTTTGGTGGTTTGATCGGTGCAAGGTAGTCTACAGATGATCCCTTTCCTTTCTACAAGCTCTTTCTTCTTCCTAAGAAACATGGCAAAGATATCTCTCAGGAATCCTAGTACATTTCAGGCAAATGATGCTTTGCCCAAGGATGAAGCCTTTCCAACCAGAGACCACCTCCTAACTTGCTGAGGGCTGAGGGAAGATGTAGGTTTTCCTCCACATGCCTCGGCGTCCCTTGTCATGGCCTCACATGGACTTTGTGATGCCATGTTTCTCCGCGGATAGCTCGCTGCAGTTTCCATGCGAAAGTTTAGCATTTATCAGATAAGACCAACAAAACTGACTTCATACCTCAACCGAACTAAATCAGACAGCAGAAAGATACGCACCCGTGGACGATCTCTTGGTCATCAGTGTCTTCTCTGCTGGTCACAGCTTTAGTTTAAATCCAACTGATAGGAAGTCATCCCTGCGAGAAAGAGCCGATTAGTACGAGTAATTAGAAGGCTAAGCCATGAAAGACAGCAAAATGGAAAAATAAAATTCATCACAATATGCTATTAGAATTTGTGGAAGAGCATAACAATGACTTGCAACTTGCAGGTCAATGTCAACTGATGAAAGGAGGACTGAAGTATGTGGACCCCAAATTTACAGTCCGAGACATAAAATGAGCTTGAACCCTAGCATTTCAGAAATACTGTTCATTGCATGTTTTTTCCACATCACAGGCAGCCAGAAATGTGTTGTGGACCCGCCTAATTGATGAAATTTGTTGAAGATGACCATTCATTGACCCAGATCAAAGACTATATAAACAGATCATAGGCTTTCAGCCAGAGATCAGCAGGCTAATCATAGATATTGACCTCCAGTTGACTTGCAGGCTGTTGTAAGTGAAAATTTTCCATTGACTTGAAAAGCAAGTCCACAAGATAATAAATTCTATTGCCACAACAGCTAAAATTTCAGGTACATACACAATGACGAAAAACACAATGTGTAAAGAAAGACTTGCAACAAAATGCAAGCACATTTCTGCTTTTCTGATCCATCACCAGAATTTCAAGGAGACATTGGACAAGTTATCAGTGGATATACAGGCAAGAGGACAAGTATTTTATCCCCAAGATCATCAATGTTCACAAGATTAGTATATGTCAGAACAAGTTTAGACTTACCCATAGTTATTTTCGGATCTCAACTTCTCCCTCTCGGCATCCTCCCTTAACCGTCGCTGCCGCTCGACTTCATCAGGATCATCAACTGGAATAAGACTCTCCACATACATTACAGCACCAAAAGATTTCGGCCCATCACGAATCCTCACACTTCTAGCTTTCCCAGTCTTCCAATCATACCATACAAGCTTCTCGTCGTTCACTTCCAATAGCAGTTCCTTACCATCCTTAGCAATAATCAAAGGCCTCAAAAACCCAAATGTAGTAGTATTCCTAATCTTCTGCACCGAGAACATCCGAGACCAAGACTCCTTCACTCCGTACTCCTTCATCACCCAGAGGTCGACGCATACATGCTCGTAGTTACACATCACACACAGATTCCCTTCCAGAACACCCACATCAACTTGGTAGCTCAGATCCTTATTCTCATACTCCGGCTGAGGCACTTCATCGAACTTCTCAGCAACGAAATCGAACGAGACAATATAATTCTTCAAACCCACCATAGCCCTCTGAGGCAGCACCCAATGCAGAGCTGAACCAACAAGCACACCATACCCTCTCCTATGCAAAACCTGATGCAGGGGCTTATGCAAGAACCGGATATAAAACGGGACATCCATCATCTTCTTCCACGAATTGCTCCTAAAGCTATAAACCTTCACCTCGTAATCGTAATTGTAAGTATCGCAGGCGTTCTCATCCCCGACAAAAGTCGCCATCCTCACCACCTTATAATCATCGTTCACCGAATCGTACCCGAACCCGTAGAACACGTACCCGGTCCTCAGGTGCTGCCCGCCGGGCGGCTCCACCTCACTCACGGGCAGCTTCCGGACCTTCCGCGTCGCGATGTTGTAGATTGCGAGATCCCGGTCCGAGTTCCGGAGCGCGACCAGGCCGTTCACGGAGCCGAGCGCCTCGGTCCCGCCGCCGACGGAGAGCGGGTGCTCGAGACCGACGGCGGCGTCGAGGGAGTCGAAGTCGACGGTGTAGAGGTGCCAGTCTCGGAGGATCAGGGAGTGGTGAGATTTGGCGCGGAGGGAGTCGGATAAGTGGAGGTTGATGAAATCGGAGCTGTCGATTAGGTCGCAGAGGGGCTTGGAGAGGGAGCGGAAGCGGAGGAGGGACTTGGCCGGTAGCTGGCGGAAGATGTCGATGGCGACGTCGTGGGGGATGCGGCTGGGGCGCTGGAGGACGGCCGCCGGCGGCGGCGGGAGAGCGGAGCGGTGAGGCTCAGGTTCTGTCATTTGTTTTCAGTCTGTGTATGGAGAATGGCGAAACGAAATTCTAGGGATTTGATTTTGTGTGGATTGGATAGGAGAAAAATGTGGAGGGAGAGATTAGGGAAAGGGAAGGTAAAAAAATGGAGTATTGTGGGGGACAAGTATGATTAGTGGAAAGTGAGGTGGGATTTGTTTGTCCAAATTCCAAAGTGATGATGTTGCTTCTAATCTACCTGCTTTTGGGTTAACTCCAAAGTATGATTAGTAAAATTTATCATTGATTTACAGATTTTCCTTGATTATAATATATTTAAATCCTCATATGGTTTTGATAATTTTAGTCACTGGTTTGCTGACCCCGGTATATGTAGAGTTGTTGGCACATGTTCAATTATAGATATTGTATTTGCCCATAATTCTCAAGTGAAAACTAGCTTCCTGAGCTTGAAGTTTGCACCGTGTAATTTTCAAAAAGTGGTTATATTTGTCAAAATCATGAAACTTATGGCTGTGTAGGTGAATTAAGCATTTTATTAACGTAGATGTTGTCCAGTGTTCACGTTTGACTCTGGTGAGTAAGTTTGTCAAAGTTTGTGTAGTCAAATCAAGATCTATTTGTGTTACTCGAAATTGCAAGAGAATATATGTTTAACTTACATATTCTAATGTGATTTGATATACACCGGTTTAGTTAACTCAGTTTACATGATTAAATAGTAAAAAATTACATCTTCGGACGTGTTTACATGATTAAATAGTTAAAACTTACATATTCAAACGTGTTTACGTAAGTTTGACCTATTCAAATTTAAAGTTAAAGTGGACACGAGAAACGTATAGGATGACCTATTGTGGCATAGCTAATTCACACGTACCGAAGGGATAGACGAGATCACGAGACTGTGCTTCGAGAGCCAATCCGCGACTTTATTCTCCTCTCTGTACGTATGAACCAGTAGAACTATTCAATCGAGTAGTATTCATCTAGCGGTCGCTTGGATGATGATTCCGACCCAAATAACTTGTTTGGTTTCAAAATAAACTAAAAATGAGTTATTTGGAAATTTGGATTGATAACCCAATCCTAAATAACATGCTGCACAGTACATATGCCAGCTGACCTGCGCGTAGCGACCGGAGCCTTTTGCAAACAATTCCCGCGTACTCATAGGAACCCTGGCTCAAGCACAGCAAATGGACGCGGACAATGAAGACGGTACCACTCCTCAAGGTATTTCTGCTTTTAGGGTTTCCATTCCCTTTTCTGATATCATTTTCAATCTTCCCTTTGTACTCTGGTTCATTCGGTTGTTTGTGGTTTCAGTTGGCGATGAGAAGGGAAAAGGCCCCATCATCGTCTTGCTCGTCGGTGCTCCGGGAAGTGGGAAGTCCACTTTCTGTGAGCATGTTATGAAATCGTCTTCCCGGTCCTGGGCTCGTATTTGCCAGGTTGGTCCCTCTCTCTCTCTCTCTCTCTCTCTCTCTCTCTCTCTCTCTCTCTCTCTCTCTCTCTCTCTCTGTTTTCATTGTTTTAACCCTAAGTGATCGACGAAATGTTTCACTGAGCCTCCATGCCTTAGCTCCGTTCCCATAATTTTCCCTCCCAATCCACGATCACTAGCCACCTCTCCTTGGTCTCCTTGTGTTTGATAGCATGAATTCATAGCTTTTATGGAAGTTCTTCAATTGTGCTCCCATGAATCAGGGACTATCTTATTTTTGTGCTTCATTTGTAGAGGTTAGGAGCTGTTGTCTACTGACTGCAGCGGTATTTCGGTTAAAAACTAGGCATATCAAACATTAATTTTCTTTCTGATAGGACACTATTAACAATGGCAAAGCTGGGACGAAGCCTCAGTGCCTAAAGAGTGCAGCCACTGCATTGAAGGAGGGAAAAAGTGTGTTCATTGACAGATGTAATTTGGACAAAGAACAGCGTGCTGAGTTTCTGAAGCTTGATGGTTCCACAAAAGAAGTGCATGCTGTTGTGCTTGATTTTCCTGCTCAGGTTTGTATATCCCGGTCTGTGAAACGCACTGGGCATGAAGGGAATCTTCAAGGTGGGAAAGCTGCTGCAGTTGTAAATAGAATGCTACAGAAGAAGGAACTGCCTCAGCTTACTGAAGGCTTCAAAAGGATAACGTTTTGCCAGAGTTATAGTGAAGTTGAAGCTGCAATTAAGGTGTACAGTGCACTTGGTCCTGCAGAAACCCTCCCAAATGGTTGTTTTGGGCAGAAAACCCCGAAAGCCAAAGTCCAACTTGGAATCATGAAGTTCTTAAAGAAAGTTGAGGTTCCTGCCAATGAAGATTCACCATCATCACATATAGTTCAGATTCCTGTGCATGAAACTGTTGACGTGGAAAAAAATCAACGCCCCGCGGGACAAGAAAGCAGTTCTTTGTTGTCTGGAGGTGCTAACAAAAATATACAAGAATGTCAGGACCCACATAAGCACGTTGTTGATGCTTCTGTGAGCAGTGTACCCACACTTGCATTTCCATCCATTTCAACGTCAGATTTTCAGTTTGAGAATGAGAAGGCTTCTGATATTATTGTTGAAAAAGTTGAAGAGTTTGTGAATAAGATCAGGAATGCAAGACTTGTTCTTGTGGACTTAAGCCACAGGTCAAAGATATTGTCATTGGTTAAGGGCAAAGCCGCTCAAAGAAACATAGATTCAAATAAGTTCTTCACTTTTGTTGGAGATATAACTAAACTCTATTCTCAAGGTGGTTTAAGGTGCAATATCATAGCTAATGCCGCCAACTGGTAAGTAATTTGATTATGATGTGCATCTATGGAGCTAAAATTCCTTAGAACTTATCTGGTTATTTTGACTTGTGGCATAACTGATATCCATCACTTTTGGATCCCATGTTCCTAGAGGAATGACCTGCAAAGTGGTTGTTGGTTGGTCCCCATTTAACATTATTCTGAAGAAATTTTATAATTGCATTACAGGCGGCTTAAACCTGGAGGTGGAGGTGTGAATGCTGCAATCTTCAATGCCGCTGGTCCAGCTCTTGAGGTTTCCACAAGGGATTGTGCAAAATCTCTGCTCCCTGGACATGCTGTAGCTGTTCCTCTCACTTCAGACTCACCATTATATACCAGGGAAGGAGTGACCCATGTTATACATGTACTGGGCCCGAACATGAATCCTCAAAGACCCAACTGTCTCAATGATAATTACGCTAAAGGATGTGAAGTTCTTCGTGGAGCTTATACATCACTTTTCGAAAGTTTTGCATCTCTAGTGAAGACCCAGGTCACTGAAGTGGGAATAAGTGGCCAGAATCCTGCAGGCCTTAAAAGCCTGTCGTTTATCACTGAGCAAAAGAATAAAAGAGACAACGAGTGCAACTCTGAAAGGAGAAAAAAGTACAAGGGTATGCAGGGTGATGAAAAGATGAGCGAAGAGAACAGAAGGAATGTTGTTTCAAAAACTTGGGGTTCGTGGGCACAAGCTCTATACGATATTGCCATGCATCCTGGGAGGCATGAAGGTCAATTGCTGGAGGTGTGTGATGATGTGGTCGTGCTGAATGATCAATATCCAAAGGTGCAAGTGTGTTTTTAGATCTAATGTTACCATATTCCTTTATCCCCCCCACTCATTATGTTAGCATTTGGCGGAATCCTGTATCACCCTGTTGTTTCACAGGCAAAAAAGCATCTGTTAGTGTTGAGCTGCCAGCGAGGTCTTGACCAACTTGCTGATGTGAATCAAGAACACATTGAGCAATTGAGGACTATGCATTCCGTGGGGTTGAAATGGGCAGAAAGCTTCCTGCAAGAAGATTCATCCTTGGTCTTCCGCCTGGGCTATCACTCAGTATGTCAGGCTGAAGCTTCTTTTTATGCCTCTTTTCAATTGCTTCTGCTGATCCTTCTGGTAAATCCCCACTCTGAATCCTCTGTTTTTGCAGGAACCCTCAATGCGACAACTACACTTGCATGTCATTAGCCAAGACTTCGACTCGGGCCATCTGAAGAACAAGAAGCATTGGAACTCTTTCAACACTGCCTTCTTCCGAGATTCGGTTGATGTGATGGAAGAAATCAGCAGTCAAGGTAAAGCAACGGTAAGCAATGATAATGAGAAGCATTTGTCGATGGAGCTGCGTTGTCATCGATGTAGGAGTGCACACCCCAACATTCCCAGGTTGAAGTCGCACGTCAAACAATGTCAAGCTCCATTCCCTTCTCAGCTGCTCGAGAATGGCCGATTGGTATTCCAAAGTATTCTGTGACACATGCATGGCCGTTGGGCCAAAGGGACATGTACACGTCGTCATTGTCTTTGCCAACTTGTCTGGTCTAGGTTTTGTTCGGGGAAGGTGTTTCCTTTGCTGGCTGGCTGGCTGTTTTTGGTTTGTTGTTGCCGGGAAATTTGGTGGACATTAGTCCTTGGGAGCCATTTTTGTGTTCATTAATCGTTCGGACCCCAGAAGGAAAGAAGAAAGGTTATGGATGACTAGAAGCATAACAGATGACATTACTGGCTGGGGAAGGTGTTTTCCATCCATCGATATATTTCAAACTCTCGATTCAATATCAAACTAAACCAAATTTTGTCCAACCTCAATATTTAAAATTAGCGGTGTCAGTTCGTTTTGTTGTAAATAGTAAAATCGATAAGAAACCAAAAACTCATCCGTTTTTCTTTGAAATCAAACTGAAATCGTTAAAAGACGTAACGGTTATCGGTCCCTTTAACTATTTCAGTTGTGTTTTTAGGGAAACGTGTGTTTCTGAGTTCTTTGTTTACTGGATATTCGGAAGTCACACGAATCCATTGATCAATGCCGTCCAATTTTTTGTTCTTGCACCCTTAATAAATGCTGAACTAGTAGCATTTATTCTCCCCTGCCTGTTTCTTGTGTTTACTTTAGCCTCCCCTGCCTCCATTTCACTCCCCTGCTCCATTTCACTCCCCAGCACTCAACATCTTTCTCACCTTCTTAGAGAGCTTGAAGAGCCAGAGAATGAGCCAGAGGAAGGAACTTGGAGATGGGTTTGATCCAAGAAAGCCTCACTTCTTCAAGGTGATTGTTGCAGACACTCTCCGAGACAAGAAGCTGGTAAGCATCATCTCTGCAACTTTCTTTCTATACAATGAAACAGTCTGATTCCTTGTGTTCATTCTCTGCAGATGCTGCCTTCAAAGTTTGTGAGGGAACATGGGGGACCTTTGTCGAGCCCTGTCTCCATCGAGGTCCCGAGTGGGATGACGTGGCAGATCCAGATGGTCAAAGCAAGGACCCCAAATGCTGACAATGGCGGGACCAAGAACGTGTACTTGGTCAACGAGACATGGCAGGAATTTGCACGACATCACTTCCTCAAACACGGACACTTTCTGGTTTTCCAGTACGAGGGCGGATCTCGATTCTCTGTCGTGATCTTCGACGGCACAAATGGCATGGAGATCGAGTACCCTGTAGTTAGCAGCAGCAGCAGCAGCGAGTTCACCTCTGTGTACCCTTTCTTCGAAGTTGTTGTCACCGAGCCTCATTTGACCAAATGCAACATGGTAACAACAAAAAGTTTTAACCTTTGGAAATCTTTTAAGTTTTAGCCTCTGCGTTGTTGTCTTTAGCTTGATGGATTGTATAAATTGGGTTTGCACTTTGCAGAGGGTGCCAAAGAGCTTTGCAGACAAGTACTTGGAGAAAACCCAGATGGTTAAGCTTCAAGTTGGGGATAGGAAGTGGATGGTGACTGCTAGCAGAACGAAAGGACGATGGGAAGCAGTGCGGCTGAGTGCGGGTTTAACAGTCTTTGCCAAGGAGAACTCCCTTGAAGCTGGAGACGTTTGTTGCTTTGAGCTGGTTGGTAGAGAGGATGGCGACCAACTTTACAAGGTCACTATAACAAAGGGGAATTAGCGACGAGGTCTGGTAGTGTTGTGTTGAATTAATGTGTCTTTTTAGTAATGCTGTGTTTGTTGCTCTCTCTATGTAGTAGGAGAGGTCTTTCGATTTGATCCTTTGGGGAATGCTATTAGAGAACATGAAATGGATCAATGTATGTTAGGGAAGCTCATGTAGAATATGAATGGTTTTCTAGTGAGTAAGGAGGTCGTTTGTTGGTGGTATTTGAAGGGTGGAATTAATCTTTTTAGTTAACGAAATTGTGAGTATTCGTTTGTCTCTGGGGACCATACCACATCGAGCCAGCACTGCGGATTTCGAAACCCTGTTGGATATCACAAACCATATGAAGAATCCATCATCTTCAAGAGAAATGCAGTTTCCAAAGCTGCCTCCTTGCATTGCATGTAATCTGTTATCCTCTACAACATCTGCTGAGAAATGGAGCAGTACAGGGCGTTTCGGATCATAAATAGTCTGCTCCCAGACCCTCGTAGCCCATTTCGCTGCTTCCCATACCCCGAATCTGAAAGACATCATCACACAGAAACCTGAACGACCTTAGCCTTAAAACAAGTAAGACAAAATCTGATTTGGAAACCATGTCTCCAGTTGACAAATGACTAAGGCCTAATCAACGATACTGGTTTGCTGGCTGCTTTCATAGATTAATCGTACAAAGAGAAACTGATCGATACCAGGGAGAAAAGATCACCGTGTATTGTAGGATGAGGTAATGAGTACTGCTGGATACACAGCATCCTTTTGAATGTTGTCGTACGGAGAGTATTCACGTATGGCGTGGAAGTCATCTTTGTCACCAGGGTACCCAAACTCTTCATAGTCAGCTGCCGTCAGGGGAATAATGGAGTAGAGGAGAGTATTGGTTGCATCTAGTAATGGGAGCAGGGTGATGGTTTATGGCAGTAGCAACCAAGAGTCCCCCGGCACTAGATCCCCAACTAGCAAGCTTGTCTTCTCCTACAATCTCTTTCTCCATCAAGAACTTGGCACAGCACCGAGTATTGCTTCCCTTCTTCCACTCTCCGGTAGTACAACCTAATTCGTAATTCCACCGATCAAATCATTACAATCTGCACAAAGAACCTACAATAAAAGTGCAGAACCAAATGGAGGAAAAGTTACAAAATTTCATTACCAGGGCCCCCAGCGAACGGGAGGTGTAGAGAGGTCGAACTGCATCCGGGAATCCATTTCAGTCTGGAGCTTGCTCTGAAGCTTCTCGGCGCCGTACATGACGGCCTCCGCGTACTTCTCCTCTTGCTCCATCAGCACGTCCATGTGCCGCCGCGCCACGGCGTCGCTCAGCTTCGACATCCAGCTGTACGGGTCATCCCAGGTGGCGTCGTGGAAGGTGAAGGCCTTGGGGCTTCTGCATTCGGGGGTTTCGGCGGCGCCGGAGGAGCCGGCTGCCTCGGCGCCTTGTAGCCCCGGCGAAAAAGGAGAAGTATGAATTGAGTGGTGGGGATGAGGTCCCGGTGGATGGAGGCGGCGGCGGAAGGAAGAAGGTTCCGCATTTTGCGCGGTGGCGGCAGAGGGTTTTTCGTCGAACGGGAGGGAAAGTGAGGGCGGCAATTTTGCCGGCGGGATTTAAGAGCCGGAGAAAGAAGTAAACTGTATTGGATCACAATTGCGACAAGAGCTGGGCCCAAGCCCACACTAATGGCCCGTATATGCGTTGGGTTCCATCGCCGTCGTCGGAAGAGAAAACAGAGGCGTTCGTAACAGAGATTCATGCCGGCAAAATCAGTCACCTTTCTCTCTAATCGACTCTACCCTTTGCGATTCCTCTTCCTTTGCCCTTGCTCAGCCAGAAGCAGTGATTTCCGCTTGCTTTTTCTGCTTTTGCCGGCCACTCCCCGCCCTCTAGTTGCGGCAGAGATTTCCGCTTGCTTTTTCTGCTTTTGCCGGCCACTCCCCGCCCTCTAGTTGCGGCAGAGATTTCCGCTTGCTTTTTCTGCTTTTGCCGGCCACTCCCCGCCCTCTAGTTGCGGCAGAGATGGTCAGGGTCGCCACCGGGTCAACATATCGTACAAAAGTCAATATATCTCCAAAATATCACGATATCTCGCGATATATCGTATCTCGTCAATTTCACTTTCTCGTCAATTTATCGCGTTTCGATTTTGGTTTTGAGGTCACGAAACGTTTTGCGTTTCGACGTTTCGGGCGCCCGTATTTTCCTTTTTCCGCGATTGTTTCAGCAGCTCTGTCGCCCGTGATCGCTCCGTTTATCCTCCGGCATCCTCTTCTTCCTCCTGCAGCAGTTGGCGGCGGCTGGTGGTGGAGTTCGTCGCCGGTTGAGGGATTTCCTTCTTCCTCCCAGACGGCTGCCGGAGTTCCCTGACCTTGGCCTCCTTGTCCAGTCATAAATTTCCCGGAGTATCTGCTCTTTCCCTGATTACCCGTCGGAGTGAGAGAGATTGGAAGAAAAATCCTTCCCCCCGACCAATTCTAATCCACTGATTCCGATGATGAATAGTGGGTAGCCGATTTACCTACTCGCCGAAGCTAATTCCTCCGTTTCGGTCTTTTCCGGAAACAGAGGCTCCCCTGTTCTCCTCTGTTTTAACAGTATTAATTGTTTCACGATCCGAAGAATACTAGCGGGTTGCCGGCCACCGGAACGGGTTCATCTCCGACGTCCACCACAGTTGTTGGGTTTCCTCTGAACACAGTCGCAGCCTGCCACCGTGACGCATTGCATAAAATATATATGTGCAACATGTTAGGTAACATTTATTTAAGTGTATAACCAACGTGTTCAGATTCTCCAATAACGGTTGCCATCAGGATCAGGGTCCTCCGACTTCCGAGGACCGCAGCTTCAAGGGCGAAAAGGAATTGCAATAGGGCAAAGGCGACCAACTTCTCCAGGTATAGATAAGATGACTACCAACTAGCTTTTATATGTCAGTTTTTTAATGAAATTTTAATTATACATTATTATTTAATTCAATAATCGTAAATCTCACTTATATGAAACAGATTAGACAAAAAATTAAGGGATGTTAGTAGGCTATATGCATTTTTTTCGTGACCGGTTCGAGTTTGGACAAGAAATTTGATAAGTTGAGTTTTAACTTTGCATAAGAATAGTCAAGAACTTTATGGCATGTAATGTTATAATCAAGAACATCACAAATAACCGGTAAAAGAGGAGAGTCAATAGCTATATTGCGCATAAAAAATGCAAAAAGATATACACACCATCAATAAAAATGGGCTACTTACTAAAAATGGACAACTTTACCATAGGACCGAAAAAACAAACAAGTGAAAGAAATCAATCAGTTCGCCACATCCTATAAATACACACCACAATTAGTCTCGCTTCACATCCAAAACACACACCAATCAAACATCTTCCTAAACAAAATCACACGAAGAATCACTTGCGTACGAAAGATGAAGCCTGTTACATTTCTCGTGGCTCTTACTACTGTCGCAGTCGTTCTCTCCACCGTCAGTGCTAATCCCTACGGTGGGTGGCAACCGATAGAGAACATACACAACTATCACATCCAGGAGATTGCCAAGTTTGCGGTAGGAATGCACAACTATGAAAACAATTTCAAGCATCCGTTGAGACTCACAAGCATTCGGAGGGGCCTATTCCAGGTTGTGGACGGCGTGAACTACAGGCTCGACGTGACGGTGGATGGAGGCAACGGAGGGAGTATGTACCGAACGGAAGTTCACGAGAGGCTTGGCGCATTGGAGCTCATGTTTTTCACACCTATATATAAGGAATTAAATTAAAATCCTTCATAAACAATAATTTAGCCGTCTTTGTTTGAGTTAGTATGTTTTGCATACGTTAGATTGATTAATAATTAGGAATAACATAAGCTTTTGTTGGTTATCTAGTGATGTTGTTAGCTGATTATGTCCCTTTTTATCATAAATATGAGTGTGCTTCTTAATTGTTAGTGTCTCCATTTTAATTTCTACAAATATTTCCACTAGATTTGTAATTACAAGGTGCTACTAGAGGGGGTGGGGGCGAGGGGAAATGAGCTAGAAATTTTAGTGAGGCGGAGCCGATTTGAATTATAATAAACGAGGAAGAGAAGGTAAAATCTTACTAATTACTTTAGTTGTTAAATTTATTACAAATTTCCATTTAATGTTATACCTAAATTTCAAAATTAAGAGATACCGTCCAAAACTTTGTGTTTGGCCTAGAAAATTGATAATTGAGTTTGAAATTCTCATAAACTTCGAGGTTTTTTCTTCTTTCTTCTTCTTTTCCAAAGAGTTCCAAAAGATAATTTGAATGTCACAGTCAACTAATGAAATAATGTCAAGAATTTTAATTCATATCCGAAGAAAGGATCCAATCCTAATCATTATTATTATCATTATCGTGTAATTGTCTGTTGTTACTCGTATGAGTTGACCCGTAATAACTTTCACATAATAAAGAGTTGTTCACTCTGACGCGTGCGATCGTTTGCTTGCCTCAGTTTATCATCACGACGATCGTTCGAACTCGTCGAGTACTAATATACCACTGAGTCCGTTTACGACGACGGCCGAGTATCTGGCCTTGCCGTGGCGAGCCGAGGTGGCTGTTATATCCACTCTGAAGTACTCCTCCTCTGAATGCAAATCAGCCCAAAAAGCCCTTGTCCAAGCTCACCAGCTTCAACTGCTCGGCTTTCGAGCTCGTCTTCTTGTTCTCCTCCGCCACAGCAAACACCGCCATGTCTTTGTAATCGCTGTTTTGTAGCTCGTGGTCATTCATATCTGCGGGTTTCCAACCTCCATACGGCTGAAATTTCAAAGAAGATACTTCCATGGACAAGAAGGAGGAAATGGCGACGACTAAGACTCTAAGAGTATTAGAGTCGTCGCTAATTGTGATGACCTCCTCGTCACTAAAGCCATGGTTTTCGTTTGGTTGAATTTGTATGGTCCTTTCAGCTAATCGTTTTTGTTAGGCTTTGATCTATTCCTGAAATGGTTGTGTGAATTAAAATTACAAGCGTGGCAGAATGTATTTATATTGACGCAAAAGTCATACGCTTACTAATCAGCACATGTCCACAACGAGGAATTAAGAGAACGTAATCAATAAATAAAAAGCTTTAAAACTACAAATGTTTGCGTTTATTTTCTGCTCTTCAGACTCAGAGGAAGGAAGATACTCTCATTCCCCTAACTCGCCTAGATACATTTCACATTCGCATTATGAACATTTTTTTTTTTTTACCTAGACGGTAAAAATAAAAATAATCAATAACTTTATGGCATGTAAAGTTATAATCATGAAGATTACAAATAACCGGTAAAAGAGGAGAGTCAATAGGCTAAGTTACGCATTAAAATGCAAAAAAGATACACACACCATCTATAATAGCGGGCTACGTACTAAAAATGGACAACTTTACCACGGGACCAAAAAACAAAAACAAGTGAAAGAGATCAATCAGTTCACCACATCCTATAAATACACACCACAATCAGTCTCGCTTCACATCCAAAACACACCAAGCAAACGTCTTTCTCAACAAAGTCACACGAAGAATCACTTACGTACGCGAAAGATGAAGCCCGCTACATTTCTCGTGGCTCTGACTACCGTCGCGGTCATTCTCTCCGTCGTCAGGGCTGATCCCTATGGTGGGTGGCAGCCGATAAAGAACATCCACAGCCATCGCGTCCAGGAGATTGCTAGGTTTGCAGTAGGAATGTACAACTTGGAAAACGGTTTCAAACATTGGTTGAGACTCGCAAGCATTCGGAGGGGCTTTACCCAGGTGGTGGACGGCGTGAACTACAAGCTCGACGTGACGGTGGCTGGAGGCAATCGAGGGAGTATGTACCGAACAGAAGTTTATGAGAGGCGTGGCTCATTGGAGCTCAAGTATTTCACACCTATATACGAGGGATTAAATTAAGATCCTTCATGAACAATAATTTTAGCCGTCTTTGTTTTAATTAGTATGTTTTTCATATGTTTGTTTGATAGTGTCTCAATTGTTTCATATGTTTGTTTTACCTAGTGATGTTATGTCCTTTTTTTATCATAAATATGAGTGTGTTTCTCAATTGTTAGTGTCTCTATTTTAATTTCTACAAATCTTTTCACTAGATAATGAGTTTAAAATTTGCATAAACCACCAACGTTGCTTATCATTTACTTGCTAATTTCGAAAGGTAATATAGAATGACACATTCTGGAACGAAATAAAATTAAGGATTCGAATACATATCCAGAGAAAGGATACAATCTCCCAATTATTATAGTCACTATCGTAATTTTGTTTTGTAACGCGCATACACATTAACGTAACAACTTTCACACGATAAAGAGTTGTCCTCTCTCGCTCGATCATCTCGATCACTCCTCGTCTCGATTCATCTACCTTCGCTCGAAGTCCTCGAGTGCCAGTAAACCACTAAGTACGTTCGAGATGACCGCCGAGTATTTGACTAGGCCGAAGCGAGCCGAGCTGGCAGTTATATCCACTCTGTAGTACGTATAGTCCGTCGAATGAGCATTTCCGAAAAAGCCCTTGTCCAGGCTCACGAGCTTCAACTGCTCGGATTTCGACCTCGTCTTCTTGTTCTTCTCCGCCACAGCAAACACTGCATATTCTTTGAAATCGCTGGTTTGTAGTTCGTGGTCACTCATATCTGCGGGGATCCAACTTCCATGGACAAGAAGAAGGATATGGCGGCGACCAAGAGTTAGTGGGTCGTCGCTAAATGTGATGACCTCCTCGTTCCTAAAGCCATGGTTTAATTTTTTTCCCCCCGTTGAATTTGTATGTCCTCTTAGCTTATCCTGTTTGTTTTGCGTCGATCTCTCTGTGAAATTGTTGCGTGAATAGAAATCAGAAGCGTCGAAGGACGTATTTATAACGACGCAAGTCGTACTCGTAATTACCAAAGAAAACGTTATCAATAAATTAAAAGCATGAAAAACTACGAATATTTGCATTTATTTTTGTCATAAGATTGCTCGCATTGTCAAATCTCAACATATAAGCAATAAATTCGTAGGAAACAAAGAAATGACATTCTTGTAACCACGAAATATGCTATCCGATTGTTCGTTTTGTTGAAATTTACGTTTAAATATTTTGCAAGGAGAGTTTCAACTCGAACCCTTATTATTATATAGTGATTAGATGAAATTCCTTCAATCATGCAGAAGCAGTAATCTCACCACATAGAAGAAGAAAAAAATGAGGGCACTTGCTATTCTCCTAACCATTCTTTTCGCGACGGTTTTCCTATCCGCCTCGTCGCTAAAACTTCCGCAGCCACCGCCGGTCCCCAGCGAATGGAAGCCGATAAAGGACTTGAAAGCCGCCGACGTGGCCGCGGTGGCTGAAGCTGCCGTGAAGCAGTTCAACGACAAGCTGCCAGCTGGTAGTAAAGAGCAGCTGAAGCTGGAGAGTGTGGAGAACGGCGACGTGAAGGTCTTTGACGACGGGAAGTCCGTCTACCGTTTCCACCTGAAAACTGATACCAACGGCGGCGTGGGGCCCGGTAAGGTCCAGCTTTACGAGGTGGTCGTCGGCGTCGCTGACGACAAGTCCGGCGAGAAGATGAAACAGCTTCTTGCCTTTTTGCCCGTATTGAATTAATGAAGGGAACATGGTTTTATTTTTAACTATACAATTTAGATAAATGACATTTAATTTGTTTAATTCAACTAATAATATACCGGTGTAATATCGTTCTTAAAATGAAATGAACATAATATTGTATTTTTAATCGGTATCCTGCTGATCGAATAACAGAGCCTAATACAAAAGAGGTTTGACTAATAATATGTAGGAGTTCCGACAAGTACATAAAATTCTTACATGTGACGAGAGTATGATATTTTCTAACAACGACAAAATCAGAAATTTGAAAGATCTAGAAAAAAAAAAATTGAAAGTTCTTGTTAAGGAATTTGAACCTTTTTTACCAAGAAGTGAGCCAAAGCATTACGATATTTTCAAAGTAATATCTGTGTTTGTTGTTTTAAGTTTCTAAATAATGAAATTATGTCACCATTATTAAAAAAAAAAAAGAATTGCTGTATTTCAATTATGTTTTTAAGGTTTACTAGAAAAATTGCTGAGTGCATCGCTAATATTTTCTAGTTCGGCTGTAGAATCTATCTGTACAATACTACTATCCATACGATGTACTTAAGTGGTACAACTTGATTTCATAACCAAAAAAAAATGTACTACGGCTTATAACTTCATAAAAGGGAAGTACAAACCCTTTTTTTAATTATTTTCATAGTTGACCAAACATAATTTTAACCACCACCAAAAATAAAAAACACAAATTAAAATTTCTGATCAAATGATGACGAAGAAGCCAGCTCCCTTTCTACTCGTCGCGATTGCTGTCGTCGCCAAAGCAGCAGAACCTGCCGGCGGTGAATGGCTACCGCTACAGGATCCAAAGGCCAAGCACGTGAAGGATATGGCTGAGTTCGCGGTGTCGGTTCACAACGACAAGTATCTCAACGATCCACTTGATCTTTACCGCGTGGACGGCGGCGAGTACCAGAAACTCTCCGACGGCTCGACGAACTACCGGCTTCGTGTGGTCACGGTCGGCGACGAGTCGTCCCTGCACCCGTCGGGGATTCAAAACTGGACGGCGATCCTCCACGAGATGCCCTCCGGCGAAGTGCAACTTGTGTCGTTTGAACATTGAGTAATAATTGTAAAATCGAATCGGAGGCTGGACCATATATAATAAGTCTATTTTCTATGATTTTGAATCGTAGTAAACCGAATAGCCACATTTTCTTTTCCTCAAAGGAAGTTTCAATTCCAAGGTGGCGCATGGGACCTGTCCTAATTCAAACTAGCACCCGTTATCTATCTCTTCCAACTCATTATTGTTAACTCAAAATTACGATTTATCTCGATCGTCTATAAAAAAACACTTCTAAAAATATTGTATATTACATATGCAACATTTTCGACACTTCTTCCAACACATTTCACGTGTTGACATAAACTGGAGGTCACAAAGTATAAAATATCTTGCTGTTACTAATATTCTTTTACTATTTCCTTTCTTTTTCTTCTCCCAAGCACTACAACCATCCATGTGGCATCGCCACTGTACATGCAAGTAGCTCCAATCTTGGTTGAACGCAGAAGTTCTAACCAGCCACATGTCAGTTTCCTATTGGTGAGTTCATCTTTCTACTTCATATTTTAATTCTCGATTTTTTAGAATAATTAAGAGCATTAAATATTAAGAAAAAAGGAAGGTGAGTCCACCAATAACAAACAGACACATGAATGGTTTGAGCTTCTGCGTCCGCCGTCCAACCAATATTGAAGCTAAGAATTTTCCCCGAACCATATACAAATTTATGTGCAAAGCCAAAAAAAACAAATTTAAATTACCACACAATATTCAAGCAATCAATGTCAAGGATTTCCCTACCTAATATCCACATAGAAACTTGCCTTCAGTCCCAAAGAACAAAATGGTAACAAATTAATTAACCACCATTATCATTTCTCTCTAAAATCCATCAATGTTCAGGATTTTTCCTACCTAAAATCCATATAGAAACTTGCCTTAAAGTCCCAAAGAACAAAATGGTAACAAATTAATTAACCACCATATCATTTCTCTCTACCATGTCTATATAAACACACATACCACAATCAGTCTATCTTCACACCCAAAAAGAAAAGCATCAACAACAGGTGGGAACAAGATCACTTAAGACGACGAACACCATGAGGCCAATTACCATTCTCGTCGCTATTGCTTCCGTCGCTATAGTCCTCCTGGCCGCCGAGGCCGTCACCGGCGGGTGGCAGCCGATAAAGAACCTGAAGGACAAACACGTTAGGGAGATTGCCGAGTTTGCGGTGATTACGTACGATTCCGGCCTCGACCCCAGAATAGAGCCATTGAAGCTCGTGAGCGTGGACGGCGGCGAAACGCAGATCGTGGAGGGCACAAACTACAAGCTTTTAGTGACGGCAACGCCGGCCAACGAGAGTGTTGCCGCCGGGGGAGATATGTACCAGGCCATTGTTTATGAGAGCCTTTCTAATGTAAAGAAACTAGTATCGTTCATACCGTGGGATTAGTTGTAACCGCACTTGCATGAACAATTTTTTTTTAAGTTCGTTGGTTAGCAAATCAAAAATTAAGAACCATAAAACTATATGTTTAGATTGGGTTTTTTTTTTATAAAGTAATTGGTTTCAATAACTCGAGTTGTTGGGAGAAGGTTATGCTAGATCTTATACCACTCTCTAACACGTTCTCTCAAACGAAAGCCAACTCACGGGCTTGAAGTTTACACAGGCCCACCATACCTTGTGCTTTAATAAACGGTTAATATTGGGGGTCGTGGAGATTCAAACACACGACCACTTGGTCAAACCAGCTCTGATACCATGTTATAAACCAATCGGTCCCAATAACTCGAGTTGTTGGGAGAGGCCCATGTAGGGTACTTAACCACTTCCTTACACGCCCCCTCAAACGAAAGTCGACTCATGGGCTTGAAAGTTTGCACAGGCCCGTCATACCATGTGCTTGAAGACAACGGTTAATATTGGGGGTCGTGAGTACTTGAAAACGTGACCTCAAGGACAAACCAACTCTGATACCATGTCATAAACCAGTTGGTTACAATAACTCGAATTATTGAGAAAAGGTTATGTCGGATCTTACACTCCTCTCTAACAATTTTCGGTGCGCTTTGCGGTTAGTCCTCGAATCATGCTTATTCTGTGCGGTTTCAATTTAACCGCGCGCATAACGCAACTGTTTTCCATTCTCATTCCCATTAACATTATTTTTAGCTAGAAAGTACAAAAAAAAGTTGAGAATATTCAACTACTTTGTGGCATGTAATGTTGTAAAATTGGGAATATAACAACCAACCGATATAAAAGGAGAGTCAATACTCAATAGCCTAACAAAACATAAACTTGCAAAAAAGTTATGCCCACTATCTATAATGACGGGATACTAACCTAAAAATGGACAACTTTACCATTAGACAAAAAAAAAAAATATTTAAGAATGAAAGAAATTAATTAATTAGCTCGCCATAGCCTATAAATACACAAAACAATTAGTCTCACTTCACATCCAAAACACACCAACCAAACATTTTCGAAAAGGAATCACTTACGAACTAGAAAAATGAAGCCTGCTACTACATTTCTCGTGGCTATAACTACCATCGCAATCGTTCTCTCCACCGCCAGTGCATCATCGCTCGGCGGATGGCAGCGAATAAAGAACACAAATGACTATCGCGTCTGGGAGGTAGCCGAGTTTGCCGTAGGAATATACAACGTGAAAAATCATTTCAAACATCCGTTGAGACTCGTAAGCATTGGGAGCGCCGAAGTGCAGGTGGTGGACGGCTTGAACTACCTGCTCATCGTGATGGCGACTGCAATCGACAGCCTCAACTCCCCGATAGTTATGTACCGGACGGAAGTGCACGAGAGACTTGGCGTAAAGGAGCTGAAATTCTTCACACCTATATTTGATGGATTGAACTAGAATCCATCATGAACAATAATGTAGCTGTCTCTTAATTTTTTTTTTTAATTCCTAAGGTTTTCATATGTTAGCTTGCTTAATGATTAGGAATATCATAAGCTTTTTGTTGGTCTGGCTAGTTATGGTATTAGCTGATTATGTCTTTTTTTTCATAATGTGATTTGTTGCCTTACTTGCTAGTATCTAATTTTAATTTCAACAAATTCTTCCACTGTATATTGTTCTACTGCATTGCACCAAATTCCATGAACAATTAATTAAGGTCAAAATAAAAAAATATATTAAGCAAACATCTTCTTAAACAAAATCACACCAAGAATCACTTACATACGAAATATGAAGCCCGTTACGTTTCTCGTTGCTTTGACTACCGTTGCGATCGTTCTCTCCACCATCAGTGCTAATCACGCCAGTAGGTGGCGACCGATAAAGAACATACACAACTATCGCGTTCAGGTGATTGCCGAGTTTGCAGTAGATATGCTCAACTTGAAGACCAATTTCATATATCCATTGAGACTCGTAAGCATTCGGAGCGGCCAAGTCCAGGTGGTGGGCGGCGTGAACTACAAGCTCGACGTAATGACGGCTGGAGACAATAGACTCGACTCCAAGGGGAGTATGTACCGAACGGAAGTTCACAAGAGACTTGGCACACAATAGAGCTCAAATATTTCACACCTATATATGAAGGATTAAATTAAGATCCTTCATGAACAATAAATTTAGCCAGTCTTTGTTTTAATTTTTAAGTATTTTCCTTTGTTAGTTTGATCAATATATATAGCTAGGAATAAGTAACAGAAGTTTTTGTTGGCCTAGCTAGTTATGTGATTAGCTGATTATGTCATTTTTATCATAACGTGATTTCTTGCCTTAATTGCTAGTATCTAATTTCAATTCCTATAAAAATTCTTCCGCTCGATATTTTTCTACTGCATTGCACCAAATCCCATGAACAACTAATGTCAAAATAAATAAATAAAATATCAAAACCCTATTTGACCATCATAATATATTAATGTAACAACAAATACTCAATGATCTGCAATAAGACGATTCTAATACGAATAAGAACTTGGTCTATTGATACTACCTCTAATCTTGAACCTAAAAATCTCGGTCTTATGGATCGACAACAAGTATAAGTATTCAATCAATATATATTTTACTTCGTAGAGTAACCAACGGCATTTCCCTCCTTAATGAATTGTCTCAGCATTTCTCACCTCTCAACCTGAAGCTCGTTTTTTACCTCTATAAAACTCAAACTGAAAAATTAGATTAATTGCGATTAGAGGTGGCAATTCTCAATACAATTCACCAATCTAATCCAATCAAATCCATTCCATTAATTCATTAAAAATATCCAACTAATCCAATCTATTTAAATCCAATCCATTTGATCCAAATCCAACTGGATTGGCGGATTCATAAATTGGATCCATGGATCATCGGCAAATTACAGTTTAGTACCTATAATTTTTATTTTTTACATTTTAGTACCTAAAATTTAATTTTTTATACAATAAATATCATTGGAAAAATATGTTTCGTCCTCTTTAGTGAGTTGTCTAGTACAGAACCTAAAATGTAATTTTTTATTCAATAAATATCATTGGAAAAATACGTTTCGTCCTCTTTAGTGAGTTGTCTAATACGGAAAGGCCGTTCAAGATGCGATGGAGACTGGAGAGCGTGAAAGACCTGACTCTTGTGGAATTGGTGGCTAAAGATGACTTATGCGGTAGCTAAAGATGGCTAGGGTAGTGTCTTTTTTTTTTTGCCAAAAGATCACTCGTATTACCGAGAAAGCCAGATATAACAAGTCACACAGCTGAAAACAGCCAAGAAACAAAATCGAACCCTCCTAAGTGAGGGAACAACGAAAGGGCTTTTCTTGCCACCAAATGGGCAACCCTGTTACAGCTAGGGTAGTGTCTTGATCCAAGAGATTCCGTTACTTGCTTTAGTAAAATGTACTTTTCATAGAAAAAAGCAAACATGTAAATAAGATACCAAACAGAATTGTTACACTATAGACAATTGATTTGATTAGGTTTTCTTAAACTTGCTTACTAGTACAACCTAATGAAGATTTTATTTAGTTTGCACCAATACATGTGCAAATCATGTTGTGTATTTATTTGTAGCTAGTGGACTTCAATTTATCGCATCAAATGTCTAGGCACGAATTTATTATTTGAATTCACTTATAAATTTCTCTCATATGGGTTCATTGCTTGTTGTTTTGTCTGGTTCACTAATACCGCCTATCCTAGCGAATTTTACGGACCTACTGGTCCAGAAGCTTCTCAGGCGCAAGCATTTACTTTTATCGTTAGAGACCAACGTCTGGGGGCTAATGTAGGATCCGCTCAAGGACCGACCGGTTTAGGTAAATATCTATTGCTAGCTCTGAGTGAATTATATAATTTTGTTCTGTTCAGCCGAAATCAAACGAAAAATATGAATTGATGCAAGTGTGCCTACCAAATGTCTTTGATGACTCGATCCTATGTGAATGTGTCTAATTGGACCTCTTTCCTTTTCTATGGGCATAGTATATAGGATAGTACCTCATCCAATTATAATTGGGTTGCCCATAGAATCACATACAAAACTCTTTTGATTTTTCATTTAAAGTTAGGATCATTAGATTTTATAGTCTGGTTATTACAGGTTTTTTATTGTTAAGGGTGTAATAAAGGGGTGAAATGCTAATATTTCTCTAATGTTGTTTTCTTTCTTGACACAACTATCAAAATCGCATCCTTTACACCGTCGAGGCGAAACCCAGTGGGTCGAATAAACCTTGTTTGCACCTAACTCAACCAACACTCACCCAAACACTTCGACCCAAAAACCAAATTTGGATATTCTTCTTAACCTAGCTCTTCTATACATTTCCCCTTCACATTAACATAATTTTACGTTTGACGGTAAGAAAATAAGAATAGTCAAAAACTCTATGACATGTTTTATTGGGAAGATAACAAATAATCGGTAAAAGAGGAGAGTCTACGGCCAAACTTACGCATAAAAATTGCAAAAATATATACCCACCATCTATAATAGCGGGATACATAACTAAAAATGGACAACTTTACCATAAGACCAAAAAACAAACAAATGAAAGAAAAAGAAAGATAGCCTATAAATACACACCACAATTAGTCTCGCTTAACATCCAAAACACACACCAATCAAACATCTTCCTAAACAAAATCACACGAAGAATCACTTGCGTACGAAAGATGAAGCCTGTTACATTTCTCATGGCTCTTACTACAGTCGCAGTCGTTCTCTCCACCGTCAGTGCTAATCCCTACGGTGGGTGGCAGCCGATAGAGAACATACACAACTATCGCATCCAGGAGATTGCCAAGTTTGCGGTAGGAATGCACAACTATGAAAACAATTTCAAAGATCCGTTGAGACTTGTAAGCATTAGGAGGGGCCTTGTCCAGGTGGTGGACGGCATGAACTATAAGCTCGACGTGATGGTGGCTGAAGGCAACAGGCTCGACTCCAAGGGGAGTATGTACCGAACAGAAGTTCACGTGAGGCTTGGTGCGATGGAGCTCATTTTTTTCACACGTATAGTTAAAGGGTTAAATTAAGATCCTGCATGAACAATAATTTAGCAGTCTTTGTTTTAGTTTTTTTTTCATTGTTTTGATTAATAATTAGGAATAACATAAACTTTTGTTGGTTATCTAGTAATGTGTTATTAGTTGATTATGTCCTTTTTATCAAAAGTGTGATTGTGCCCTTAATTAATTGCTAGTGTCTAATTTTTATCTCTACAAATCGCTCGGCTAGATATCGTTCTACCGCACCAAATCTCATGAACAACTGAAGTCAAAACCAACAAATATTCATTGAGGAAGACTATTTCTATGTGTCAAATTAATTACTGCATCATGACATAGGCTAGAATTTTAGGACTTTCGAGAATAACGAATGTTCATGGGACAAGTTAATACACAAAATTGTAAACATGAAATTGCATCGATTGTAGTATTACTACAAGTACTAGTGCCCACTCAATTTCGACTCGACAAAGCAACCAGTGTAGTTGTTATCAAGGCTCCTTTGTATGGTTTAAATGTAAGGGAGCAGAGTAAATAAAAGGTGACGTGTTTCCTTTGCGGAAACTTCACAAATTACTGCCTAAAAAAGGTTACATGTAAGGAATCCTTGAAAGGACAAATAGTGACGAGATTGATTTGTTTAGAAAATATTTAGGAAAAGAATCCTACTCGGAGTGGTGGCTAAAGATTTAAATTTCAACTAAATCACATAGAGGAGAAAAATTAATTGGACCAAATCCGAGAAAATGTGTCTGGTTCCACCTTAATCCACACTTTTTCGTTATATATATATATATATATATATCAGTCTCTTCCAAATCGGTTCATCTTAGACTAAACCATATTGTACTCACCATTGAATTTTACAAAAATGCTCTACACCTTTCACAACAAATTATCGGAACTTGCACATCTAATCATTAATTTGTAGCATTATCATGTTATATACCGTCGAACTACAAGTGGTTCTCCATGCATAGACTTGCTTCTTTTAGGTGTCGTTTGGTTTTGGTGATTGTTTGATGGGGATAGTTACAATGCATGTATTGTCCACAATACATTGTTTTTTTATATTTTCGGCACAAACAATACATGCATTGGTTGCTTGATTTGACACAAACTATCACTCAAGTTTTTGGTGAGATTGTTGAGATAGTTGGTGGAGATTGTTGGCTTATTTTTGTTCCAACTTCAGTCACTCGAATTACTTTTTTTTTATATGAATGTCATTCGAATTACTGAAACATGTCACATTTATTCAATTTCTCGTTAGTTTCTGTCCAACTCCGTTAACGGAGTTAGACGGAGGCTAACGAGAGTGATTAAATGTGACATGTTTCAGTAATTCGAGTGACAAAAATTGATATTAATTTTTTCTAGTAACTAAACATGACTGATTTAGTAATTTCAGTGACCAAATGTGGCATTTATCCCATGTGCAAATCATGTTGTGTATTTATTTGTAGCTAGTGGACTTCAATTTATCGCATCAAATGTCTAGGCACGAATTTATCATTTGAATTCACTTATAAATTTCTCTCTACTAGCTTTTAGTGAATTATATAATTTTGTTTTTGTTCTGTTCGACCAAAATCAAACGAGAAATATGAATTGATGTAAGTGTGCCTACCTAATGTCTTTGATGACCAGATCCTACGTGACTCTGTCTAATTGGACCTCTTCCTTTTCTATCGGCATAATATATATGATAGTACCCTCATCCAATTCTAATTGAGTTGTCCATGGAATCGCATACAAAATTCTTTTGATTTTTTTATTTAAAGTTAGGATCATTAGAGGTTGTAGTCTTGTTGTTATAGGTTTTTTATTTTATTTTTAAGGGTGTAATAAAGGGGCGAAGTGCTCATATGTCTCTAATGTTGTTTTCTTTCTTGACACAACTATCGTAGTCGTCATCCTTTACACCGTCAGGGCGAAACTCAAATGGTCAAATAAATCTTGTTTGCACATAACTCGACCAACACTCACCCAACCACTTCGACCCATAAACCAAATTTGGATATTCTTCTTAACCTAGCTCTTCTTCGCCTGGCTCGTCTATACATTTCACCTTCACATTAACATATTTTTACCTTTGACGGTAAGAAAATAAGAATAGTCAACAACTCTATGAAATGTTTTATTGGGATGATAACAAATAATCGGTAAAAGAGGAGAGTCTACGGCCAAAAGTTACGCATAAAAATTGCAAAAATATATACACACCATCTATAATAACGGGATACATAATTAACAATGGACAACTTTACCATAAGACCAAAAAACAAACAAATGAAAGAAAGATAGCCTATAAATACACACCACAATTAGTCTCGCTTCACATCCAAAACACACACCAATCAAACATCTTCCTAAACAGAATCACACGAAGAATCACTTGCGTACGAAAGATGAAGCCTGTTACATTTCTCGTGGCTCTTACTACAGTCGCAGTCGTTCTCTCCACCGTCAGTGCTAATCCCTACGGTGGGTGGCAGCCGATAGAAAACATACACAACTATCGCATCCAGGAGATTGCCAAGTTTGCGGTAGGAATGCACAACTATGAAAACAATTTCAAAGATCCGTTGAGACTTGTAAGCATTAGGAGGGGCCTTGTCCAGGTGGTGGACGGCATGAACTATAAGCTCGACGTGATGGTGGCTGAAGGCAACAGGCTCGACTCCAAGGGGAGTATGTACCGAACGGAAGTTCACGTGAGGCTTGGTGCGATGGAGCTCATTTTTTTCACACGTATAGTTAAAGGGTTAAATTAAGATCCTGCATGAACAATAATTTAGCAGTCTTTGTTTTAGTTTTTTTTTTTTCATTGTTTGATTAATAACTAGGAATAACATAAACTTTTGTTGGTTATCTAGTAATGTGTTATTAGTTGATTATGTCATTTTTATCAAAAGTGTGATTGTGCCCTTAATTAATTGCTAGTGTCTAATTTTTATCTCTACAAATCGATGTGCTAGATATCGTTCAACCGCACCAAATCTCATGAACAACTGAAATCAAAACCAACAAATATTCATTGAGTAAGACTATTTCAATGTCTCAAATTAATTACTGCATCATATGCCATATGCTAGAATTTGAGGACTTTCGAGAATAGCGAATGTTCATGGACAAGTTAATACACAAAATTGTCAATTGCATCGATTGTAGTATTACTACAAGTACTAGTGCCCACTCAAGTTCTACTCGACAAAGCAACCAGTGTATTAGTTGTTAAGTAAGGGCGCAGAGTAAACAAAAGGTGTCATGTTTCCTTTGCGGAAACTTCAGAAATTACTGCCTAAAAAATGTTACATGTAAGGAATCCTTGAAAGGACAAATAGTGACGAGATTGGTTTGTTTATAAAGTGTTGATGAAAAGAATCATACTCCGAGTGGTGGCTAAAGATTTAAAGTTCAACTAAATCACACGGTCTCGCAATAACCTAACACATTTAAAAGGTGAGTCCATAAGTATCGATTTGTTTAGAAAGTGTTTATGAAAATAATCTTACTCGGAGTGGTGGCTAAATATTTATAATTCGACTAAATCATGCAGTCGCGCAAAAACCTAACACGTTTTAAAAGGCGGGTCCATGATTATTGATTAATTTCCCATTCGAATTTTATTATAAAAGGCTCATATTTCTTGCTTGCTCATAAACATCGAGTAGATAATTGGATTGGACGGGAAACAGAGGAGGAAACTATATTGGACCAAATCCGAGAAAATGCATTTGGTTCTCTATGCATACACTTGCTTGTTTAGCTCTCTATTCTAGACATGTTCAAAATTACCACTTTTAATAACAGTTTTGTTATCAATAATCATCATCTTTACTGACGAAATGTGTATATGACATATGATAACAATTTTGAGATTCGAATATAAAACCATCCATTTGATATTATATTCGAACGTAAGAACAATATAAAGCTTCTATTTTCATATAATGTGAATTTTTTTATTACTTTTTATTGTTCCAAATTAAAATATAAAGTGGTAATTAGTTGGTCGATGAACTATGCGTATTTGGAGGGTTGAAAATATCTCTTTTAAACATATATGCTATGCTTTTAAGACAAGGTCGTTTAGTTAAACCTTTCCCCATTTTCAAGGGCTATAAGACTATTTATCTGACTTAAATTTAGGACATATTCTAATCCGAAATTGCTATTTATAAGGCGATGCAGTTAGGATTAATCACTCAGATTATGACTATAAAATTCCCGTCTCCAAAATCCATTTACTCACCAACCATTAGCAACAACATAAGAAGAAGCAGAAACAAAACAAAAAAATACTTAATCGGGAAAAAAATCTGAACAATGGCGACGATATCACCACATTTAGCAACGGCACTTCTAGCGACACACCTTTTCTCCGTCACAACAGCAGACCCTTCCTCCTCCTCTACGCCGGCCTTTCCCAACGACGTCTGGGTGCCGCCGCTCATCTCCGAAAACACCTGGGTGTCGCTAAAGAGCTACCAACTGCAATACAGGTTCAACATCGACGTCGCACGTTTCGCGGTGATCTCGTACAACGACCAACACTCCAAGGAGCCGCCACTGAACCTCTTGAGCTTGGACGAAGGCGAGATTCTCGCCGCCGGATCGGGCATCGTGTACCATCTCTACCTGACCGCCGCCACCCGCGCTCGCGAGGAGACCAAGTACCAAACGTTCGTGTTCGTGGATCCGAGATCGAGATCGAATACGAGGCAGCTGCTGTTCGTTCCCCGATACAACAATTCGGTCGTGTCTGAAAGCTCGTGGAAGACGATCAAGCTCGAGTTGTTAAAATCACACAAGATTCGTGACATTGCGTGGTTTGCGATTAGACAGCACGTCAGTGTGTTTCTTCCGATCGGGGACGAGATGATGCAGCTGGTGAGCGTGGACGAGGGCGAGGTTCTGGCTGCTGGAGCCGGAGGGCTCGTGTACCATCTTTACTTAACTGCTAAAAACAATGCGCGTCATAAGTTGAGGTACCAGACGCTCGTACTTGTTCATCCGGGAGCGAGGTGGCAGTCACTGCTGTTTGAGCCCTTGTAGATTGATCAGTGGATTGGGTAGCAGGATAAGAAGGGAGCGAGCTAGGGTTTCTTTTTTTTTTTCCCTCAATCGTTTCGAGTGGTTCAGTGTAGTTCTTATGAAGGCTCCTTTGACATGGTTTAAATGTAGAGGAGTGGAATAATAAACGAAGATATTATGTTCGTTACAAAAGCGTCAGCAAAAGTTACATATTAGCTAGGGCCTAGGAATCCTTAAAAAGCAATAATGTAAAAAAACTGAGGAGTCTGATTGAGTTACTTACCTGGAGCAGTTACGCCATTACAAAAGGTGGGCAATTGTAATTAATTAAGAAACCACGAAAACCTTTCAACTTCCCTAAACTAAGAAAATACTAAACGACAAAAAAGTAAATACTATAACAAAAAAACTAAGTAAATGCTAAATTAATTAAAAACAACAGTAACGTAAATCTTTTAACTTCCCTGAACCAATACACTGCCGCGGGGCCCACCGTTGCATCGCTCGTCACACGAAACGGATCCCTTCCATTCGACGATTGCATCATTACATATTTACGCGTTACTATGATACCGATGAATTACAAATCTGGTAGTTCTTTGATATACATGCACACTTCCTTCTTTGGTTTCTCCCTTTCAGATATATCCAAAATAAATTACCATGAATTTTAATTACCTTGAAAAAAAACGGAAGCAAAATAAATTCACCAAATCCGCTAGATATTCTCAACAAAAATTTCTTAAACAACCAACAAATATATTAAACATGCGCCAAATATAGCCTCCTCAATTTTCCATATAAAAGGATAACAAGCATACAACTCGTGGCACAAAAGTAGACCCACAAAGAAACCAAACCATGTCATCATCCAATCTCCTCTTCGCCGCCGCCGCCCTCCTGGCGCTCTTCTTCATCTCGGCGGCGGAAGCAACGGTCCCCGTCTCGTGGCTGCCGTTCAAGAACCTGAAGGCTCCGAAGGTGACGGCGATCGCCCAGTTCGCGGTGAAGGAGTACAACAAATTTCACCCGGACCGCCCGCCGCTGACTCTGGTGAGCATCGACAGCGGCGAGTATCTCAAGGCCGACGGTGAGAACTACCACCTCTACATCACCGCCGCCGACCGTTACGGCCCCGGGAAGTACCAGACGTTTGTGTTCGAGTATCCGGCGGGGAATTGGGATCTAACGTCGTTTGTACGAATGGACCGGGGCTAGCTTTAGCGACGAAATTGATATTGGTTGCTATAGAGCAGATGTTTTCATTATTGTTAATTTGTATGCCTTGTTTGTTCCAATAATTGAAATCGTAATCCAGAGGGGAGAATTAATTTGGATTAGAAGAAGAAGAAAAAACCAATATTATTATTATTATCAGTCCGTGAATTTTTTATCGAAATTATTTTCAATCCTTTCTGTTGTCATTTGTATATCGAGATATGCGAGATGAGGTTAATTATGAGAATGCCACAACAATTTGGAAAATTCCATTTGTATGACGATTAACATAAGAAAATTTACCAAAAGATGACTCTAGTAATAGGAATTGGAGCTCTCCTATAATTGCACCACCACGAGCATCATCGATCGATTTCGACATATATTACTATTATCTCATTCGTCATCGAAAATTCAGATAAATAAAAAGTTGCGCGTCCTCTAAAAAAAGACTATCGTATAGTTCAACGTACCACGCATAATTTATTTCGAGGATACATAAAGAATAAAAAAATTACTCTACAATTAACTTAGAGCCGTTATTAGTTGCCGAAACTTTCAGATTCTGCTCTTCACTCTGACCCTGACATTTCTTCGCGCAGTATTGATCGCACAATTTCTGGCTACCTAAATGGCAATCGAAATCGCAATTTTTGAGACACGACGCGTGATCTGCCAACACTACTTGATTGGCCGAAACGAAAACAACCAACAGTACTACAATCGCTCCAACCATGGCCTTCATTTTTCTTCTCCTCCAACGTACGATGATTTCTGCAGAGATTCTGATTTCTTCGTTAGGGTTTATGTTAATTTCTAGAGTTCTTCGATTTTCACAATAACAAAAAAGTGGGTGAATATCTAATCTAGCTCGTCTTTTATATGTTGATTCATTTAACTTGTAATCTAATACACAGGATGGCGCTCCTTTCTTTTTCTGTTGCAATTATGCAGCCGTTTTCCCTTCTTTTCCTTAATTTCTTCCATTCATGCATGTCTGGATTCATAGTAATGGAGAATGTTCAGTCCAGTGAACCGATGTAAATTTATGTCAAAACGATGTTTCGATTGGTTTCCGTATATTAAATAGGGAAAACACGTAATAGTGCATACAAAGAAATAGAGACGATATCGGGTTCATCGTGCATGAAACCGCAAATCCGGAGGGAAGAAGAATGGCGACGTTAGATGATAAAAAAAGGAAAAAATGAACATCATCATCTTTCTTTCATATATAGATCGATGTCGCGGCAGCCAAAGTACTGACTAGAATCGCATAGCACTTGTCGTATCACGATATGAGTAACCACGCGATATTCACGCGACTAAAATAAAGAAAACCTAAAATGACAACTCAGGGTACGTACGTAATAGCTGCTAGGGTCAGAAGCTTCGTAAATACTGATTGTTCATTCATATAGATAAACAAGTTGCGAAACACCTCAAAAAGAGTGACTCAAACTATATATTGATTGTTCAATACACCGCATAATTTTGTTGCGAGGACATAATACATCGAACTTAGAATCAGTAGTATCGCGCGACTACGAAATCAACTTAGAATCGCTATTCGTTGCCAGATTTTCGGGCTTCTTTAGCTCACTCTGGCCACGACACATTTTCGAACAGTAGACGTTGCACAATCTTTCGCTGCCCAAACTGCAGCTGCCATCGCACTTCTTGAAACACGATGCGTAGTCCGCCAGTACTGCTTGATTGATCGTCGAACCCAAAACGACCAACATCACGATCACTCCGATCATCGTCTTCATTCTGGAGATAACGATTCTGAAATCTTCTTGAGGGTAATTTATGTGTGTTGCTAATTTGGGAGTTGTTTAATTTTTCCTTTGATGGTAACGAAGTGGGAGAATCCATTCCTTCTTTTATAGAAATACAGAGGGGAGCAGTTTTGACCAAAAAGATTGAATCATTTAATTTTTATAATTAATAGAGGATACTACTGCCTTCTTTCCCTTTTCCGTTGCAATTACTCTGTGGGATACTCTCTAATTAACTCCATTTACTGCAATTACTCTGTTTAGGGATTTTTCTCGTGTTACCCTTTGAAATCAGATCACATTCACACCATAACGTTTATGTTGTTTAAATCTCTTTTTAAGTGAATTCAACTATGAGACAAAATATGAGGAGAAACAAGAACCACGACTATGGAACCAACTTGGAATCTGTATTAATTGCTGGAAATTCCCGCGGTGATGATGATATTGTTAGTGATTTCGAGCTCGATGAATCAACTGATTTCGGGAGATAATGAGAATTGTGTGAACATAAAAGACACTTGCAAAATGCAAACATGGATTTTATACTATTTGTCTTGCTAAGTGCAACAAAAATTTGTCCTGGTCATCCAATAGCCATCAACAACCGAAGCAAGAAATTCAAACAATTAATAGATCGAGCAGGTTCAAAACAAAAAACAAAAAATCCTCTTTAATGGAGGATACCATCTTCCTTTTTTTTTTTCTGTTGCGGTATTGATTACACAACTTCACATCACCCAGACGGTAAGAGAGATTGCACTGTTTGAAAGACGAAGCATAATCTGCAAAGGCGCAAACACCACTACTCGAGTGGTCATTTGGCATCGCGAACCCAAAATCACTGGCATTGTCATGTATCCAATCATCACCATCATTATTTTTTCGATTTCTCTCCAATGAACCGAGTAACATCGTTTTCTGTTTTCTTGAAGTTATAGAGTGGATTGATCACGCAAAATTTCGTCAAAAACACAATTTTACCATCATGCCATCATTCATTCATATGGATAAACGAGTTGCAAAACACCATCAAAAGAGAGACTCGCCAACTACATTGATTGTTTCAATTACACCGCGCGCACACATCATTTTTTTTTGTTGCGAGGACATACACATCGAACTTAGAATTAGTAGTAGTCGCGCACGACTACGGAGTCGAATCAGAATCGCCGTTCGTCGTTGCCAGATTTTTCGGCTTCTGTAGTGGTAGTTCAGTACTACTCTGGCACCTTATGGAACAGTACGTGTTGCACAATTTCGGGTTGCTGAAAGGGCAGCTGCCGACGCACTTCTTGAAACACGATTCGTAATCAGCCAATACTGCTGCTTGATTCGTCGTTGAACCCAAAACGACCAACATTACGATCACTCCGATCATCTTCGTCTTCATTCTCTGGAGAAGTTGTGAAATCTTTTTTAGGGTGTAATATAATATGTATGTTGCTGATTTGAGAGTTCTTTATGAAGAAGTGGGGAGACTCCATTCCTTCTTTTAAAGATATACAGAAGTGGGCAGTTTTGACCAAAAAGATTGAATCATTTAATTTTGTAATTAATAGAGGATACTGCCTTCTTGTCCTTTTTCCGTTGCAATTACTCTTCAGGATACTCTTTTCAGTCAAACTTATTGCACCCATCTTTGTTTTCTTCCAGTTATGAACTAGGGTTTTCTAATAAAGAGAAGAGAAGAGCTGTGGCGGAAGAAGCATCAAACACCCTCTACCTCTAGTGCAAGAAGATATCAAGATCAATTAGTAGTAGAGGTGTTTGTTGAAGAAGAATGAAGACAGTGATAGGAGTAGCGGTGATGATATTGCTAGCGATTTCGAGCTCGACGAATCAACTGGTTTCGGGAGATGACGAAAACTGTGTTAACATTTGCATGAAAGACACTTGCAAAAACGGAGCTTATACTTTTTGTCTTGCGAAGCGGAAGTGCTACAAACATTGTCCTAGCAGTTATCCAAATAGCCATCAACAACCGAAGCAGGAATTTCCAACGATTAATACCGAGTTCAAGTTGCTTCCATAGTTGTCGTCATTCATGTTTCTCTCGTCTTTTTTTTTTTTTGTTGAAACCAGACTTTCAGTATCGCGTCCTTGAATGTTCGAATCGAGAAATTTAATAATACAAGTTAGAAATGCTTCCCCAGAATTTGTGCATGTATGCAGAATGTGTCTCGATCGAGATTAAATCTGAGAGTATTTGTTATGATCTCTAAAGCTAGAACACGTACCTTCTTGCCAGATGGTATAAGACCATATGTTTTAATAAACGAGACATCCTCGACACACATTTATAAATATATAATGGTCATCAAATGATATCAAAATAATCTGCACCCATTCTATTTCCTTTTCATGAATCCATGTTTGCTTTTCTTTTGCAAAATATTCGTAGGAGTGATAATTTTCTGCACGAACAAAAGTGTCACACACTTACTTAAGACGTGTGTGAAGTTGAAATGATGAAATCTAACGAACAACCAACAAAGTGAATACAAATGAGCTAGATAATATATTCCAAACATTGTAAGGGACCAAAATGTGAGAGAGATCCAACTAAAAAAACTTGCGAGACCAAAATTTGTATATCCCAACCATCGTCTTCATTTTTCTCCAGCAAAAAAAAGGCTCTACTAATCTTGATTTCTTCTTGCACTAGGTTGAGGAATCTGTTTCCTTTGATTGTAAAGAAATAAAGTAAATCATTTTGAGAAAAGAGATTGAGTTATTTAATTTATCATTAATGCTGTTTACTGTTAGAGTCTTAGAGAGAAGGACCCTTCTGGGACGAGATGTTGGCCGTTAAAGAAAGGTACTTTTTCTACATTAATTACAATTAGGAAAAAAAAATCTTGCATTAATTATAATTAAATGATTCAATCTCTTCCGCCAAATTTGTTGACTTTTTTCCTTAATAGCCAAAGGGAATAGATTTCCTGAATCTACTATAAGAAAGGGAAGAGCTCTCCTCTGAGAAGCACTCACACAAACAGTCACACCCTATATTAGAAGAAATCAAAATCTGTTTCAAGATTTTGTTCAAGAAAGAAAAATGAAGATGATGATTGGAGTAGTGATGCTATTGTTTGTAATCCTAAGCTCGACGAATCAAGTTTCGGGAGATTATGCATTGTGTGTTCGCCATTGCCTGACACATTGCAAACAACGACTTTACACCGATTGTGGTATTTCCTGCGATAAAAAGTGCCACAGTCAATATGACAAACAACATGAGCAGGAGTCTTCTGAAACTAGTACCAATCTGAAGAAGGTGCCATAGTTGTTTCAGCTTCTTATGTTGGTGTTTTGATGAGAAGCCAATCTTTCAATGTCTACTATTCTCGGAATAAAATTCGTTTCTAGGGTATTGACTAATTTGTAGGTGCCCTCTTCTCTTCGTCACTTTCTCTCTCGAGATTTTTTCTAACTCGTTTTCATATTATCAAAACTCGAATACCCTCAATAGATTTCGGCCATTGTTGTTACGTTTTATGTGCATGATTCGGTAAAACCATGGCCACAGCCGTTTGGTTCTTCGGTTCGAGAATTTCTGGAAACACACCGTTTCACTTTACTCGACTTGGGTGAAAACGCACCATTTACACACACTACTCATCAGGCACTTAATTATGCATGCCCATTAGGGCTGGGAATCCGGTCCCGGTTTTTCGGTCAAACCGGAAACTGGCCATTTAAACCGTCCCGGTTGTAACCGGAAACCGGATTCCAAGTAACCCAATCAAGTTTGCGGTTGCAGTGGTCACAGCCCGGTCCGATGCGGTTAAAACCGGAAAAACCGGATAGCCCAACTTGAGCCCACCCATCTCTCCAGCAAGCCCACCTCTCTCAACAACTTAATTAGGCCGGAGCCCAGCTACAGGCCCACCAACCCTCCCAAACCCCTAAAGCCCGACTCCACAACCCTACATCGTCTCCCTCGAGCTCACACTCAAAGGCGCAGCCGCCTTTCTTCTATCTCTTCCCTTCTCACCAATCTCTCCAGCGGCAAAGCCAAAAACCACCCTCCCATCTCCAAAATCCCACTCTATCTCACTCACCCTCTCTGCTTGCCTCTCATCTGATTCCATGGCGGCGGCGACGACACCAAGACGATCGATTTGGAGCAACCGCAGCTCTGCCTCTCTCTTCTCAGTCTCACCAGCCGATTTGAAGCGACCATCGCTCTGTTTCTCGCTCGGATCGAGACATGCATGACCTGACCTGCCTTCCTCTGGATTTCTCCCATATCGAAACATGCAAGACCCGCGCACGACGGTGACGAAGAAGGCAAAGAGCTCTCCAGGGAGGAGAAAAGGCAGAGGAAAGATCGAGAAAGAATGGGAGTATGAGAAATTTTTGATTTCCAGAATAGAAAGAGATTGAGAAAGGTAGGGACTAGGGAGTTGTCGAGAAGTGGAGGAAGGAGATATCTTAGATCCCTCTTTTCATTTTTATTTTTATTTTTCTTCCTCAATTTTTATTCAAACGACAACGTTCTGGGAGAGGTTAATATCAGCCCAGTTTTCGGTAGAAAACCGGATCGGACCCAATCCGATTACGGTTGAAACCGGATACAATCCAATCCCGTCTCCGGTTGTGGTATTTGCCAAGACGGTTATAAAAAACCGGGTCAATCCGGATCAGATTGTTTCCCACCCCTAATGCCCATGATCGGAAGTCAAAAGTTGAAAGCGAAACGACGTTGACGTAACTCAATGGTGGGGCTGATGGTCTCGTCCGTCACTTCAAGAGAATCGCCTCGCGTTTCTATGAGGTACTTGCGGAAGAGCCGTTGCCCAATATACGGCGTCACGAAATTGAGAATCAAGTACAACAGATCCGGAGTCCAGCTGTCCATTATGGGCTTCAAGGCCATGAGCCCAAGGCTGATTAATCTGGCCACCGCCACCGTGATCCCGATCAACTGGGCTCTTACTTTGAACGGGAGTACCTCCGATGTGTGGACCGAAGTCATAGGGCCCTGGCCCACGGAAAAAGACGCCGAAAAGGCCACGTTACTCCACTTGTACATCCGCTCGGCGACTTTAGAGTTGGACAAAAAACGATGGTCCATCGCCATGATGGATACGTTCATGGGGATCATCGAGATCGTCACCAGGACCAAGCTCAGCCAGAGGAGCCTCCGCCGTCCGATGATGTCCGAAACGAACATCGGCAAGAGGATCGCCAGCAACTTCCCGAACAAAGAGGGAAGTTGCTCGAGTAGAAACTCCATCGGGGTGGCGAGTGGGCCGTGGAGACGAGAGGTGAAGAAGGAGTCGTAAGCGAAGAGGTCGATCCCCGTCGCTTGTTGAATCAGGTGCGGGATCAGGTTGGATAGGAAGAGCAGCTTCAGGCCGAAGCGAGTCGCGGGGCGACGGAACTCCTGCCAGATGGCTAAGGGGTGGATGTCCTGGGGGATCGCGTCGAAGTTTTCGTCCCCCATTGTGGGCGGAATTCGACCGGCGGTTCGTAAGGCGGAGAGTCGCGCGTCCACCTCGTCGGTCGTTTTCAGCGTCCTACGAAGGGCGGATTTTGCGTCCGCGACTCGAGCTCGCCTCACCAACCAACAGGGGGATTCTGGCATGAGGATCATGCCAACCCCCAGGACCAAAGATGGGATGATTCCCACCCCCAATAACCCCCGCCATTGTGCACGTGCCGATGTGTGTCGTATTGCAGCACGTGTCACAAAAGCTAAAATTGTCCCAGGCACCAGAAAATCTGGAGAGAGAAAAAAAATCAAGCAAACCACTTATTAGTAAAATGGACTTTTTTTTTAAACTTGTGAACGTGACTGAAAAGTTTAAGAAAATTAGAGAATATCAACTTACTTCTGTGATGGAGACGAGGCGGCCTCGTCGGTCAGGACTAGCGATCTCCCCAATGTAGAGAGGTGCCACGGGGAGCCCTAGTCCCAGACCGGCGAGTGTAAGGATTCTCCCCACGACAAGAATGCCATAAGATATGGCAAGACTCATTGTGAGGAACCCTAAACAGGACAGGGCTCCCGACAAAATCAGTGTGGACCGACGTCCTAGGATGTCCGCCGAGAACCCCGACGCCAAGCACGCCAGGAAGAACGCCCATTTGGCGTCGTTCATGAAATTATGTGCCTGGTCCTCCGACAGTTTGAGGTCGTCTTCCATCATTGTGGTTGTCGACAGCAGTAAGACCACGGTATCTAAATCGAATATATCAAATTCAAAAAAGAAAGAAAAAAAAAACCCCAATTAGATGAAGATAATTTTATTTAAAAAAAGTACTATATACAGTACGATATCAAAGAAAAATTGTGCGTACCGTAGCCAAAGCTGAACAGTAACGTGGCATGAGAAGCCACGATGCACAGCAGGAGGGTGAACTTTTTTGTCATCTTCGTTGTCATTTTATGCTCGAAACTTGAGACTTCAAGAGAATCAACATTGCATAACTGAGAGAATAGGGTTTTGGTAGTGGAAATATGGGATCATAGTCCATATGCATGGTAGTAATAGGAGTACGTACGTATTTATAGGTAGTAAAAGAATATCCGCTGCATTCTATCCTCTGATAATGAGAATCTTTTTTTCCAAATTCGAAACAAAACATCTGAGATTAGACAAAACTACTACCTTGTTGCTGGTTATAGATTCTGCGGTGGAAATAAAAAGCAATAGCCTAGCTATAGATTCCGTCGTAAAAGGTGCTTTGTTTATATGTATCTAGCTTGCCCATTCATTAACAAACCAGGCTGTATCTATATAAACTACTCAGGTGTTGGATGTAGCGCACGATGGCGCATCTGTACGATATCTTCAAATCGAGAGATTAGAATTGTGATAAAGTCATGAACTACGCCACCAACATCAGGTAGGTAGGGGTATGTGCACATTCTTTGTTTTTGTGATTCGATTGTCACTAATGTATTCGATCGGTTCATTGCACTGTATAATAGAGGTAGGACCGGTTAACTACATGATTGTGGGTTTCGATCTCAATGTACTGTCGCTCTAAACGTGATATTTTTTAGCACCAAAAAAGAAAGAGCAAGGTACATCCGGAATTTATCACGAAGTCCATCGGATTCGACCAGAAAAATAATAGCACGAAAGTCTTGTGCAACGTAACGTAAATTTTCTTTTAACTTAAGTACAGACGACACATAAAGGAAACAATATCCACATTAATTATAGATTTAATGACTCAATCTCTACAGTCAAAATTATTCACTTTATTTCCTTACATTCAAAGGGAATAGATTTCCTCAATCTCTTATCAAAGGGAATAGATTTCCTCAATCTCTTACAAGAAGGGAAGAGCTCTATGAAGCATATCACACACACACACCCCTAGTGAAAGAAGAAATCAAAAATTTGTAGAGCTTTTTGGTTAGAGGAAGAAAAAAATGAAAACGATGATCGGAGTGGTGATGATATTGCTCGTGATCTCGAGCTCGACGAATCAACTGGTTTCGGGAGATTATGTGTTGTGTGTCAACGATTGCTTGAAACACACCTGCAAACCCGGACAGGCTTATACGGATTGTCTCATCAGGTGCTATAAACAGTGTCATAGTACTCCCCCAAATAGCCATGATCAACAACAACAACAACAGAAGCAGGAATTTCCAACAAATTAACACCGATTTCAAGTTGGTTCCGAAGTCGTCGATCTTGTTTCTCATCTTCGTACTTTTAATTATCTAAATCTCCAGTGTCCGTGTGAAGCAAAACGATATATGATGTAATAAATTATCGGTAGTATTATCTTTTCTTACGCGTGGGTGTATCTTGTTTTCGACCGTTCAATTTCACATTCCCTTTGTTATACTACCCTTTAGAGAGATGCCAATCGCACAGGCAAATAGGGGTGAACAAACACACCCGCAAACCGACCCACCCGTCCAACCCGACCCAACCCACCCGTATTTATCGCTAAAACGAAGGTTTTGGGTTGGGTGAAGGTTTTCTTTTGTACAACCCGCCTCTTTTGGGTTGGGTTTGGATTTTGGATTACACAACCCGTAGAACCCGACCCAACCCGTGTTCCAACTATTAGTATGAGTTCGTATCTAAAAAATATTTGTGTCGTATATAGCAATACTTATGAGAAAATTAAGATATTTCGCCATGTTTTTCTATCATGGTCTCCCTAATCTAATGCATTCTTCGACTTAAAGTTTAGACATAAATTGAGTATAGTTATGATTCACGTAATCCTTTTTCTTGTGTACAATATTAATAGAATAACATATTATGGATGCGTTTGTTTATAACCTTTTTAGCCTATTTCAACAAATATCGTGAAAAAAACTAGACATATGTTAAAGTAAATCACATTTTATTAAAATTCAAACAACATTTTTGAATTTTGATAGCTTTCACCTCGGTTTATTCGTTTGAAATTTTAATTAGTTATAAAATATTTTTATGGTGTATAATAATTATATATTTTTATGTTGGGTTGGGTTTTTACTTAAAAATATCGCCAACCCGACCCAACCCAATTAGAAACAAACCGTAGGGTTTTAATTTTTTTGGGTGGGTTTGGGTTTGATAATTTCCAAACCGTAGTGCATGGGTCGGGTGATTAAAATGGTTAAACCCGAACCACCCGACCCATGTACACCCCTACAGGCAAATATGAGTGAAAAAACAGGGGGGGGGGGGGGGGGAAGAAGAAAAAAAAAGTAGCCTAGCTTGCTAATTCATAGCTTTCTTCCAACACAGTTAGTATTAGTCCTTGCTTGTTCCAATATATATGCATGCACCCTTTTACCACAAATAATACGAAAATGGCGACAGCCCATCCACAACTATACGTAGTTTTACCACTGCGACGGACTGAAAACTAGTTGACTAATTAACTGTTTATAGTACTGTGGAAAAGAACGATGGTCCTTTGCAAGTTAGTCATTCCTTATTCCAACAAGTTTCACCAACATGAAAGTTCCGTTGATGTTTTTCCTCATTCGGATAAGTTTTTACGACATATATTCCCCTTGATGAAAATGATAGATCACAATCGTCGGTCCACTACATTATTTTTTTTCCGGCGTGCTTCCTTTCCTTGCCCTATAAACAGAGGAAGTCACGTTACACTAATTACTTCACCGTGCAAAGAGTTGAGAAAACCTGGCGCAGCAGAAATTCCATAGCTAGTTCAGAGCTTGAATCGTCACGAAATTTCCAGATGACGACGACCAAGACAAAAGGTTTTACCATACTCTTGTGCGTCGTGGCGTCACAAGCGACCTTATTGTACAGTTTCGGATACGGTATGTATACGTGACAGAAAAAAATGTTACCCGCAATTTGCTTCTTAATGACTTGCTACTAATTTAAGTGCTAACTGTTTTTTTTTTTCTTCCATCTTTGGGGTTTGCAGACATGGTGGTGGTGCTTCTTTCCACCCCCACCACGATGGAAGAGGATCTCGGGATGACGGAGAATGAAGGGCTCCACTTTCGCAACGCTACAAAATGGTTGTTCTTCGTCGCGTGCTTCGTTTCGGGGTTTGTGGCAGATTTTCTTGGCCGTCGCTCGACGCTGATCTTATCAGGAACCCTGTCGTTCGTAGGGTTCCTGATAATGTCGTTAGCGGTTTCGTATGGCGTCCTCATCGCAGGCAGAATCATCTCCCTCGTCGGAATCGGGTTAGGACTCCCAGTCGCACCTCTCTACATCGGGGAGGTCGCGCCCCCGAGCCGACGAGGATTTCTCAACTCCATCCCCGAGGTAGAGACTATTTTTATTTCAAATCTGCGTATTCTTTACTTACCTTAAAGTTTTAGTCAGCTACATTGTCAAGATAATACATATTTTGCAACGGGAATCAGCTGGGTAAAGTTTGGTGTCATACGCAGTAATGGTCACGAAAGGGCTTAATTTTTTTTGGTGCGTTGGTCACCAAAAGGTTAATTTTGGTGTATCTCCAAATAGAAAATCGAGTTCAAGCTTTCTCAGTGATGGTGGGTTAGTTTAGTTCTTTATTAATGGAGACAGGCAAGGCTACTACGTATGGTTTGGTCTCACCAATTGTTTCAGTTCAATTTTAGAAAGGTGGGAAGTTAAAAAGGGTAAATAGCATCCACTAAGTAAAAAGTGTGTTTTCACAATTGTGGATTATGGTAAATCAATTCATATGCTTAAAGTCAAAACTATCCATCTATGGGTTGTTACCTTTGGTCACAACATCTTAAGATTCTCAACCCTAAGTAACACAAGATAAAAATTACTTGCATGTTTGGGATATATAATCTCAACCATTAGTAGTGTTTTTAACTCTTCGATGCTTAATTTTTGAGTAATCATTAAGTAACAAGTGGTCCTCGATCTTATTCATTGCAGGTTTTCTGGTGCTTGGGCATCTTTCTGGCTGTCGTGACACGTGCTGCAGTTCGCGATCTATCGGCGAGTTCACAGTGGCGGGGACTGGTAGGCGTCGCTATCGTCCCGTCCTTGATTCTGGGGGTCGGCATGATACTCATGCTGGAATCCCCCAGTTGGTTGGTCAGGCGAGCTCGAGTCGCGGATGCAAAAGCCACACTCCAGAGGACACTGAAAACATCCGAGGAAGTCGACGAGAGGCTCCTCCAGTTGAGAACGGCAGCACGAATCCTGCCAACAATCGGGGACGAGAATTTCGAGGCGATCCCCCAGGACATTCAAGTCCTGGCGATCCTGCAGGAGATTCGTCGCCCGGCGACAAATTTCACATTGAAAGTGCTCTTCCTCTCCAACTTGACTCCCCACCTGGTCCAACCAATGGCTGGTACGGACCTACTGACATACGAGTCTGTGCTGAAGTTCGGCCTCCACGGTCCGTTCGCACCCATGGATTTTCTACTGGACCAACTCCCCTTTCTTTTCGGGAGGTTGTTGCCCATCTTGTTCCCGATGCTCGTGTCAGATGTCATCGGGCGACGAAAACTGATCTGGCTGAGCATGGTGCTGGTGACGGTCTCGATGGTCGCCATGAACGTATCGTTCATGGCACTTGACCATCGATTCTTCGACTCGGGAGTTGCCGAGCGGATGAGCAAGTGGAGTATGGTTGCGGTTTTCGGGTCGTTTTCATTGGGCTTGGGCCCGATGACTTGGGTGCACACCTCGGAGGTCCTGCCTTTCAAGGTAAGGGCCCAATTGATAGGGATGACCGTGGTGGTAAATAGGCTGATCTGCCTGGGCCTAACCTACCTAAAACCAATCACGGATCGGTGGACCAAGGACTTGTTGTTCTTGATTCTCAACTTGGTGTTGCCTTACATGGGACAAAGGTTGTGCCGAAAACACCTTATGGAAACGCGAGGGAAATCTTTGGAAGTGACGGACCTGCTTATTAGTCCCACCTTGGATCTAAATTTGGGCCATGTGCGCTTCAACTTCTGACCTTTATTTTCGGGTCGTTCTCTTTGGGCCAACTGGCCCATTTGTACAGTTTTCTTTTGGATTTTGTACAGTTGTCTCATTAGAAGCTGTATTTCTTGAGAAGCTCTACATCTTCTAAGAGGTTAGACAAAACTACTACCTTGTTTCTGGTTATAGATTCTGCAGTGGAAATCAAAAGCACTAGCCTAGCTATAGATACCGTCGTAAAAGGTGCTTTGTTTATATGTATAAACAAAGCACCATTTCTTACTCGCAAGCTATTTTATGATTTTATTCAAGCTAATTACTCATTGGCAGTGAGTGAGATCCGGAAAGAACACTATAGGTGCTTATACTTAGAGGTGGTAAATGGATTGAATTTATGAATCTAAGGATTTGTGGATTGAAATGAATGTATGAATGAATCCATGGATTCGTAGATTGAACTCCTAAATTCATGTGTCATCTACTTTTTTGGACCATTTTGTAAACTTTTAAAAGTTTTGGGGCACTAAAATGTCATACTAGAGGTATGGCATTGTAATTTTGAAGTATATTTGTTGTAAAAATACAAAGTTTAGGTACCTAATTGTAAGATTTAAGATCGAGAAAGAGAAATTAGTTAAGGCTTTAACTAATTATTAAAGGGGTAGAAGTGGAAGAAGATGAACAAATACATAAGTAAGAAAGTAAGGATATCGATTGATTTGTCTTCATCAATAAGTTGAAAAGAAATTAAATTATTGGAGAAATTGTGTAAAAAAGAACTTATTTAGATTCGACTCGTTGGCCGGAATGACAAATGGAGTTGGAGTAATATCAGTTGCCTCTATTAAATGATATTTCACTTTTATTATATTACAAAATAAATTGAAATAGTGCCGCAGGATAAAATTGCATGTATTCAACACTTTTTTATTAATTTTTATATTATTATGTCAATGCTAGTATAGGAAGAATTGAATTTGAGGGAAGCATAGGAAGAATATTATTTTTATACGTTTGGGTCGGTTCCCGGTGGGCCGAAAGAAAGGGGGGGAACGCTTATATAAGTAAAGTAACCACGCAAGGAGGAGGAGTATTCTGTTCGCGTGCGATCTGCTTTCTTTCTCTCTCGCGGTCTCAGCTCTCGGCTCGCGCGCACGATTTTGTCGCCGTCCAAAGGCATAAAATTAATTGATCTTGTCCAATATTTTGTTTTCAATTTCTCGTTCCAGCATTCGTTGATTGTCTGCTCTTTTACGTTATGTTTTTCCGCAGAAAATGGATCCGGCGGAGATGAGGACGTTGACGTTGAGGCAACTGGCGGAACAAATGGACCAAATCAACGCAGAAAGCCAGGCGAGGATTGATGCTGCCTCGGCGCCCCTAAAGCAAACCTGCAATGACATGCGACGTGCTTTCGAGAGATACATGGACGGTCGCGACTTCTTCCCGGTCGAGTCGCAGGAGGATTTCGACATCGTCTTCATCCTCCGCGATGAAGGCATGCGGTTCAAGGTTAGGCTCTGTCGAGAGCCTCTGGGAGATGCTCTGTTCAGGGATCTCCAGACAAAACTGACCGTACTCGGTGACGTCGAGTTCGACACCGACGAGCCGCCTCGCCCCTGTGACAGTCATATCATATGACCACTACTGGTTGAGCCCTAGATATGAACCTGTCATTTTTTCGATATTGTTATGATTTTGGGAATTTTTGCATTTTATTATTAGAACCTCTACATACTTCTCCGACGTATCGCATGTACGAATTTAAATTCTGATGCGTCCAACATTACACAGGGTCTCTGACTCTGGGCTTCCAAGGGGGAGTTTTGGGTAGCTAATTAATGGGTTCAATTTACTCTAGGGAGGGACCCCAAGCAAGTTCTCAGGAACTCGTATCATCATAAATCTCATAAACCCATCTCTTCTTCAATGGTTTGGTCAGATAGTTCTTGTGTTTGAACCCAGCTACAATTCGCAACAATGCGGCTTAACATTTTTATGGCAATGACATACAAGAACGGTTCACTTTGTCATTACCATATATCATCACAATCGTCCACGGTACAGCTACAAACCACATTCATAGTTGTTGGTCCTAGCTAGGCAACACTCCTCATGGTCCTACCAACCCCTAGCCTCCATTGTTGTTGTTGTTGTTGTTATGTCTGTTCACATCTGCTGCCACTCTATCTTTGCTGCTGCTCGAAGTTTCCATCAGCATCCCAGTTCAGAGCTTTGTCTGTTACAGAAGAATATGATACAGGGCAACGAGAGACTATCAGCTATTTATTCACAAATCAGGACATGAGTAAGGTAAAGCAGAGAACAATATCACTTCAAGCATGTACATGAATGATCTAGACCCCAAATCAGACCAAGGAAAACTATCATCGACTAACTTCTTATACGTACTGCTCAACTTGTGGTAACACAAACCAGACTACATATATTGATCACTCCCAGTCCCAGTAGATTGTCGAGATTTTCAGTTACGCGAACCTCAAGGTAACCCACACAGAGCAGCTCCAAGAAGTTGAGCTTCACAAGTTATCTTGTGTTAAAAGAAACGACTAACAAAAGTTACATGACGTTGGATTTGATGACATTGGAAACTGCTATAAATTAAAACCTCTGTTGCAAGCCCAAATGCGTAATAACAGTGCTCCAATAGCGGTTGATATGACTGAATCACAGTGCATGTCGTTTTGCATTGACAGTTTCTTCATCTCTTCTCGAGTGTGATCATCAACAAATTCAAAGGGTGGCAATGATGTGTCGCATTTGTATGGAAAAACTTCTAACTAGCACATTACCTTCTTATCTATGTATGTCTTAAGTCTCAACCTACGGTAGAACCAACATGTAAAGAAGACTGATACGAGAACCAACTCGAGACTCCCCGGACGGAAACAATGGTATAACCCAGGCTCACAAAATCATATGTTCGAGCATAATACTCCGGAGATGGCCACCATCTAATTGTTAAGGAAAGGACATAAAATCTGCAGCAACTGAAACCAGCTACTATGCCAAATTAGTTGCATGTTTATTTTCTAAGATGTATGTTGCCCTAGCCTCAATGGCACATCAAGTTCAAGCATATGGCTCTAAAAAGCACTAGAGCCCACATATACATATCAAGTTGGAACTGTCACGTGCACTTGCCTTGGGTGTTACACGTCAATTTTAAAGGTATGAAGGTGAAAATGTAGTTACCCTTTAGCATTATTAAACTCACAACGGCTTATTAGTGCAGGTTGGACACTGAAAACCAATTCTTAGATTAGCTCGAGACAGAAAAAACACTACCTGCCCTCAGTCTATTGGAAGGTCCTTACTCTCAGCCAGCGCCCTCAAGTCTGCGCGCACTTCAGCTGTTAAGTTGTTAGCCAGGACGAGCAAGAAAGGGGGCTCCAGATACTCTCTGAATCGAAAGATAGCATGAATATCCCCCTCATCCCTGACAAGAAAAGTCAGTGGTCCATTTTCCCCATCCTGGTTGGTCAAATCAGCTGCCTGGACATAAGTGTGTTCAAATGGTTATCATGATTAGAAGTGTCTAAAACCAAACCAAACCACCTAAACCAAACAAGGTAAAATTTTCATCCAAACCAAACCAAACAAATTATTCAAGTTAATCAAACCAAATTATCCAAATAATGTCGATCAAAATAATTACCATGTTAACCACTCGTTTGAACACCCCTACCTGGCCATAAAGAGGTTGCATAAGTTGATGTACCACCTGTGCCTCAATCTCCCGAACTTCTCTTACGTGGGCGTCCTGCTGTTGATGGGTAGCCAACAGACGTCTTAAATCTTCCTTGGATGGCTCCCGTCCTGGCCCCCTGTGCTGCACACCAGCTGAGCTTGAAGCACGGGCAGGATGATGAGTCACGCCTATACGCCCATAGGTACGAAAGCGGGGATCCTGTCTGGCCAGCTTACTTACGTACTCATCAAGAGCTCGATCAATTTGACCAAATTTCATTTTGAGGCGAATGAGCTCTCGGTTTTCCTGGTCCTGCATTTCAACATTATACAAGAATCAGATGATGCTCTGCCTTGTGGAAGGAAAGTAAAGAAATGAATCTATCGGCAGTGCTAAGTCTTACATTCCTCCCCATCCGCACTGAAAGCGGCTGATTCACAGCACGCAGCTCCGAGTGAATTGGCTGTACTTGTTCCAGCCTATTATAATCAATAGAAAAGATGAACCCTATAATCAGGATCTGGAACTACAGGCTATGGATTCATTTCTATAAAAAAGTAAAGTAAAGTGAAACCCTAAACTAAAACTTACAGCTGGTTGAGTTGCTCTGGGTTGAGTCTGCGGCGATAATCAACGCCCAGAAGACCTCTCACGAGGGTGCCGAAGCCGGAGACATTTTGCTCCAACCGGGTTAATTCCGCAGCAAAGCCATTCATGATTGCGGTGGCGGAGAGGATTCCAAGATACAAGGCTTTCTCCCCCTTCGCTTCTCGCTTCTCAATTCTCACTTCTGAAACCTTCTTTTTTGGCTGCTTAATTCTTCCAGAATCAAGATTCGTTGGAGGACAGTTGTACCAAGTCCAAGAGGACTGGCATGCTCATTTTAGTGGTCGAAAAGATCGCGCTGGGCCCATTTCATTTGGACGGGCACCCAATTGTTTATTTATTCGGCGACCCCAACCGGGGGAAGCATGGGCACAGAGCGTTTGTCTATCTATTGTTTCAATTTTGGGATGTATCAAATTCCAGGCCCAATATTATATTAAGATCTTGTTCGAAATTATTTAATGGTTCCGCCGTACCACCTTGGATCGGTGATTTTGCACTTGGTTTGGTAATAGGAACCAAAATTCTTTTTTTACGAATAGAAGCAGGAAACAAAATTTTATCACTTTTCTCCTTTCTCGTCCAATTATTCCGCAACCCAATTCCCCTAAAAAAAAAATCCCGTTGATAGATGACCCAATGATGATTGAGGTGCTTGCTCTTCGGGAGGCTATCGGGTGGTGTTTGGCTAGCGGTTTTAACGGAGGTCTGGTTTGAAGGTGACGCCCATGTGATCATTGAGAAGATTATTAGGCGGGATAATCGTGTAGGCTCGATTCAAGAGGAGGTGGTCCAATTGTTCGATGGGAATATGGGGTTTATTATACGATTTGTAGGTCGGCGGAACAATAGGGTAGCTCATTTGGTGGCTCGTAAAGCCCTGTTTTTGTCTCCGACTACATGTCGTTTGTTTCATTATCAGGCCTGACTGAATTTCAGGATTTAATTGTCTATCTGGTTCAATCAATATATGATTATCTTTTGTCCAAAAAAATTCCGCAACCCAATTTTGCTTAGAAAGAAGATCGAAAAGTCCATTGGTTGGCTTGCTGCGCATAAACGGTGAATCACATACACCATTTCTTATTTGAACTAGAAATCTCCAATAATCAGTGACTTTTAATACTATATAAAATAATATGTTACTTTGACATGAAATTTTGACGTAAATGACAATTTTGGGCCGAACTATCAAATAAGATAATTTTGTCAAAATTTTGAATGAAATGTACAAATTTGACGCCGAAATTTGAGTTGGCCATTATTATTGATAGTCTAACATTTATTCCATTTATTACTCAGCATACAATGTTGAGGTGGTTTCTACGCAGCGGCGGATCCAGAACACAGAAGAGTATTGAGCCACATTTCATTAAAAAATTAGAACCGTAAAAAAACATTATAATTTTTTTTTTTACAATATAAATTGTACATGACGGTATTTTAATTTAGTGAATGCATCAATAATGGAGTCCACATCCATACCAATAATATACATTGTTTTAAATAAAATACTTTAGAAATCGGCTAGAAATTCATCTTTCATTTTGTTGCCAAATCAATTTTCATATGTTTTATTGTTGAAAAGGTTATCCTTGTAGTAGTTGTTGATACGAGCAACATCAACACTAGACAAATCAATCGTGCATTGTGTGTCCATACCTACATCTACTAACTGCTTTATTAAATTTTCAAGGGAATAAACCTCCTATTTCTTATAGTCCTTTACGTTTTAGACTTTTAGACTTTTAGATTTCATTGTTTTTTTAGAAAAATAGTCTTTGGAGTTAGAATTTCTAGACTAAATTTATAGTAGTGATTTGAATACGTTAATCTGAATCATTTTTCTAGTTACACCGAACGTTTCTAGAGGCCATCAAGGATTCACGTTGGCGAGCGGCCATGGCAAAGGAAATTCAGGCTCTCGAGGCTAATGGCACGTGGAGTTTGGTTCATCTTCCACCCGGGAAGCGTGCTATCGCAGCAAAATGGGTTTACAGGATCAAATATTATCCGGATGGCAGCATCGAGCGATTTAAAGCACACTTAGTTGCAAAAGGTTACACGCAGATCGAAGGGCTCGATTTTCATGACACCTTCGCCCCGGTTGCCAAGTTGGTCACTGTTAGTTGTCTCATAGCAGTGGCAGTCAGTCATGGATGGCACCTTCATCAGTTGGACGTCAACAATGCGTTCCTGCATGGCGACCTTGATGAAGAAGTCTATATGGTTGTTCCTCAGGGATTTCAGCAGCCTGGTGATACCCGTGTTTGCCGTCTTCGTAAATCACTTTACGGGCTCAAGCAAGCCTCTCGGAACTGGTACCAGAAATTCACTGCTGCCTTGGTTGAGTTTGGTTTTCGGTCTTCACCAGCGGATGCTGCTTTGTTTATCTATCAGCGGGGGAGCACTTTTGTTACCGCTCTCATCTATGTTATGTTGATAATGTACTCCTTGCCGGCAATGATCTTCCCTTCATCACTGAGGTCAAACGCTTCCTGGATGACCGTTTTAGTATCAAGGTTCTTGGTCCCTTACGATATTTTTTGGGCATTGAGATAGCTCGTACTGCCACTGGCGTTGTGTTCAGCCAGCGCAAGTACGCTTTGGACATATTGGAAGATGTCGGGGTTCAGGGTTCCCGTTCCAGTGCTTTTCCGATCGAGCAGAATCGTCAGTTCACGCGCCCCTCTGACGCTGAGCCATTGCCTGACCCTTCGCAGTATCGGCGCCTCGTTGGTCGTCTGTTATATCTCACCATTACCCGGCCTGACATCACCTACGCCGTGAATATTCTCAGTCGCTTTGTCCACGCTCCTAGCCAGATACACCTGGATGCAGCTTTCCGGGTCCTCCGATATATCAAGTCGAGTCCTGGCCAAGGGATCTTCTTTCCGGTCAACAACCCGCTTCAGCTCTCTGCCTACTGTGATGCAGACTGGGGTGGCTGTCAAAGCATGAGACGGTCGACGACTGCCTACTTTATTACTCTTGGAGGTGCTCCCATCTCCTGGCGGGCTAAGCAGCAGAAGGTGGTTGCTCGTTCTTCCGCCGAAGTTGAATATCGCGCCATGGCTAGCACAGTAAGTGAACTAATATGGCTAAGTTGGTTGCTGAGCGAGCTGGGTGTGTCACAGGATCGCGCTACTCCACTTCACTGCGATAACCAGGCAGCTCTCAACATCGCCAACAACCCTGTCTTCCATGAGCGTACTAAACACGTGGAGATGGACTGTCATTTTGTTCGAGAGCGTGTTCAGACTGGCCACATCATGCCCATCAAAGTCCGCTCTGGACTTCAGCTGGCGCACCTCTTTACCAAGGGCCTTGGTGCCGATCGGTTTTGTTTTCTTCTCTCCAAGCTGTACGTTCGTGATCTTCACGCTCCAGCTTGCGGGGGAGTATTGGACCGAGACCAACGTGATGCTGCTAAGCTGCCCCCAGGCCCACGTCGTGTCCATGCAGCCCATGCAGAGACAAGGCCCATGGCCAACTCCTCTAGCTCATATCTTCACGTTGTAACCCTAGATAATTTCGATGTAACAGGGTATAAGAATATGGCTTGTACTATCAAGCCGACTATCAATAAAACGTAGAAGCAAATTCCCCGTGGATGTAAGCCTCACACAAACGTGAGAAAGGGCGGCAATTCCCGTGTCGTCGTTGAGCGCAGGATAGACGAAGTCAAAATTCCCCCCGGGGAAGGCTCACCGGCGAAGACGAATGCGAGTGGGTCTTTTGGCCATTTGTCACTAAAGAAGGAGAGTCCGCCAGAGCCGAGATCTACAACTACTCCACCTGCGGCGATGACGGACTGGTGGTCGGAGCGCCGACGAAAGAAGTGGCGGATCTGGTCTCCTCACCGCTTGATGAGTTGGGCGTCGCCGGATAAGAGCTCATGATTTTTACTCTCACCGTCCGTCATGGTCGGAAAACGGAGAGATTAAGGAAAGGGGAAAAGACGGTTCGAAGTGAGAAATTGAAAGTCATGTCTCGTTTTGTGGTTTTTAGATTTTTTTATTTTTCTCTTTTAATCCACGTCATTCAGTGGGGTCAGAAACACGCCAACTAAGCATCCATCGTTTGTCCAGTCTGATAGTTTTGGATATATTTGTCACAAGCCTTATAGTTTTGGTATTTGTTTAGGATTTGGTTGTGGTGTCCTTGTAGGAAAAGGTTACATTCTATGGGTAAGAATAGGGAAAAAGTGGACCGAAACCATAAGGAAAGATGAGAGGATTCGTGCCTATAAATATCTAATGTCTCATTCGTTTAATGGTAACGGAGAAGATTGGGACTCAAATCTAGTGTATTGTCTTTCGTTTTATCGCAAATTATCGCAAGGAAGTTAGTAGTCAATAATTCTTCAATCTCATAACAACCCGTCGTATATGGATACGAAGACAAGGAGGAGGAGGAGGAACAACTTGGGGATGGCAACATCGGTTGTCGCCGCTGGCGAACCATCATCACCTGATCAATTCGCGAAGCTGCCGGATGAATTAGCGGTGGAGATCCTTTCCAGGTCGACGATGACGCTGAACGAAGCGGCGAGATACAGCCTGTTGGGGAAACGGTGGAGGCACCTGTGGCAATCGATCGACGGCGGGGTTCTGGATTTCAACCAGAAGAGCAACGATGAGCAACAAGGGAATGACAGAAATCACATCTCCCACGAGGAACGGCGCCGGTTTGCGGACTGGGTCGATCAAGCCATCAGTAGAATCACTGCTACTACCTTGGACGGATTGAGAATCGGGTTCAATCTCTTCGAGATGGAAGAGGAAGCCCGGAGATGGATCCAATTCGGATTCGCGGCGAGAGTCAAGCAATTGACCCTGTCGTGTTACTTCGTCCATCAGTCCGGAGAGGCACACCTTGGGGTTTCGGGATCTCTGTTCTTGGCCCCTGAATTCCTCCGCCGGCAAGACCTCGGCCGCCTCGAGGTTTTGGAATTCCAGGGCGTGGCCAAGATTCCTCAGGGAGCGTTGGATCACATCTTCTCAAACTGCCCCAACCTGCAACGCTTGTCTCTCACCAACTGCATTTTCCATGAAGAAGGGACTGTCGTCAGAGTTTGTTCTCCCAAGCTCCAGAGGTTGACATTTCATTTTCCCCAATATTTTCACTTTCTCGCTAGGATCGTGCTCCTCTCTGCTCCGGGTCTTCACACTCTGGAGGTGGGTGGAGGACCATGGCTCCCAACGATGGAATTTGGGGACGATATTCCTCTGCTTCGGGAGCTATGTTGTTATAATCGGGGGCTATTGATAGAGCAACGCTGCTACTTCCCGTGGTCTCGTTCTCAATTCGACAAGTTTGCTCCTCGACTGCAGATTCTTAAGTACGAACTATCTAGTCTATGCTTCCCTCCTCTACGTCCTTATCACCTGCAGGAATGGGTCCTTTTCGAAAAGCTCACAGTGCTGGATCTGCGTATGTATATGGACAATAACGCTTCGAGTCTTCTTCACTGCACCGGCCTGCTGAGAGCAGCTCCAATGTTGCGCCGATTCTCCATGTCGTTCCTGCCAGCTGGTTGCCACCGATTTCGTGAGCACCGGGGCCAGAGTGCACATGAATTGTCAACATGGAAACATCACTCTCTGCAGGAGCTTCACTTACATGGGGTGCATCCATTGGCCAAGAAGGAGCAGCAAGTTTTTGACCCTCACCTACTCCAACTCGAGCTTGCTGCTTACATAATCATCAACTCGCCTTCATTAAACCAGGTTTTGATCGATACCATAAATTTAATCTCCGACTCCAGAGAACCACATGATGTTGATGCTGACATTCTTAGAGCTAGGATGCAGTTGGAAACCCATCTCCACTCTCATACGGCCACTTCCAAAATTCACTTCACTTATTTTTAATTACTTATTATTATTAAATCAATATGAAGAAGAAGAAGAATGAAGAAAAACTCTTATGTCCTCTTTATCATGTAAAATGTTTATTTATTCTCAGACAAATTTTTCCTTTCTTGTTTTGCTCTTCCCTCATCATACAATAAAATGTATTAATCTACCATTATTATGATTATTATTAGCCTTCATTATACAGCCTTCTGCCTTTAACCATCATGAATTATCCATCCAAAAAAACATGACTGGTGACACAATGGAGATAAGATCACAGAGAGCACAGCTGTACAGGAATGGAACAGCGTCGATGGCAAGAAAAATGATGATTTCCGGTGACGACAATGATGCTGAATAATATATACCCATGAGGTGGAGCTGGAATTGTTTGCAGCTGTATGACGATGATTTGGATCAATGCCGTTGGTGGTTAGGCAGTGATCATTCAACCAGCGGAAAGCAAAGGTTAACTATCTGAATCTCAAAGTCCCTGTTTTTCTTATTCTTCCATTGGATTGGAAGTAGACAAGACCTTCATTTTAATGCTAGGACATCCAGCTCATTTTCAACGATAGAACTATGCAAACAGATATCCAACATCTACAACTATAGTTTAACCTTATGACATTAACCATCTTATGGGGCAAGTTCACCAGACTGAACGGAGCCAAGCCAGAAGATGGAATGTACTCAAAATCAACTGCATCCAAATCCACACTGCACGTCCTTAGTCTTGCTGAAAAGATTCAGCTCCCAACTTCTCACAGGCTTTCACTTTCTTCCACTTTCCCTACTGCTACGTGTCTTTTGGTATTCAGAAACCTCTCTAAAATGTCCACTTGATTCATTTACTCCATCCTGAATGATTCATCCACAGACTTCAATTTGAAAACCCAACATTTCCGAGCTCTGTTCTCCTCTGCTTGTATGCATGTGCTTTTGGCAGTGTTTTATTGTTCATATAAGATGGAACTTAATTTGTAGAGCCTTTTGTTTGTGTTCCCCCAGGCTGCTATCTAACAGTTGGTTTTCAGTGTCCAACCTGCACTAATAAGCCATTGCGAGTTTAATGCTCTGCTAAAGGGTAACTGATTTTCACCTTCAAACCTTTACAATTGACGTGTAATACTCAAGGACAGTTCCAACTTGATAGAAATATGTGGGCTCTAATGGTTCTTAGTGCAAACTGCTTGAACTTCATGTGCCATTCAGGCTAGGACACCATACATCTTAGCGACGAAACCTGTCAACTAGTTTGGCATAGTAGCTATTTTCATGTTGCTGCAGATTCTTCTGCACTTTCCTTAACAATAACATGTGGCCTTCTCCGATGTATTATGCTCGAACATATTATTTGCGAGCCTGGGTTATACCATTATTACCTTCCGAGGAGCCTCAACTTGGTTCTCGTATCAGTCTTCTTTACTTTGTTGGTTCGACCGCAGGTTAAGACAGATAGATAAGAGGATTTGGGCTAGTTAGAGGTTTTACCATACAAATGCCACACATCATTGCCACTCTTTGAATTTGTTGATGATCACATAATCACATTCAAGAATAGATGAAAAAACCGTCGATGCAGATGACATGTACTGTGAGTCAGTCGTATCATTTGCTATTGGGGCGTTATTATTACGCATTAGGCTTGCAACAGAGGTTTTAAATTTTAGCAGAGGTTCTAAATCAACATCATGTAGCTTTGTCAGTCGGTTTCTTTTTAGACAAGACGATTTGTGAAACTCAACTTCTAGGAGCTGATCATCTGTGTGTGTTACTTTGAGGTTCGCGTTATTGAAAATTTGGAGAATCTACCGAGAGTTGATCAATACAATGTAGTTTGAGTTTGTGTTACCACACGTTGAGCCGTGTGAGAAGTTAGTTGATGATAGTTATCCTTCTGTATTTGGGGTCTGAATCATGTTCATGATTGATGTGATGTTGTTCTCTGTTTTACCTTATTCATGTTCTGGTTTGTGAATAAGTATGCAGGAAAGGATTGGAGATTATTTGGATACCGTGCAAAGTGGTCTCTGAGGAGGTGGATTGGGAGTATCTGATTGCCATATCATATCGTGTTACCAGACAAAGCTCTGAAATGGGATGCTGACCGAAACTTCGAGCAGCAGCAAAGATGGAGTGGCAGCAGATGTGAGCAGATACAACAACAACAACAATGGAGGGGTTGGTAGGACTTACACATGTCTGAATCGATCTGTATTTCCAAGTACCTGTCACTGGAATCTCCTGGCAAAGGAACACGAGGAGTGTTGCCAACCTAGACCAACTATTAATGTGGTTTAGGACTTGGCGTCTTTTTCTCATTTTGTGTGTTTTTCTGTTTGTTGAATGGTTTGTAGCTATACAGCTGACGACTGTGATGATAGATGGTATTGAGAAACTGGACCGTTGTTAATTGTTATAGGTCAGTGCCATAAATATGTTAAGCGGCATTGTTGCAACGAAAAACCTCTCATATGTCGTTGCTGCTAAAAAATTGTGGATTATGTGATTGCAATCAAAATTTTGCAGGACTCCATTCCATTATATGAAACCCCTTCTTACAACAAGGGATCTTTCTTGATCCTTCACGTCTTCACCAAGTCAACAACAGGTTAATGATCGAATCGAATGGGGAGTCTCCAGACTTTGTTCTAAATTCTGGTTGCTGTGGCATTAGTTGTACTGCTCTTTCCTTATTGCGTTCTTTTATAAAAAAAAAAGGGACACATTATTTTACCAAACGAAAAGCCCAATCAGGCCGAAACGAGAAACCCCTGACCCTGACCCAAACGTTGAGCGAAAGATGGGTTGGTTAGATGGGGATTTGGGATGGATAAGGGTTGATGAGAACTGGGCCGGGGGCCCTAAAAGTAAATTGAAAGTGAAGCCCAATCACCATCAGCGGCTACCCACCCACAATCACAATTTCGATGGGCTTTTAGATACGAAAATATATTGATATATACACACATACGTACGATACGTCGCAAAAGAAGGTCAAAAAAGAAAGAAAAGAATGATCGATAATACGTCGAAAAAGAATATGATCGTATCTAATCATATAATATATACATAATCATCATATCATCCACGTACTTACCTCTCGCATCGCATAGTCGAACTGAACTAGCTAGTCATTGCGGGCCGCCCAGTGGTCGTAAGGCTGGCGCAGGGTGAGGGGCGGCTCGTCAGTATCCCACGCTATCTCAACGTCCAGTGAAGTCAGTATCTCCTTAATATCATTGAAGAGCGCGCTTCCCAGAGCCTCTCTGTACAGCCTGATCTTAAAGGTCATTCCTTCCCCGTGGAGGACGCGGGCCAATTCGTAATCCGCCATGGACTCCACTGTAAAGAAAGGGCGGCCTGCCATGTATTGCTCCACAGCGCGGCGCAACTCGTTGGTGGCTAGCCGAAGGCGCTCCCGGGCCACAGCGATCCGCGTGCCACTTGCGGCCTCGATCTCCACCGCTTCTAGCTCCAGCTCTCTCAACCTCGCCGTCCTCATCTCCCGCGGGTCCATCGTTGCCTGTAAAAACTGAAACAAAAGAGAGAGCAGAAGTAAAAAAGGTGCAAGCTTAAGTTATGGTATGCTCCCTTTTCTGGACGGCGGCGTCAATGCTAGGGCCGTCGATCGTTGAACTCTGCGTACAGAAAAGAAAGAAATGGGAAGCAGCAATATATTAATCAAGAAACCCAACCCAACAGATCATAATAATTAAAAAAACAACAACTACGTAAATATTTCAAGAAACCGAACTGATCGAAGGAGGTGCTAATAAAGAACACAACTGATCGATAAAGAAGAGAGACGCACCTTACAGCCGCGAGATCGCCGATTGCCGAGCGCGCGATTGCGAATCGCCCTCCCGCGATGATGGAGCGAAACCGAATATCACCAACTCCCGTCCTTCCTTTTCTTTGCCGTTGTTAGTTTAGTTTAGTTATTACGGCTTATATAGTTTTTTTCCCCCTTCTTTCGGCCCGCCGGGAACCGGCCTAATTCATCCGCATTAACCCCATATTTTTTATAATACGGCTCCCCAATTCTTCCTTTCACCGACTCAAATATGTATGTATTTAATTTAACATGAGACGATTTGGCCCGAAATTTATGTCCATCCTTAAAATTGACGGTCAATTATGTTTTTCCGTATATAATCGACCATCAAAAGCTGAAATGGCTTCCACATAATATATTTATTTTTGGGTTGAAATAAATAACACACACGAGTACGGTACATTGCAGCGGTGTCTAAGGTTATAATTTTGAAGCTTTTAGGTGAATTGTCTATTTGTCTCCGGCAAGCACGGCTCCAAAGCCAGGATCGGTATTAATGTGAATAAATGTACTATTTTTAAACAACTACTGATCCATGAATTAAAAAAAAAAGTCTAGAAATTTACAAAAATTATGATCAGTAACAACTAACACGGATATGATAATGATTACACCATATAGGGCCAGTTTGGCCAGCTGTAGCCTTTGTAGAAGCTATTTCTGGCTTGATTTTTCTTTTTTAAAAATATAGTTAAGTGTTTGGGTTATAAATTATTAGAAGTGCTTTTTAACATAAGAGTTCGTGTAAAATTTATTATAAAATTGAATGTAATATTTAAATAACATTCTAAAAAATAAAAAGTCATCAAAATAAACATTCTTAAATTTATTTTATATTACATAATATATTTTTCCTCTTTCTTTTATTTTTAAATAATATAAATTAAATAAAATTAAAATATAATAATAATAATAATAATAATAATGATAATGATAATGTATTTTCAAAACATGTTTTCTCCTTTTGTGTTATATATAAACACTTTTTATCTTTTTAAAACTCAAACTTTTAAAGGTGTTTGGTCCTGCTTAAATTTTTAAAGTATAAAAGCACTTCTAAAAGTTGCGCTTTACATAGACATAAGAAACTTAGTAAAGAACAAGTTTGGTATGGTTACAGTTGACGATAAAATATATTTGGTCAAACGATCAACCAAATCCAAATCCAAATGGACATAACTATGTTAAATTCTCACAAAAGTTTGAATCACATCCAATGAGACGTTCATTTCTAATTGATACTAAAGTAATTTTATATATGCTTTTTTAATTTCTAAACAAGACACAAATTAAATTTCGTATGAGTATCTGTATAAGAACAAATTTGTTGTTATCTCACAAAATTATAAGAGATTATCAATTATTGTCATTAATTTAAACTGCAAGTGCCAAAAAAGATAACAGCTTTGGGCAGTGTCTAAACTAGTTGGGTTAATGCCAGTTTCGGCAAGATTTCGGGAGAGCTGGGCCCGTTTGAAGGCTACAGGCCCACGAAAAAGAAGCAACAAAGAAACATAAACTCTGGGCCAAAGCATGGGCCGCCAAACGCGAATTTGTGGATAAGACCGACCGGCCGGCCTCTCAAACGACCTTCCCAGTTCCCACCCCCTGATTCGTGCGATCGTCGCCGGTTTCAACAATCACCGTTAGATTTAAGGGTTGGCGATTGTCGTCGGTGCCCGACTCCTAGATCTAGATCTCCGATACCGCTCGAAAACCTCCAAACCGCCATCTCTCTCTGCTATTTCCCCCCTCCGCCGTCGCGGAGGCACACTCACGGCGAGTAGTAATTTCGAATGGCGTCCAACGGAAGAATCTCTGTCACCGTCGCGGCCGCAACCGCTCCTCCTCCTCCCCTCGCGCTCCTCCCTCCGCCAGAGCGAGACGACAGTCCTCCCCCCTCACCCGTCGCCACCAACGAGAACGTCCTCGCTCTCGCCGCCCCCAGGGCCAACAACAGCGGCGGAGGCGGAGGGGGAGGAGGGAGGGAGGATTGTTGGAGCGAGGGAGCGACGGCGGTGCTGATTGAGGCCTGGGGGGAGAGGTACGTCGAGCTCAGCAGGGGGAATTTGAAGCAGAAGCACTGGAAGGAAGTCGCCGACATCGTGAGCAGCAGGGAGGACTACGGCAAGCCTGCGAAGACCGACATCCAGTGCAAGAATCGGATCGATACCGTCAAGAAGAAGTTCAAATCGGAGAAGGCCAAGATCGCCGCCGGCGCCGGCCCTAGCAAGTGGGGCTTCTACCGGAGAATTGAGGAGCTGATTGGAGCGAACCCTAAGACGGCGAGTCTGACCCCGAAAACTACTCCTCATCCCGGATCTGTCAGAAGCTCCGGCCGGCTTGCTACCGATCGTCGGATCAGTTCGCAGCCCCATCAGCAGTTTGGGAAGCCGCCGGTGAAGGGCAGCGGTTCGAGGAGCAAACGGAAGGGCATCAACAATAGTCAGAAGCTGAAGATACAATTCGGGAAGAGGAGCGGTAAGATGAGGGATTTCTCCTCGGAGGACGAGGAAGACGAGGAAGAAGATGAAGAGGAGGAGGAGGAGGAGGAGGGGGAGGAAGAGGTAGCTTTCCCTGATTCCGACGACAGTTTCCCGCCGGAGAACAAGAAGAGAAGATTGACAAGCCAGATGCAACCGAGGCACCAACCGCATCCGAATAATCTGAATGGGAAAGCAGGCAGTGGCGCAGTGGCGAAGGAGAAGAAGGGAGGAGGATGGGGCAGCTCGATTCGGATGCTGACCGCTTCAATTCTGAAGCTCGGGGAAGCCTACGAGCAAGCTGAGGGTGCTAAGCTGCAGCAGGTGGTGGAGATGGAGAAGACCAGGATGAAGTTCGCTAAAGAGCTGGAATTGCAGAGGATGCAGTTCTTCATGAAGACCCAGATGGAGATTTCGCAGCTGAAGCACAACAGCAACAACAACAACAGAAGAGGATCAGCAGCAGCAGCAGCGGGAGGGGGAGGGGGAGGGGGAGGAGGAGGCGGAATAGAGACGGTTGCTGCAGCGGCATCAGCCATGGCGGCTTCCTCGGATCATCGTCCTCACATTGGCCATCCGCATCACGAAGACGAAGAGGATGATCACAGCGTCGGAGGCAGTGGAGGTAAGCCCATGAGGGTGGATAGCATCAATAGTGATAGTGATAACTGAAGGAAAAGGAGAAGAAAGTAGTTGCAGCAAGTGGGCAGTGCATTTTGAGTCATGGAACGTTTTAGGATTTGTGGTTTGTTTTAGCTTTCTCTGAACATTTGTGATATATGATGATTGTGATTGTGGTAGTGGTGATGATGATGATGGTGTAATATGTGATTTGCTGAGATAAGTTAGTAGGGGAAAAGGGGGGAAGTTTTTTTTAGGATGAGGAATGTGTATGTGATGTAGCTCTCTGTAACACTTAATTCTCTAATCAAGAAGTCTTGTCATTGTTAACTTAAGCTTCTCTTTCAGCAAGGAGCAGTAGAAGCTTGAGATATGATAATCTGGGTTGTGGGATGCTCTGCTTATTATGAGGAAAGAACATTGAACTATCAAATCAATGAAACCTCCTAATTACAGGATGAGATGGCTGACTGTCACATATGAAAAAGGCTGGATTAAGGAGGAAACATGATTATGTATTTGATGGATAACTATTCTACTCGAGCTAAACTGATTTTCATTTGAGGAGAAAAAACAGAAGATCTTCATTTTTCACGCACACAACTTCCAATCCCTGAAATCCCTAATTATAATATGTGACTGACACACCACATACAAGGGGGTTGGAGTTGTTCATCGATTTTGAAAACTATTATTCACATATTTCTCTCTGATTTTTGAAATTTCAAGTTATTCTTCGTCGATTTGGAAAACTATTTTTCACATATTTTGACCGGTTTTCTTGAAAGTTTGGTCATCTTAAAGAATATTTTTTATAGATTTTAGGTGAATAGCCGGTTTTGTAGGTTATTCATCACAAATTTTAATCAATTTTTATCGGCGGTTCTTAGTCGATTTTAAAGACTATTTTTCATAGATTTTGGTCGATTTTTTCTGTTATTCTTGGCCCATTTTGGAGACTATTTTCACATATTTTGGCTGATTTTTTATCGGCTATTCTTGGTTGATTTGAAAGATATTTTTTGTTCCTTTTGGTTGATTATTTATTGTATAGTCTTGCTAATATTGAAGACTATTTATCAAAGGTTTTGGATGATTTTTTAAGACTATTCTTGGCCGGTTTTGAGCATTATTCATCAAAGGTTTTGGCTGATTTTATATTCGTTATTCTTGGTCGATTTTGAAGGTTATTCATCACAGATTCTAGTCGATTTTTCATAGTCTATTCTTGACTGATTTTGAATGTTTTTCTTTACATATTTTGTCCGATTTTTTATAGTCTATTATTGGCCGATTTTGAAGGATATTCAACAAAGACTTGGCCGATTTTACATCGGCTATTCTTTGTCAAATTTGAAGGATATCCAACACAAATTTTCGCTGATTTCTCGTTGACTATTCTTTGTCAATTTGAAGGCTATTCATCACAGATTTTGGCTGATTTTTTTTATCTATTATGCTTGGCCGATTTTGAAAGCTATTCATCAAAGATTTTGGTCGACTTTGAATGCTATTCTTCACGGATTTTGACCGATGTTTATCGACCATTCTTGACCAATTTTGGAGAATATTTTCCTCATTCTAGCTTCTATGTATTTCAAAAAACTATTTGCGTCGATTCATTGTATTCGGTGTTCGATTTTGTTTCTTGATTAACGAATCACATGCTTTAATGACATTGTAGCTCACCGTGTATCTATGACGATGTATCTTGACCTTTGCCCATAACGAGTAATCTAATGGCAAAAAGAACAAAAAGGAAACAAAATTTGAATGGAAGAAACGAAAATGGGAAATCGTCTAGATAAAATATAATACAGATAGAAAGAAATGATTTACGAGTGAAATTCTTTTTTATGAATACCAAAAAATGGAAACATAATCAAAGAGTATCCTGCACCATTCATAAAATGAATGATCGAATCTTTTTATGATAAAATTGCTCTTTTTGTTTCCTTGTACGTAGAAGAAAAAAAATCCTTCCACTCTACTAGTATAAGGGAATTAAGAGCCACAGAAAACATAACATCTTGTCAATAGAAGAAGGGGAAAAAAGACAGATTTTGAAAGAAGAGAAGATGAAGCTGGGAGTTCTGGTTGTGATGTTGGTGATTCTGGCTTCTTCAACTCAAATTATAATGGCGGATTACCAGAAGTGTTATGATTATTGTTCAACCCATTGTAAGCGAGTGAATTACGACCAATGTCTTTCCTTTTGTTTCAAGAAGTGTCATGAACATGGAGGTGGTGGTAACAATCCAGAGAATCAACGAGTTCCATCTCCTAATACAAAATTCTAAGTTGATTTAACAGTGATTAGTTGGTGGAGATTACGTTTGATTGTACAATGGATGCATCTTTCATTGCACCATTAGTAAAATGATCATCTCTATTATTCGCTAAATTTGGTTGTGGTTAACTGTTCAGTTCATTAATGCGGTTAATAGCAACTGCACCGATTCCAGGTACGAGTTTTTTTTTTTTTTTTAATCTCTCAATCGAGGTTGTCAAACCACAATCAGATCAACCGGTTGGAATAAATCTCAAACATACCGAATCCTGATCCGACCATTAAACATCAAACGACTTGCCACTCAAATTTCTAACAACCGGTTGGAATAAATCACACTCATGCTCAGATGCTTTGTTTTTCTTTTCTGTTCTTCTCTCCTTGCCCATACTCTATGACACTTCCTCCTCCGTCTTCTTCCCATACGTAAAACAACCATAAATGGGGATGGAAACATAGAGCAATCACTAACGTGGCCCATGCTGCATTGCATTAGTTTCGCAGTAGCCTCTGCCTCTCAGGTCAAAGATGGAAAGCTGATCCTCTCTGCCACCATGATTGATCAATCGATGACCATGTGCTCTCTGCCTGCAGTAATGATAATTCATCGACATTATCTGCCTGCATTGTATATATTCATTTCGTCTTCTACCTCTTCATTGTGATGGCAAATAGGGTTGAAAAATCGTCTCTCTGCAAGTAGGTTGGGAGTTGGCTGGCCCTTAAATGTTCCTGGGGAAGAAAAGTCAGCCTTTGATGTACCCACCACTTATGGATAGGGTAGTCACCCTCTCTCTCACTCTGATTCTCATTCTCTCCATGGCTATTAGATTTAGACGAACTTGTCAAATGCTTATCCAGTGTTTTTTGGTTGACAATGTTGGTCGGTTCGTTTGGTTGGACGGTCGGTAATAGGTTAATCGATCTTTTCAGAACTGGTAAGAAAAAAAAAACTATAAACTGAAGCCAACCAAACCTGATTGGAAGTTTTATGATCTCTTCTTCCTTTCCTCCACCTGTTTGTCACTCTTACGTGATCCATCAATGACCAATATCCAAATTACCGGATTTGAACCTGATAAACTTGTCTTACATCCGGTATTACTCACATGGATGTTGAGCCAGGAGTAAGAACACTTACGGATTTCAGGACTTCGAGTCTAGCTTTCCATTCTAAGTATTTATTGGTAGCGTCGGTTGAGTGACTTCTAACTTCTCACTTCGTCTTTCGAGCTCATATATTCTAAACCTTCGATCATGGATCTGTTGTTAATTTTTATTTTATTTTATTTTATGATAAAGATAAGTATTTTGATTGGAGTATAGTAGATGGCAAATTTGGTCTTATTATATATACATCCCTTCTATTCTATAAATGTGAACAATTCTATGATTTTGTCGGTCTCCGTTAGCTAGATTTGATATTGTTACAAAACCAACATCTCATTCACTCCATTTATGGGCTCTACTAACATTGCTATTATTACCCTACTTCAATAAACAAAGACGCCACTTGCATTCAAGATCTAGTCACAACTTGTCACCATTTCCATGGACGTACGATTCATCACCCTGAGCTAGATAGCTAGCTCCCACACTTTGCACTATAAATAGCACCCAAACTCTGCCCATAAACACCACACCAACTCTCCTCCACTACTAAAAAAAGAAACCTTTCCACAGAGAAAACTCCAACAATGGCGTCTTCCAACAACAAGACTCTGCTCATCCTCCTCTGCGCTCTCTTCGCCCTCGCAATCATCGTCTCCGCCGAAGTCTCCTCCACCACCGCAAGTAAGTTTTGCATGGCATGGCCGCCTTTATCTTTGCACATAAGCTAGATGTTGATATAACTTGAATCGGAGTACTATCTTACGACGACGATTGAAAAAGTTACGAGACTAAGCTAGCTTAACATTTATCGTGTTAGTGAACCAAGATTATCAGAACTAACTATGATTATGTAGGTGAAGGTGATGCTAAGGATGTTGACCAATACGAGCGCGGCGGAGGTGGCTACCAAGGCGGAGGCGGGAACTATGGCCGCGGTGGCGGCGGGAACTATGGCCGCGGTGGCAGCGGGAACTATGGTCGCGGCGGCGGAGGCGGCGGCGGCGGCGGTGGAAGGTGCCGTTACGGTTGCTGCCGTGGGTACCGTTACTCGTACGGATGCTCGAGGTGCTGCGCACTTGCCAATGAGGCTCCTGATGCCTTCTTTGCTGATGATGTCAAGAACTAATTAAGAGGAGCTGTGTGTGTGTGAATCGTGAATAAATGAGAGAGTTCTATAGTTAAGGACTTCTCTTTGGGGTTTTGTTTACTCTTTTTTTGGGACACTTCACTTCGTTTTGTGTCACATGTACTATTGAGTTACTAGTGTTGTTGTAAGTCTTCATGCTCGATGGATTAGATAGAGCAATAAATAAATGTATCGTGTTAAGTGTGAGCTTGGTTTATGTATGGGTTTGATGAAGAATTTTCGAAAATTTTGTGGATCGCGCTGTTCATCTACTCAAAGTTGTCATCTGGTCAACGGTCTATCGATCGGCAGATGGAGAACCGGTTTGTCGAATCAAAATGATATGTTATTGGTTTGAGGTGAAAATGATAAATATATTCACGAATGAGATACATTTTTTCGCGGGTTGTTAGTACGTCAAGTTCAAAACTCGATCTTTAGTTGCACATTTGATCTCAATCTTCCTCCAATGGATGCAAATGAGATGAAAAGTAACTTCATTTTATCCGATAATGTGACATTAACTATTTTGCGCTCATGAGGTTCCATTGTACCTCTATCCAATGGTATAATTTCTACTTGTACCTATACATTTTCCTAAACGAGCGTTCGATACATTGATCAAATTGGACAGTAATTGGCGAGAGCAATAACATTCCCAGCTTGGAGAGCTACTACTCTCAATATTCTATACATTATCCTAAACGAGCGTTCGATACATTGATCAAATTGGATAGTGATTGGCCAGAGCAATAACATTCCCAGCTTGGAAAGCTACTATTCTCAATATTCGAAGAAACGACGTAAATCCCAGAGCAATAACAGTCCCAATTTGGAGAGCTACTATTCTCAATATTCGAAGAAACGACGTAAATCTGTGTTTGTATTTTACATGATTTCAGATCAAGAAGATCCATGCCGATTTTCTGCAGTGTCCGACAGTGAGACAGTTGTTATATTGGGTAAGGTTTGAACTAAAATTAGAACTAACCATTCAAAAACAAAGAGAACAAAAGATGGCGGAACAGAATCACAAAGCGACCATAATGACAACAGTTACTGAATTACATGATTCAGAAGCATGTGAAAGGAGGCCCTGTAAGAGCCAGTACTGTGAGTAAAGATTTAAAGAGTTCACCAACCACATGTAATTTCTCTTAAACAAGGAAAAGACATGAACAAAGCTTCAATATAGATTGGTTTTACGGGTAGACAATTTTACCAAGATTGCAAAAGCACGAGTGAGCATAACTGCATAGAAAGAGAACTATAGCAGATTGGCGAACTTCACCATGTGAACAAAACTGTATTGAGTTGCCAAGGCTCCTCATCTGCACCCTTAGGTACTCTCAGCAATTTGCTTTTTCCGCTGCTTGAGCTTCTCGACTTTGGCCTTCTTTTTATCCTTAGCAATCTGAACAAACAAAGAGTTCAAGGCAATCATAAGTCACAACGTAATATTGCTCACCAAACGTGCAAATTGACCGCTACCAAACATACATGTGGTTATCAATTAGGGAGGTGAAATATCGACATAACAGAAGTAGCAGCGTCGAGTTCAATCTTACCTTCATGGCTCTAAAAAGTCCTCTATTTCTACGTGACATCATCATCAAAGCAGTTCCATCAGTGTCTTCAGCAACCTGTTCCAAGTGGGGACGAGAAGACTCTTCCTCGACTTGAGCGCCCTCAACAGCGATAGATGCAGTAGCATCAGGGTGACCCTGTACTTCTTGTTTAAGGTCTTCAAGATACTGCTTCTCCGAAGTTGCCCTCTGGAACACACCCCAAAAAAAAAAGACAGCAAGGTGAATATGAAAGCAAGCAAACATAAATGAACAAGAAAATCACACAGACCTACAAAAGGAAAAGAAATGAAAGGCTTTTTTACCTCTTTCTTTCTCTCAGCAACTTCAATAGCCTCAGTTCGACTAAGATATCCTTCAGCCAACAAGAGTTGAGGATCATCTAAGTCATCCTTCCCCACACCTGGCATAGGGAGGACTTCATTCTTGGCAGCAGCCTCAAAACGTTTGATGGTCTCCGCATAGTCAGGGAAATAACCCTCTGCTTCATTATCAACGAAAGGAGACAAATGCGGAGGAGGGACCCTATTGGCAGAAAAATGGTTAATTAAATAATGTTCACTTGCGCATGTAATTAGAATCTAAATGTGCAAGCTATGCTAACAGCCCCTGGAAACCTTAGTACGTTTCAAATGCCAGCATGCAGTAGATGGGAACTAACTTTACATGCATTAAAATAAAAATCATTGTATGAAGCAGGGTCGATCAAGGGAGCTCGAGAGCAACTTTTATGAGCATTACCTTCCAACCAGATATCTATGTGCCTCTAATATGACCCCGAAATTTATGCAATCATAAATCCATTGAGGTTGAATATATTCTCGGGAGAGGTACATGTGACCTTGACTAGGCCTGTCAACAATCTGAACACATAAGCAAATAAATTCATGTCAATATGATAGATGGAGAAAGGAATACATAATGCGTAATGCCTTAATAATGTCAGTCATTTATGGGCATGCAACAATTTCAGCTTACTACCTGATGTGTAATGCTTTGGTCGGCTTCAGTAAAAGGAGCTGCATCTCCTCCCCATGAGACAACACCACCGAAAGCAGGAATGACGAAAAGCAAAGACTCCCGAGGGACCTAAGACATAAATAATTAGGTATGCTTGTTGGCATAAAGTAACTCGAGAAAATGAGAGCAAATGTGTGAACTCAGGAAAAATGGCCAGGTAAACTATGCCAGTGTAAAATGATTGGTTCTCAAACAACATAACATCCCCATAAGACAATAACATGAGGGCAACAAACGGCACAGAACTCCCGATTGAACAGAAACGAAATAAACAAGCACCTCAAAAACATGATACACCAAACAAAGTTCAGACCGTCACAAAGCATTAGAAAACAGAATCAGACAAAATATTGCAACAATTAAACAAAACTGCATATGGATTTGCCAGCAGTTCAGCCACTGATTAGTGCAAACACAAATAGTCAGGCGGCAAAGCACAGGCAGTAGTCGATGAGCAAAAACCAGTGCACGGAGGGAAATCATAAATCTTACTCAGCACATGTGCTCACTCGCTAAAACAAGCATCAAGCTATGCAATGGTAAAACGATAAAAGGAAAATCACGGCAGATACCCTCATCCCGATAAAAACTTTCAACACTGATGAATAATCTCACCTCACGGCTTAAATAGAACTTCATGTTCTTGAAGAGTTTCTTACACTTCTTGGTATCCTCATCATCATCATTTTCATCGTCTTCTTCAATATGGTGCATCAATGCCCTGTCTTCATTTGAAGGAAGTTGATGCTGAAGTTGGGAAAGTCTTAACTCGGACTCTTCAAACTGTGCCCCTTCTAGTTGGCCTCTAGTTTTCTCAGGTTTAGTGGAACCGGACTCTTGTTCTTCATTAATACGCTTAGTATTACCGTTCATATATCTTGTGAGAGCATAAAGATCTACAGAAGAAAGTGGAATGTGAAAGTGTTAGAGAGATTAAGTAGAGTAGACAAATTCAACAGGTATAGTATTTGCACACTATAAAAATATACATAACAATTTATTTAATTCAATAAATAAGAGAACAGACCTGCTGCCAGAGCTTCTAGTCTGGGATCAAGAATAGGTGGATACTTCACACTGATGGAATGGTACAGCCTGAAATTGACGAAGCCAAGAAGAGTCTGCACCCAAATTATCGTCCTCAGAGCCTTGAACAGGTGAAATTAATGAAAGAAAACCAGAAAAACAAATGAATCGGGTCGAAAATTGAATCAGAACACACCTCATAGAACTCAACAAAAGTTAACATGACACTGAAGTTGACATCATCCGGCAGAACTTGTTGCATAGCATGAGGAGCCAGCCATGTAATCTTCTGGCCTTCAACTTCAGCCTACGAAGGACAATAGTACACAACAGATCATTTACAGGCAATATGCTGGAGAATGCTTAATCGAGAAACATTACTTTTTAGGTCAGTTACAGGAATGGAGTCCAAATGAAAATTGTAGCTGCCCACCTGATAATATATGCCTTTTACTGATACAAACACCTTCCGTAATTTATGACGGCGAGCAACATAAGCTTGCCATTCATGACTCAACCTGGCAAAAGGAGATCAAAAGGAGAAGTATTGAGGGAAAAACATGCAGCCGCTACCATGAGGGAGAAAAATCCAATTGAACCTTCCATTTGGTGAAATCCAAACTCAAAGTACTGCACATAGTTAAACCCGCACATAAACAGTATCAGAGTATTACCTTCTACAACTGTGGACCCGCTCCACATTGATTTTCAACCTCTCTACAGCGGGCAATGCTGCAAACAGATGCACCATCGAGAGACAATCATCCAAGTCCCGGAGTGCATCAACAAACTTGGGATACCTACATTGCAAGGCAACAAAGAACTGTTAACCATTTTGTATCCACAAATAAAGTATAATAAGCAACATATAAGTTCCAAACCAACAGACTATTAACACCATAACAGACACTTCATCATAATGATAATAAAAAATACTCAAGAGACGCAAATTTCTCATGCCATAGCAATCATCAATAACCACTAAGTTATTGTGGATTTCTTAGATTTTTTACCGAGCATCTAGAGGACTAATGAATTTAACAAACCTTTCCCGGATCAGCCTGTCCAGAGTGTAACTTGGCTCTCTAGTTCGAAGTCGGGTAGCAAGATCTTCATTCTTCTTAGCCAAAGCCTTGTGTATTTTTTTCTGATATGCTCTCTGTTCCCTTAACTTCTCAAGTAGGGGGTCATGTTGTATGAAAGCAATGTCCTTCACATGATAGTAAGTCTGGTTATTACCTTTAACCTTCTTCTTTGGTTCCCTGGGGAATACACCTTTGAGGATACAGAGCTTCCTGTAATTCACAAGCAAGAGAGCAAAAGGCAGCGTTAAAATATAACAACCAACCCTGCACTTATTTCTTCACCTGGAAGTCGATAAGCTTAGCCCAACAGTGATTGGTTGTTCCTAACCAGCTCAAGGTAATCATTTCAACCAAGTGTATATGACATATAACAAAAACAGTAGAGAGCTCGATTTAAGTTTGGTCAAGACCAAATTGCTTAAGCTTAAAAACCATGCAAATGCTTGCTAACCCTTTTCCAAATTTTACTTACACTTCGAAAAGAACAGCATATTAAGTGTACACTTACAGGACTAAATCATTTATATTCTAACAAACCTATTGCATATATTTATCACCGAACACATATACTATATGCAGGTGACTGGGATTCAGGAACTAATAACATAAGTTCGAATCATGAGAAGAACAGTGTAAATTGTTAAGTTTCAATAGACAAATTCTTGCTCTCGCGGAAAGAGAAATCTGGCATTCTTGCAGAAATGAATAAAGCATCAAGACTGAACAGGCATCATTTGTGTGCGAAGTAGACAGATGGATAGCAGCTTAAAAAGTGCTTGAATAATAAAATCATCGGTTCAAAAGCTCATTGCATAAAACACAGCATCCTCGCTCGTGGTGGGGAGAAACAAAAGAAAGAGGGTCGACAAATGCAGCTGAGAAATCCTCCAACTAGTTCCCCAAGTTTCAGAAAACCCCTAAAGCAACCAACAACCTCCGCCAGTTATCTTCCCCAATAGAAAACAGCACCCACAGTGAAAACTTCAAAGACAACAACTTTTAATGCAATTTACACAGTAAATAGAATAAAACTGGACCAAGCACAGAGGCAGCAGGTACCTGAAGACGCTTAGATTAACTTGGAGCTGCTTGATAGCTTGTGACCGTGTCATGTACCTTGCAGCATTTCCTTCCCTCTTTTTCCCCTGTAAGCAAACTCAAAAAGTAAAATCGTGAGAAAAGATTGCAACTTCCAGCTAAGGAACAACAATTGACTCGCGCCCTGATACAAAAAGCCAAAATCTTTTTCAACCAAATTACCGCAGGTCTGTAGTGCTTATTCTTCTTGAGATTGGCTACTGTCTTCTTCGCCGTATCCTTCTTCGTCATGGCTGCAGAGATTATGCAACTTCGAGGGACCAAATTCAAAAAATGGCCGACAAGGAAGAGCAGAGGAGGAAACAAATAAGGTTACAAGGGTCTAGGGTTAACGGAAGAACACAGGAATTTGGGAGCCAGCGAGCGGCGGCTACTTCAAACAATACTATACATTCAATATAAATATATAGGCCTTTCTTTTAATTCAGAAGATGGGCCTCTAGGCCGTCGGATTATTTCAAAGCAGGCAACCCAACCTGACTCCTAGAAGTTCGACCCAAATTTTTTTTTTTTTTTAGCAATAGATAACTGGTATTACCAAATCAAAGATAGCAAAGTTTTACAATCCAAAATGAAACCACTGATCAAAATCAAAACTCGCAACAACAGCAGATAACAAAGAGAGGGTCTTCCTAGCTACATCATGAGCCACCCGATTGTCATTCCTACCAACAAAAGAAACACCAAAAGACCGATACTGCCTCCGCAACTCCTCAATTTCCACAAGTATGCGCCCCCCCTTCATATCCCGCGCATCCCGCCGCTGAATCTTCTCAATCACACCCTTGGCATCTCCATAAAACCAAACTGCATCCATCCCCTTCCCTAAGCACCACTGGATAGCGTCTCAAAACGCCACTAACTCTACTAGAAAAGGATCCACAATACCTGCATAATAAAATCCCTTGACCATACACACCCGTCCCATGCCATCGCGGACAACCAAGCCCCCCGCACCATGTGATCTCGGCGCCACTGCCCCATCCACATAACAAGAAAACGGCAACGCCAGATGCAACTGGACCGGACCCCGTCCTCCAGACGAAATTCGGCGCTGAAGCACCGGTACTTGCTCTGGCTGAACAAACGCCATCCATTCACGCACCTGCATCTCAAACTGACGAACTAAGCATGTTAAATCGTATTGCATATGCTCAAAGACTACCCAATTCCGGCTCTTCCAAATTCTCCAAAGCAGAGCCACCATACGCACAATCCGCTCTGTCCCATCATCCTGTTCAACCATCCTACGGAAGAACAAAGCAAAGTTAGACACCCCCGCCATCCCATCCACACCTGTCACACCCGAGCGATTCCATAAGGCCACTGCAACTCTACAAGACAAAAATAAATGCTCCAGGGTCTCCATCGGTTCCCAGCAGACCGGGCATCTGGGAGAGAGTGTCTCACCATCTTCAGGGGGGTCCAGGACCTCAGTCGGATTTTGTCCCCTCTTTTCAAAGATAGCCTCCGCAGTGGGTAACACCCGCCTAAGAAGTTGCCATACAAAGAATTTCAACTTAAGAGGCAGCGGAAAACCCCACACTTTCTTCCAAAATCCCATATCAAAGAATGAAACCTCCTCCTTCCATCCCGGAGCTGCACGACTGATCTGAAGAGCCAGGTGGTACCACGTCTTCACTGTATACTCCCCATCTGACTCCCAAGCCCAAACACACCGATCCGGTATCTGCCGAACTGGCAATGGAATAGAGCAAATCCGCTGCATCACTGACTCAGGGAAGCACTGTTGGAGACACTCAACACACCATTTCCCCGACCCAGGGACCAAGAACGACTCTACCCTGGCTTCTGTCAACACCGGGACGGAGGGGAGTAGACAAACCTCCTCACGCCTCACCCCTGGGATCCAACTATCTTCCAGCACCCTCACGTCTTTCCCATCACCAATCTGCCAAACTAACCCCTGCTGCAATAAATCTCTGCCATGGAGCACACTAGTCCACCCCCAGGACGGTCTAGACCCACGCTTCGCTTGTAGTATCAAAGTTTGCGCAAAATACTTCCCCTTCAAGACCTGTGCCAGTAGAGTATGCGGTTCCTGCCAAACCCGCCAAGCCACTTTTGCCAACAAAGCTTGGTTGAAGTCCTTGAAGTGTCTAAACCCAAGCCCACCATCGAATTTGCTACGACACAGGTTCCTCCAGGAAACCCAATGCGCCTTTTCCTTATCCACCGAGTACCCCCACCAAAAGCGAGCCATATGCTTGTCCAATTTTCTACATAAGGTTACTGGCAAGAGAAAACAAGACATAACATAGATTGGGAGTGCAGCCGCCACTGCTTTAAGCAGAACCTCCTTTGCTGCCCACGACAAATTTCTCTGCTTCCAACCCTGAAGCTTAGCCAATAATCGCTCCTCCAAATACTGAAATGTCTCCACCTTAGACAGCTGCACTAGGGTGGGCAGGCCCAAGTACTTGTCCTGAACTCCTACAGCCCCAACACCCAGCACACCCGCCATCTCATCTGCCTCTACCGGGTCTACATTCCCACTAAAACATACTGCCGACTTATTCAAATTAACTTTCTGACCACTCAGCTCCTGATACCTTTGAAGCAACTGCACCAATGCGTCACACTCCTGTCGAGACGCTCTCAAGAACAGATAAGAATCATCTGCAAAAAATAAATGGGAAATGCTAGGGCATCTTGGGTTCACCTTAACCCCCACTAGCTTTTTCTCCGAGATAACCTGTCTCAACAGAGCCGCGAATCCTTCAGAACAAATGGCAAATAATAGCGGAGATAACGGATCCCCCTGTCGTAGCCCTCTCGTCGAGCGGAAATACCCTGCAGGCACTCCGTTCATCATAACAGAGAAAGACGCCGTCGAGACGCATTCCTGTACCCATTCTATCCATCGCCGACTAAAACCCATCTTAATCATGATTGCAAACAAGAAGTCCCACTCTACTATATCATAGGCCTTTTCCATGTCAACATTTAGAGCTAGGTAAGACTTCTTCCCTCGCTTCTTGATCTTAAGATAGTGCATCACCTCATGCCCAATCAGAACATTGTCAACAATCTGACGACCACGAATAAACCCATTTTGCTCCGTTGAGATAATGGAAGGCAAAACAACAGCCATCCGCTCCGCCATGATTTTAGAAATAATCTTGTAAAAAAGTTGACATAGACTAATCGGTCTAATCTGCTTCATAGACTCCACCGAGTCCACCTTAGGCACCAAAGTCAGCCAGGTGTGGTTGAAGCTTTTCAAAAGGCGTCCCGACTGAAAAAAAGACTGAACATCTTCCACCACCTCCATCCCAACGATATCCCAGTATGCCCTGTAAAACTTTCCAGTAAATCCATCAGAGCCTGGGGCTTGGGTAGCCCCAATGGAGAACACCGCTCGGCGAATCTCGTCCGCAGAAACAGTAGCAGTCAGGTCCCTGTTCATTTGTTCCGTCACAACCTCCGGTACAAGGAGCCCTGCCATCCTTGCCTCTAGATCTGGCGATTGCCTCTCCGAAGTGAAGAGCTCCTCATAAAACTCCCCAGCCACGGCACCTTTCTGAGCCTCCTCCGTTACCCATGTACTATTTTTATCGAGCAATCCTTCAATAAAGTTGCGCCTACGCCGCGCCCGCGTAACCGTATGAAAATAAGAGGAATTCTTATCTCCCTTATCCAACCACCTAACCCTCGATTTCTGCCTCCAGTATTCCTCTTCCGCCGCCCATTGCGCCGATAGTTCTTTCTCCAGCCTGGCAACGCTATCCCAATCCACACTCGTCTCCTCCTTCAAAGCCCCAATTTCCGTCTGCAGAATACGGATATTTCGAGCCGAGTTATTCGTCCTCGCTCGGCTCCAGTCGAAAAGTAAGTGTCGCAGAGCTTTTAACCGCTGCCATAACCGGAACATCGGCGACCCAGTATACTTTTGTTTCCAAACATAACTGACCAGTAATCTCGCCTCCGGGTTCTCTACCCATCGCGAATCAAATCTAAATAAAGGTTTAGCCACCCTGCTAAACGGCTTGTCCGCTACCAGTAAAGCCCTGTGATCCGACCCCAAGTCAGTACAGTGCTTCACCAAGGTTTGCGGAAACTTATCCGCCCAAAGCGGTGAAACCAAAGCCCGATCCAATCGCTCCATAATGCAAGCCACCCCCATACGTCGACTAGACCAAGTGTATTGTGGACCCATGAACCCAATATCTTGTAATGCAAAATTGTTCATAAAATCCCTAACACTTGTAGAGCTAATGGGATCCCACGGAAGGCCTCCTGCTTTTTCATTAGGATCCAGCACACAATTCATATCCCCAATTACTAAGAATGGGATACCCAAATGCAAACAATACAAATTAAGAACAGTGACCTGTTGAGCACGCACATTTCGGTCTGGAGACAAATAGACACAAACACACACATACTCCAAATTCTCCATGTCATTCCCAACACCAAAAGCAATAAAAAAGGACTCATGCGCCAGTACATGGAGGGCTACATCACACTCCCACCCAATAGCAAGCCCACCGGCAGCATTAACAGCATCAACAATAAAAAAAATTTGAAATCCTAACCCGCGCAACCGCCGGGTAACTACGCGGCTACAAGATTTAGTTTCTGACAGAAAAATAATCTCTGGCTTATTCGACCTACACAGACCAAGCAAGGATTGGAACGTAAGAGATGGCCCGATGCCTCTTACATTCCAGGAAATCATCTTCATTTGGCGGGCTGGGACCATTCATGGCTGGTTTCCTCCACCGCAGCTTGCACACACACTTTATTCACCGGAGTTGGATCAAATTGCAGCCCTGCAACTTCACCTGCTGCCCGTTTCCTTTCTTCAATGTCCGCCGGATCCGGCGCCACCATACGCAAGGCCTCCTTCCCCTTGCTTTTCAGCACTGCCCCTGCTGCCCTCGGCCCAGCATCATTCGTTTGCCTCCCATGAGGCCTGCGGGCTTCATACCTCTGTTGTTGCTGCCTGGGTACACTCTCCCTGCCCCTCTCCATCCCTCTATTAACCTGCTGGTAGTTTCCCTGTCCACCCTTGCCTTTCCCCTTCGCAAACTGCCCCCGATACCCACTGCTACCCTCTTTTCACCTTATTTAATTTATTTAGTTTCTACTTTTCTATTATAAGTCCTATCCCAGTTTGTTTATTTTAATTGGTGTGCCGACGATGTTATAATTATTTCGATTTAATTAGTAGATGGTCTATCATATTATATACCAAATTAATGGAT